AATTTTAAAACAAGGTTAGAGTTTGGAATGATGTGTGGTTAGAATCATTTGACAGAAGAAATCTGGATTTCTGCCTCAAATAGATTTCAGCCTTCAGTTTAGATAGGATAGTACTACAGATGCTTAAAACACTAGCGGTTCTGCATTGATAAAACAGATAGGCTTTCATACTAAGTGAAATAAAAGAATGGCCATGAATGTGTGTTCGGAGATGGATTGGAAAAATACACAACCATAGTGTGGGGAGGCGAAATATATTTTTTCAAAAATCTCAAGAAGCTTTTTTATTACAAATAAGGCCTATTTTCAGGCCCAAAATGAAAAAATATGCTCCCCTCAGAATTGCCAGTGAATTTCAAAATATCTTTGGTCTAACTGGTTTTAAGAAATCTCAAGTAAGATCTGTGGACCATATGTTGATGTGGTTAACACAACACAAACAACATGAATTCTCTTAGTAATAAGGTGATTTTTGAATTCTCAGCTGATCGTTTTAATACCGAAGGAACTATCTTCTTTATACAACTCATGCAATTTCTAAATCAATCCAATATTGTGTGTAAACATCCCTGCTCTGGCCAGAAGTAAGGATAATTTGAATACCTGGAGAATCTGTTGATTCTATTTCAGGCGCTTAGATTTATTGGCATATCCACAAAAATATTTTGGCAGTTATGATTTCAAAGGCAAATTGTGTAGAATAGTGTGAAAGATCATGGATGAATTCTATATGTAAAGTATCTCAAAAATGATTAGAAATACCAGAAAATGTTGTAGTTCATTCACATTTTGAAGAGAAGTCAAGTGAACTAAGAGTGGAATGAATGAGATAGAGTTTAAGCACAGGATATCACAGTAGTATAAATGGTATTTGATGAAATCCTAACATCTTCTTACAACTGTCCTTAAAGGCCCTCTGTAAGGTTTGAAAATATGTTTTTATTATTCATTTTTAGAGATTTTTGAAAACAGAAAAAAGTTGTCAGTTTTTATTTCTCAAATATTCAACTTTTAAATTATTTCTGTGTGTGCATATCTTTAAGATGGCGAATTGACCTTTCATAGAAATCTTTACTTTAGATAATCATGTTAGAAAGCTTTTGATATTGTGTATGCTTATTAAACATCGTTCTGACATCACTGACAGATGAGTGTAAAACAGTTGGGAAAAAATCAGAAATGAGTTTCCCTCAAAAACCTGGAAAGTGAATTTCAGATTTGTTAAAAATGGCTTGAATAATGAGGGAATTTTAGCAACTGAAAAATGAATTTTAATTCTGTAAAATGTCATTTTGATTCACAATGTTTCAGTTGTTCCTACCTCTAGACCCAGTGGAAAGCTGACGATGGTAAAATGTTGTGTGGTTTGAAAATGAAACATTTTTATTTATGATATTTATGCCTACAGAAAACATAATAAATTGATTTATCTAGCATTTGCAATATAATACATGACCACCATTACATGACATATATAATATACCTATATATAAATCAGGATAATTCAAGGATGAAAGTGGGGAGGCTAATTAAGATAAGGCAGAAGAGCTGTTAGGCTAGGTAACCACTACCAGGAATAATCTCTCCAGCATAAAGAAACTGGGCACGGCCCCCAGTTGAGAATAAGATGAATTACCTTGTATTGTACCCAGTTAAAAACTAATTGCACCCAGTTCAGTAGATCATGATTAGTTTAGGAAATCATGATTTGATTGATATGATTTGACCAATTTTCAAAACTTCCTTGCAAGGATAGGGTAAAATTATTATTTTACGCCACATTGATTATTTTCTTGTTAAAAACGCTTTTCAGGATTATGTTATTGTTTCCATGGTTTCCTGACCATATCTATGGAAACAGTGTGTAGAAGATAGTAAACAAACATAACTTTAGATTTGTGTAAAACTTCAAAAACCATTGCTTTCACATCATTCGAATCACAGATGAAAGTATAGTACAAGGTTGTACATCGTAAACTATTATGTCCGGGAGATCATTTGGGAAGATACAGAGATCATGGTTGTTATAGTTACCATACACATCACAGAAGGAAGATAACCTGGAGAAGCAGATCAGAGAAAAATCAATTTAGATTTTCAATGTAAATCTATCGTGATAGGTACTTCAGGTTATATTGGTTTTCATAGATTAACCCATCCTCTGAATTCCATGTTTCTTCCATTCTATAAATGGAATTTCTGTAAAATAGGAATGAGTGTTTTATCTTCTTGCATTTAATATGTACCCGTTTTGTATTTTTTGCCTGTTTGTTTTGATTAAAAGTTCTTGCAAATTATCCCAGTTACCACTATTTCATGTTTAAAAACGCAAATGCTTTGGTATTTTATCCATGGGAGATTGTGCTTACCTGATTTACTTAAAGCTGCATCAATTTTAAAGAGATCACCAGTCTGGGTTTATTCTATCTGTATTTAGGTTAAATAATGATTTCTTAACATTTTTCTTAAGGTGAGATCAGACCTTTCTTTAAGAGCTTTGCATATAGCATGAGAAAAATGTACAGTGAAACCTGTCTAAATGGAACACCTAGTTTGGTACCTCGAAAAAGTGTTCCAAATGGGAGGTATTCCACTAACAGAGGTTAATTTGACAATAAGTCAATAGGTTGCAGGACTTTGAAAAGTGTTTGATATATGGAGGTGTTCCACTTACAGAGGTGTTCCACTTTAGCTATTTAATTCTCAGTATTTAACAGCTGCTGGAACTGGAAAATTTCTCATAAAGGAAATTTGAAAATGTATATTGATGAAAATGCATTGAAGGGTGTTTGTCTGAGAAAGGTGTTCACATAAATAGGTATCACATGACATAGATGTGCGAAAAGACTTTGGAGCAGGTTCACCAATTAACCGTACCTCTCTCATTCCAAGAAAGGAGAGGGGTGCCATTTAGAAACTATGTTTGATGTGTTAAATTATAGGATACGATCTGTAAGTTAATCAACTGTGTGGTTGCTGATTGATAAGTCAGGATGTTGTCTAATAGATACTCTGGGTATATTATGAGATCAAGCAAGGTCATCAAGATAAGATATGAACTAGAAAAATTGCAACTCAAATCCAGAGTAGCTTTCATACATTAGAAATATGACTTTTGTATGAATGAAATGTCCTTTGGTGTTATGGTACTGGATTGTCATAATGAAACTTGATTTTTAGGGGGAGGAGGTATTAGACATTTTTTCTCTCCACACACGTTGGATTATGGTTTGGGATAGTTGGGGTTTGTTTTCCTTATGACTATTGTACACTTAGATGTTTTCCTTTTTGTGTTTTTCCTTTTTCCTTTGGCACTTTTCCTTTTTGATGTCATCAATTGTTCTTTTTGATGTCATCAATCATGCTTTTTGATGTCATCAGTTGTGTTTTTTGATGTCATCAATCGTGGTTTTTGATGTCATCAATTGTGCTTTTTGATGTTACCATTGTTCTTTCTAATACTCTCCTTTGTGCCATCAACAAATGATAAAGAACACATAATTGATATCAATGTCACACGTTTTAGGTCTAGTTCATCATAAAAAAACTGGACATTTTATGACAAAATATCACTACTTAGTTTAGTTATTACAAATGTCTCCAAAGGTGGAACAGTTTGTTGATGCTGACTGTTGACACCAAATGCCACCAAAATGTCACCACTTTTTGGTTATGCATGGCACATGAAATTCAATATTTATACGACAATTACGAGTATATATTGATGAAACATATTTTTAATTTGAAGATAAATTGAATTTGTATTTGAATTAATTCAATATGACCAGCTGTTGTCTATAAGAAAACAAGCTATTCAAGTTTCAATTTAATCCAATAGCTATCTACCTTGAGTGCAGAACTTAGTTCTTATCTAGTTGAAGTTTACTGGAGATGAAGCTCTCTTTTAAGAAATGAAGACAAACTAATGTGAATTGTAATACATATCCAGTATATAAGGATCATATGTCACCAGAGGGCCACCAGATAATCTATGAGCTAGACACAACAACATCTAGTTTTAACAGATATAGTTTTTTATTAGATATTAGTGGATTTTCCAACCATTACCAATTTTGAAAATAGACTTGCACCCAGCTGAAAATCCTTTTGCACCCATTTGAAAATGGGAAAGATCATGGGGAATTCTATATCAAATAGGCAAATTTGACCAATTTTGGTCTAAATTGTAAAAATAAGAAAAGGCAGGGAGAGCACTAGTGGCATAAAGTTAAGTCCCCATCCATCAAACAGTTTGTCCATAGGTAGAGTTAAACTGGTTAATAACTCATATACCAGTGGACTGATTATCTTCAAACTTGATAGAAAATTGAACCATAGAAAATAGTTTAACGCAATCAATGTTTTTCAAGATGGCGCCCAAAGTTTTACATTTAAACCAAAGTAATAATATTAATACAAAATCTTGGTAGAAGACCGTAGCTATGCACATTCCTATTTACCAGACCTCTATTGCGTTGAATATTATAAAGTCCGTTCCTCTTTAAGAAGATGAAGGAAGAGGCCACAGCAATGGCCTAAGGAGCCTCAATAAAAGTACAAATGTCTTGTGGATTTATGACTACCTTTTATATTGTGCATCCATATGAAATACAAAAAAAAGTAAATTAAAATGCTTTTTAAGACTGAATTATAATTAGAAATACTCAGCTACTGTATTTCTATAACATAAAACATGGCTGTAGGCAGCAGTTGGTGTGTTAATGTTCAAAGGTCAAAGCATGCCAATGTCAGCTTGTCCAGTGCATGAGTTTTGTATGTTGATGTTTTGGGTTTTTAGAAATGCAGACTTCAAATAAATAAATAAAAGAAATTATAGGTACCGTGAAAGTTGTTCAAAAAATATTTTTGATTCAAGAGGTTAATGTCTGTATCTGTACTGAATATAATTGGACAAGTAAGTTTCTTCTTATATTCAGGTATTTTATGTTTATATTTTCAATGAAGGTTCTATTTTCAAGTCTTTAATTTTCTATTTGCAGAACTACATTGAGAACATCCCAGAGAAGCTTATTCTGCACATATTTTCGTATCTCCATCTGAAAGAGCTGGGAAAGATCGCACGAGTATGCCGAAAATGGCGAAACCTTGCATACGATCCTCGTCTTTGGGAATGTGTCTCACTACGACCAGAGTACAATGGATTATCAATCAACCACACAGACTATTTAATGAATTTGATCCACAACAGGTTTGGATCAAAACTTCGCTACATCGAAATGCCATCAGATTTGATCACCCCAAGTGTGCTCCACGATTTAGCTGCCAAATGCCCCAGTATCAAATACATGACTCTGGATTTCTCCAAGGCGATGCAGTTGCATGATTTTAACGATCTTAATTCCTTCCCATGCAATATGAAGTCACTGTGTATATGTCTCAGTGAGGTCATCTTTATGGAGGGGTTCATGAGGAGGATTTATCAATGCCTTAATACCTTGCAGGTTCTCCATCTCATAGGTAGGTTGAGGCACTTACTTAACACCTTATGTGTACTTAATATCATAGTTGTTCATATGCTTGAAGGCACTTACTTAACACTTTGGATGTACTTGGTCTCACATGATTTGATATGCTTAAAGGCATCTCATGTGTGTTCATATGCTTAAAGGCACCTTGCATGTACTTAAAGGTGCAACAATTAGTGCAGGGGGGGGGGGCAATCAACAATCATCGACCAGTGTCAAAATATATTTAAGTTTGGATATTTGGGTATTATCTACAAAGAAACCCCCTGGATGAACATTATTTCAGCTGATATTCCTCTTGAAACGTTGTGAATCTTAAAAATCTATGTGGGACTCCCTTGAAGCTTTGAACTGAATTTACACTTCTTTAAAGGCTGAAATTGAGAGTATATCCATAAATTTTAAGAAAATAGGTATGTCAAGGAAGATATTAAGCCAAATATTGACCTGATAGCTCAGAAAAAATAAAAAATTTGAATTTTCTCTACAGTCCTTGTTGCCCCTTTAATCTCATGTGCGTTCATGTGCTTAAAGGCACTTACATAACACCTTGTATGTACTTAGTCTCATATGTGTTCATATGCTTAAAGGAACTTACATAACACCTTGTATGTACTTAGTTTCATATGTGTTCATATGCTTAAAGGCACTTACATAACACCTTGTATGTACTTAATCTCATATGGGTTCATATGCTTCAAGGCACTTACATAATACCTTGTATGTACTTAGTTTCATATGTGTTCATATGCTTAAAGGCACTTACATAACACCTTGTATCTACTTAGTTTCATATGTGTTCATATGCTTAAAGGCACTTACATAACACCTTGTATGTACTTAGTCTCATATGTGTTCATATGCTTAAAGGCACTTACATAACACCTTGTATGTACTTAGTTTCATATGTGTTCATATGCTTAAAGGCACTTACATAACACCTTGTATGTACTTAGTCTCATATGTGTTCATATGCTTAAAGGCACTTACATAACACCTTGTATGTACCTAGTTTCATATGTGTTCATATGCTTAAAGGCACTTACATAACACCTTGTATGTACTTAGTCTCATATGTGTTCATATGCTTAAAGGCACTTACATAACACCTTGTATATACTTAGTTTCATATGTGTTTGTATGCTTAAAGGCACTTACATAACAACTTGTATGTACTTAGTCTCATATGTGTTCATATGCTTAAAGGCACTTACATAACACCTTGTATGTACTTAATCTCATATGGGTTCATATGCTTAAAGGCACTTACTTAATATATTTTATCTACTTGTTGGGTCTCATTCATATGGTTAAGGCACTTTCTCAACAGTCTGCATATACTATATCTCATATGTGTTCATATGCTTAAAGGCACTTACTATAGATCATCCTGGCATGATTCATATATAGGTACATGCACATATGCTTAACATCCTACAGGTGCTTTAAATACTCTCTTTAACTACTCATACTTCATCATAGATATGTCTACCTGGATATATTGACCTGTTGAAGGAATATGTATGTTGATATATTTCATTGAGCTCTCGATTCACTGAGAAGCACATTATATCTTGACAGCTGCTAAAGTACGATTTATTAAAGTGGAAAAGTCAGGTATTTCATTCATGTTTTGAGGAAACCGTGTGAAATAGAGCAATTTGACTGTTTTCCTAGGTTCCTTACATAATCCTTACAGCTATTATAGAAAAGAAAATTATATCGATATATGTTTTCTTGTTGCTGGTCATAAGAATTATCTTATACATTATAAACATCATACGATATCATAAGGAAAACAAACCCCAACTATCCCAAACTATAATCCAACCTATATTAAGTTTTCAATAAATAGAATTTTTTTCTACAACAGTAGAAAAAGACATTTTCACTGGCTTACGAATCAAAATGATTCATTTTATGTTTTCAGGCACATTTGAACTGTCCAATGAGGAAGAAGAGGAGATATTTGAAGTGATCAACATAGCAAAGATCAAGGCTCATACGCCAAATCTACGTCTTGTTAACTTATATGGTATTAATTTCGTTGACGACTCCCATGTTGAATTACTCGCCTCAAACTGCATCCATCTTGAATGCCTTGCGTTGAATTTTTGCCTTCGGGTAAAAGGTGCTGCTTTCTCAACGTTGATCCAAAGATGTCGGAAACTCACTAGTCTGCTGTTACATCATACAAGTAGGTTACATCAAACGAGTAGATTAAACGATACTCAAGATTCCAACAGATTTTTTAACATTAAATTTCACTCCTTTTGAGTCTGTTCTAATGAGTAAAAACTAATTATTTATTTCAAATTATTTAATTTCAAAATTGCCTGTCTTTAGGAATCATGAAGTAAGTAACATCATATTGGTAGATTAACATCATACATGTAAGTCTTACATCAGACACAAACCACTTTTCATATTTTTTATCAGCACTTATTGAATACCTGTACAGTAAAAGTTGAGAACAAGGAACGGTCTCCAGTCTGGCCAAAAATTGTTCATTGGAGACAGGTGTTCCCTACAGAGAGAGTCATGTTTTGGGCCAGCCCCATGCAAAACTAATTTGCCGAATAAACATTTAATTATTGTAGATGATGAATTACATAGGTGATAGTAGAGCAATGTTTCTTGTGCCTATATTCAAGTTCCATCAACCCCATTTTGTTGTAAATACAATCTGCAAGTTTGGCTCTTTAAAAGATTTAGCTCAATCACACAAATACATTTCTATTATCTCGTAAAACAGTTGTGTCAGTCCCTAGAATAGCCCAACTTGTCAGATATATGAAATCAACTTTCGTTGAAAGAAAACATTTGTCAATTGGTAGTTTATAACAAACAAGTTAATTTTAAAAAAATGGATTAACAACAGCTTTCCAATAATCGGTTTATCCTAATCTCATTCATATTAATCTAAGCTCTTTAGAATCAGATATTGGCTTAAGACTTCCACACCTCTGAAAAACAATAGGATGTACAGTGTGACCAATTTTCCAAGTTCTTTGTAAACAGTTGAATTTTCCAAATATATTACAATTTTGAAATTTGAATTTATTTTCCATTTTGTGATGGGAATTGAATTGTCCTGTATCCATTTATAATATGCTCAAAAACATTTATGAATTTTTTAGTGTATTTCCCCATTTCCTAACAAAAAAAACAATGTTCAGATTTCACACATGCCAGATAGATACTAATGAAGTTTTAGATGTCCAAACTCTCAAAAATTGATTTCTCAGTTTCACAAAAAGTGTTAGCTGGGACATTATTATTCTGATAGGGCGATTGGTTTTTTGATGAGTTTCTTGAAGACAGGAGTTACTTACACAAAGGTGTTCCATTAGACAGGTATTACCGTACATGTTATCTATATATGCATTGGTTAAATTGCCCAATTGATAGAATGCTCATTCTCCAATTCCAGGTGTAGCAGATGAGCACATGATGGCAGTTCCATGGGAAAAATCTCAACTTCGTGAACTTGATATAACATCAACTGAAATGTCGGCAGAATGCCTCCTCGACATATTACCCAGAATGCCTGGCTTTCGTTATCTCGCTGTTGGCCATTGCGACTTCTTTGATGATAAGGTGAGTGGGTATAGTGAAGAACTCTTGAAGTATCCAGGGGCATTTCTCATAGATATCAGGGAATTACAGTAAAACCTGTCAAATCTGAAGGCCACTAGGACCTGCCAAAATGTTTGTATTTTGTATTTTGAGTTTTTCAGCTCATTTAAAATCGAAATCTATGCCATGATAATAATACATGTTTGTTCACACATTGAGAGCTGTTCTAATTAGAAAGGTTTCAGATATACAGGTTTAACTGTATATGATTTATGAATTCTGTCTGTTCTAACCACTTATACATAAAGGTCATTCATAAAGCTAATTTTGCTAAAAAATCTTCGCCAAATGTGGTGACATATTGTTATGGTCTCCCAACTTTTTTTGTGACGGCAGTTGTCATTTGGAGTTCAGTGTTTGGTGTCTGTAACAAATGACAGGTGGTGACATTTGACATATTCCTTATTCAATGTATTTTGCTTTCTGTTCAAGAGGTGTAGATTGTGGACTTGAATTGTACTTGATTGGACATGTAATTGATTAGACATTGATTGATTTACCTTCCAGGTGCTGGATATGTTGATTCAAAAGAACAAACTGAGGGACCTGATTGCAATTGACATCAGCCACAATGACACTCTCAGTGAGAATGCAATTAACAGGCTCATACAGAAACATGGCTTACAGCTGAAGGGCCTCATACTCACTGGAAAACCTAAGCTTACTGAACAATTCTGGTTGAATGCTATACCTTACCTAAAGAATCTCAAGTAAGGCTATTATCTGAATCTGAGTCTTATCTGAATGCCGCTGGGACCAGACCAAGATCAAGATTTTTGAAATATGTGAGTCTGTGGGACTGGGAAAAATTTGGAACTGAGAAAAAGTGTTCAAATCGAGGTGTTCAAATTAGAGAGGTATTCAGATTACAGGTTTCAATGTGCTAAGAACTATGTTTATTAATACGATATTGAGACCTATTGATGTGTCAACATACAGAAAAAGGTGTATATCTGAACCTCTCTCTAATCTAAACACTTCTGCCATAAGTTAATATCTGTCCTGGACTTCCATGTTAAATAAGCTCAAAATATGAACCTACCAATCTGACCCGACTTTTAGCCAGTCCCAGTGGCATTCAGATTTGTTATTCGACATTGTCGTTGAATGTTTATCATGTTAATGGTTTTATACATGTTGATGAGATGCTTCTCATCAATAGGGCTGTATTTAGAGAAGATGGGGACTCCCATCCTCCTAAGGAAGTATCCAGAATCCGTACCTCCTTCCCCCTGCTTTCTCAAATTTTCAGAGTATGTTCGATGGGTACAGCTAATGAATGGTTCTTCAAGTTAACAAGTCGTGTTCAATTTGACGAGATAATATCATCAATTTCTCTTTTCAGAGTATGTTCAATGGGCAGAGCATATGAATGGTTCCTCAAGTCAACAAGTCGTATCCACGCTGACCAGATAATTTCTTCAATTTCTCAAATTTTCAGAATATGTTCAATGGGTACAGCTAACGGATGGTTCCTCAAGCTAACAAGTTGTGTCCATGTTGACCAGATAATTTCATTGATTTCACAAATTTTCAGAGTATGTTCAATGGGTACAGCTAACGGATGGTTCCTCAAGCTAACAAGTTGTGTCCATGTTGACCAGATAATTTCATTGATTTCTCAAATTTTCAGAGTATGTTCGATGGGTACAGCTAATGGATGGTTCCTCAAGTTAACAAGTCGTGTCCACGTTGACCAGATAATATCATCAATTTCACAGAACTGGACAAATATTGAGCGCCTCGAGATGCAGTGGGATCCTGACACTATAAGATTTGGAGACAACAGCAGCAAATTCATAGATCTCATCAGGTATGTGAGAACCCTTTACAAGAGATGGACTCTTAAAAGTAAAAATTATTCATAGGTCCCGGTTTCCAATCATGAAATCCAACATCATGTATCCTGTTCTTTAGCTACTAATGTTTATTTCACTTTCAAACTCCCAAAAGGCCATGCCAAGTATGTTTGACATCATAAAGGTCTTCTTTTTTAAAACTGTTTAAAAGTACAAAAAACAAAAAAGTAGTGAATTTTTCTCATTTTTCATCATTTTTTATAGGTAGGTTATTAGAACTATATACATTAGTAAACTCTGTGAAAAATTGAAAGATTTATAAACTATGGGGAATGAGGACTTCATATTTGAAAATCAAATGGGACTCCAATGAAGATTGCATAAAAATTCCAAATGTACACATTACACACTGGCATTTATAAAACAATTTTAAACATTAATGTTTTCATTTTTCTAGGCTTCGTTGTCCAAGGATGAAATCGATGACATTGAGTGACGGTGAATATTATGAGATGGTAAAGTCGAATTACGAGAGGGCAGATCGACTAAAGGTCGTCAGGACAACCACTAACTACACAACTAGCATTGTGACATTTTTATCACATTTTAACGATCTTTTGTTTAACTAGGAGCTGAATAGAGAAAATCTTTGGTTTGATATCTGTCAGGTTTTATTAAAAAGCTGGCAATACAATCAACTGGGTGATTAGTGATGACAATAGATTACATACCATGTGAGGTAAAAAGGGAGATGATTTTAATGAATTCACCCGATGCAAAAATAGAACCGACAAACTTTTGGATATTACATAATCAGGGTACAGTCTGTTATTCAGGTGTCCGCCATATGTACTTAATAATAAAAGTTATGTCATATTAGACTTCATGAATGGAAGGAAAGCTGCTGAATAAGATATAACGTTATAATATTGCCAACTAGTGTCAAAATGAAGATATGGTACACATAAATGGGAAAATGTCTTATACTCGTTGAAGCAGGCCTTGTATATAACCTTTGAATCGAGCTTAGGCAGGGTTATATCATAACTTCGCGTCTGTTTTGCACATGATGCCAGTATGTATGCTTTTAAAGTACCAGTGTAATGAGCCAGTTTCTGGTTTTCTTTTTACATTAAATACCTCCTTTCTCATTCCTCCTGGCCTACTAATTATTAAATATACAGCAATGTATGATGCCTTAATGTCCTTTGACTTGTGAATTGGAGGATGGATCCAATAAGAAATTGAGTGAATGCCTGTTATTCCCATAATATATTATACCATAACATCCTCAACTAGTCAGGGATCCAAAACTGCAATACTCAGTTGTTACGAAATAGCCATTGTTGTAGCTATGGAAACTGTGATGTCATAATGGGAGTTGTAGGTCCCATATTGGAGCAAGGAGGAATGGCTCTCGTGGTTGCGTTGTTTTTAATCTCCAAGCAATTTGTTCAGTGCTGATTACCCACAAATGAACTGCAAGGAGAATATTCTAGCCACCTTGTCCGATATCAACATTGAAAATGTCATTATTTTCTGATATTATAACTGGCTATAAATTCATAATCAGCAATCCAAAAGATTTGAACTGATATCCTGATCACTTCTTGTTTTGAATTTTTTTCTCAATAAGACCAAAACTTGGGTTTCAAATTTTGAAGTGAAAAAATGGTGGTGAATTTTGTAATCCGGACATATCTCCATATATGGCAGAATATCGAGATGGAATCCTGGGATCCAATCCTCCTTGATATTGGAGGCAGTTTAGAATAACGAAAACAAAGTAATTACAACATGAGGGACCTTGAAGGGCTCACATAGCATAAGATATATTAGTTTTGAATCTATTAATTGAAACTCTGCATACATGTATATGAACGTTTTGCTGATACAATCATGTTACATTTTTATTTAGCTTTTGTACCCGATTCTTGTGTATGTTTTTATTTATGTTCCATATTTTAAAACCATTGTTTGTTAAGATGTCAAATGACATGTATTATTTGTACTCATTTTATATTTTGAAATGTATATGTAACGATTTGTTTTTATCGTTGAATTTCATATTTAATATGATAGCCCAATAAATAGAGGATTGTTTGCAAAATTATTTTATTGTTTGTCATTGCTATAATCAGCCTGCATAACTCAAATAATAACAATATATACAAATTGACTTAGCAGTTTCAATGTCAAAAGTAGATGAAATATGGAAGTACGTTGACCAAATAAATTAGAACTTTCTATATTTTTTACAATTACCTCAGTCAGGTAGAGCTCACCTACTGGTAGCATTCATGTACCTCTCAATTTTGTTTTCCAAAACTTCATTTTTGTTGAAACATTTAACTCTTTGTAATTGTATCTAAGCACCTCTCATTGTGATCACTTTTTGGTCCCATTTTTTACATACAATTCCGTGTGAAAAAAAAAGAAATGTGAACACCAATCTGCACTTTTGGTCAGTCCCAGTAGGATTCAGATTAGACAGGTTTTTCTGAACCTTGTTCCCCGTCTCAGTGTACACCTTTCTCGAGGGAACACATGTCTCTTATGGACACCCTTCCACACCAAATACTCAACTGACTTCTCTATTAAATTACCCTCTCTGTAATCAACAATTCATTTGGGTTTTGAACAGCCCTGATCATCTATATTTCAACAATCCATACAATTAACCGAAGAAAGTTTCAGGGTAAATTATAATCTTTTTTATTCAATGTTTTCAGCATTCTCATTACATATAAATAAATACTTTACCAGGCAACAACACTCCTATAATAGGCTAGATAGATGAACAAGTGAACACAAGCTTGGCATAAAAATTGAACAAAATGTGTGTGTACAAGTATAGTCAGTGTAGTCATATTTAAATAATAACAACTGACATAATTGAGGAGTATCCAAAGATAATATATTAATGAGTCATCATTTTCAATAACAGCGTTTCAATTTTAGTAAAATCCAATATAGAATCTATATACTAATATGTTGTTAATCGGTGGACCAGGTGTTTAATAATAGACAGTCAGCTGCAATTGTTAATATGTTTATAACACTAAGAATAAGAGGAATGGTGCCTGCGCAAGTCAGTGGATTATTCATTTTGATATACATTTTGTATATATTATTTATAATGTCCCTCAATAATTGGACATTGTCAACTATCGAGTGTTTTTCGTATTTATTTTGTTTTAACTGTGGTCCAACCATCATCCTCAGGGCCACCGCCATCACGTGGAGGGGGACGCTCTGATGTCCTGGGTGGAGGACGATCTGAAACAAGAATGATATGCAACATGAGCCTCAAATGTCTGTTTTCAGTGCACATAATATATCATTATTATTATTATTCAGTATCAAATAGCCTCCATGTAACAATAGATGGGGCTAATAGACGTTTTCGATAAATCGTGCCATCTTTGGAAACTATTACTTATTGGCTAGATTGATGAAGTCATTGGTTGTAGGTAGCAAACATCCCATTCAAAAATGGTATTAACTTTTTGCTAATTTTATAAAAGTACAACCTATGACATCATCAATCTAGCCAATATATTGTGGTTTCTCTGATGGATCAAAAGATGGCACGATTTATCGGAAACGTCTATTAACGTTACATAACTAATGAAAATATAACCATAACACTGAACTATTGTCAGCTTGGTTTGAAAAAAATGTAAATGTTTTTATGATGTTGTTTTGTAAAACAAGGTTACAACTTGCCATTATATGTGGCTTAATTTCCTGCATTTACAAATTGAACATTTACATCGTTTATATATAATTTAAAATGCATTTGATAGAATATCTACATACCGTCACCTCCTCTTCTCCAGCCACCCTCTGGTTCTCTGCGTGAGTCACGGTCACGTGGAGGGTCATCACGGCGCCATCTATCTTCCCGGTCATCTCTTGGGGGAGGTCTGGAGTCACGTTCCCGTTCCCTGTCTCTCCATCCTCCACCTCCACCACCACCCCCACCAGCTCTCCATCTACCCCCATCATCTCCCCTAGGACGGCTGTCGCGGTCATCTCTACGGTCATCATCACGTCCCCAACGACCACCACCACCACCACCTCTGTCCATTCCACGATCATCACCACCCCGTCCTCTCCAGCCTCCACGGTCATCTCCCCCACGATCATCACGACGATCATCATCTCCCCCACGACGATCACGCCAGCCTCCTCCTCCGCCACGTGGTTCATCATCACCACCCCTGCGCCATCTATCACTCCCTCTGTCATCATCTCTTGGGGCGGGACCTCCACGTCGATCATCACCCCCTCGTCTCCATGTATCACGGTTGTCCCTACCCCTTGGGGAGGGTCCACGGTCATCACGGAAACGATCCCCTCCTCTTTGGGGAGGTGATAGCTCTCTACGACGCGGTGGTTCCTCATCTTGGTCTCTAGGAGGTTCAGGGGACTGTTTTCTGTATTCTTCACGTATGTCTCTTGCGGGCATTCTACTCCTCCATGTTGACTCTCCCCTATCTTCTGGGACTTCTTTTTCCCTGTTTAAAAACAATCAGGATTTCAATTTAATAAAGTTTGATTGCATTTCGAACCTTACACTGCGAAGAGTAAAACAAACAAAAAAAATCATCCATGCATTTCCTAAGTGAACACCTCTGTTCAGAAACTTGCGTATAGATGTGTAATAATCATATTTAGTAAGTCATCTACTGAAGTTTTCTCATCATCTGAGGTGGACATTAGTTTCTAAATCAGAAATGAGAAACTTTTTATCACAAATTTGTATAGTTTAAATGGGACGAAGGATTTCGAGGGGATGTGGGATTCAAAGGATATGTGGCATTTCCAGTGGATGTGGATTCCTAATAATGCAATCGCCCAACAGTCTCAAGAATTTCAATATTCACAAATCTGGCTATTTGCCTTCAAGAACATCAAGACATGAAAACTAACCTAGGGGACTTCCAGCTATCTTCTTTTTGCTTTTGTCTTTCTCTCCAGCCTCCTCCTTCTTTTGCTGGTGGTTTCCAAGCCCCTCTTCTTGGTGAGCCATCTTCCTCATCTCTGCCTCTATCATCTCTATCTCTGTCTCGGTCTCTATCTCCATCCCTACCCCAACGATCCTCACTGAAATAGAATAACCAAGATATTTTTGTCATTCTTGAAAAACCTTCACAGGTACTCATATAAGTTCTTTTAATTTCATTCACTTACACAATCTAATGGTTTGAGATTTCTGTCAAGTGGTGTTTGAGTTATCTCCTTACACACCTCTCAAACTTGGTTCGGAGGGATAATGAAGTTTACATAATTTTTTTTTGCAATTAAATTTAGTTTTATCCAAATCACTGAGTATTAAGTTTAAGAAAGAATATATGACATTAAGATTTCAAAAACTGCATACCCCTGTCTGGGTCTACTTTTCTGTGCTTCTTCACGTGCCCTATTGCGTTCCTCAATCTCTTGTTCTCTTTTTCGCTGTTTCTCAGCTTGCTCCTCTAGTTTGGCTAATTTGTCCCTGTAGGCTGCCTCCTCAAGTTCCCGCTGCTCCTGCTCTAACCTTTCCTTCTCTTCACGCTCTGTAGACACAGAGAAACAAGTAGTAAGACAATTACCATAATACCCTTACTTTTATTACATTATTTGCTAGTATTGTTGCTCTGTGAAAATATCAAAAATTCACTTATTTTGCCTCTTCCATTAGTTGACCTCCTATTTATACCACATGTCCCTCTTTTAGTTCAATTTTTCTGTATCAAATCATTATTTTATTGGTTGATTATCAGTGGATGCCTCGAAACTTACCACGCTTCAGTTTTTCATCACGGATTCTCTGTGCCTCTTCCTCCTTCTCCTGGATGTATCTCTGGCGTCTCTCATCCTTACGTGTTTGTTTACGCTCTTCAAGTCGTCTCTTGCGCTCCTCAGCCAAACGCTTGTTGAAAGCCTTCACATTCTCCTGGATGTTGATATGGCAATATTAGTGTGTGGAATGTACATTGAATATTACTTTGATCATCATATAAGGGTCAACACAGTTTATTAAATTATCCTCATAAGGCATTCTACAGTTCTTAGTTATAAGTTTGTTGAGAATAAGTGATATAAAATTGAATGGAATGGTGAAATATAGGAAACATATTTTTAGAGAATATTTGAATTGAATGTGAAATGCTTTTGTTTTGACTAATCTACACAACGAGATATGCCAAATAGACAGCATTTTGTCGATATATGCTCTACTTGACACCATGGTAACACAACTATTACCATAGCAACGCCTATGAAGAGCAATATTTAAAATTGAGAGTCTGTATTAAAAGTGGTAGAATAAATTTAAAACATAAAATTAATGCAATGATTGCAGAAGAAATGACATGGCATCTGAAGTTTTGAACATACTTTGCACTTCATCCCATAAGTAAAGCTCCAATAGGAAATAAAGAGCTGGAATCATAAGTCAAAAAATGTTTTTTTCCTAAGAGTCTTACCTTATAGACAGACTGCCTTGCCTCTTTCAATTTATTCATGAATGCGTTTTTGTCAGTCTCCATACGCTTCAGACGCTCTCTGTTGGCAATGGCGTACTCACGTTCAGACTTAGCTTGGGTGATCTACAAACAATAACACAACTTCAAATTGAAACATTTAGCGGGTTTTTGGCTTAACTATGGATTCATTCTATTGGTTGATTGTTGTTAAACCTTTCTTGTGCTTTTTGTTATATTTTTGACAATCTATGATTCATAAATTACAGACATGATTTACAAAACCTAACTCTTTATGGACAGAGAATTATGATTTATGTGAATCATTTTTACAAGAAGCTGTCATATTTGCAACTGTGGAACTTTACTTCTGGTCGATACATCATTTAATGAATTTTCAATTTATTTACCCTAACATCAATTTCTACAAGTGTCCTCTACACAACTGTCTCGAATATCACATTTGATTTGTGAGGGCAAATGATTATGGTAAACTCAAAACTGGCAGGTTCAGGAAATTCAAGATTTATGGTATATTGCATTCAAGTTGAAATGCTCAACACATACCCTTTCCTCTTCTTCTCTGTACCAGAAGTTCTTCATCTCTTCACGATCTTCGTCAAACTTCTTCAACAACAGCGGAATTTCCTCAACTCTCTTGGCCCTGGCAAAGTGGTCAACCTACAGCGATAAAACATATGATAAAATCGATGGTGGTAATATGAAAGTCCACATTGGTAAAAGGAAAAGTCCACCATGGTAAAATGAATAGTCCACCATGGTAAAATTAAAATTCACATTGGTAAAATGAAAACCCACATTGGTAAACCAACTTCACATAAATGGGTGAGGCTTATCATAGCTCAGGAATCTGCTCAGATGTAAACCTCTATTCAGAAACTTGCGTATAGATGTGTATTAATCATATTCATAGTCATCTAGTGAAGTTTTCTCATCATATGGAGGTGAATTTGCTTTACATTCTCTTTAGGGTCTTTGAAATTGCAAATCATGAAACAACATTTGGCATTGAAGTGTTTTTTGCAGTGTAAATATAACCTCATCACAAATGCCCCGACAAGAATTTATTTTCCTTCATTTTAATACAGTTGAACAATAAGTAGATATAGTTTTTAGGTTGTTCAATGTCTGATTCCTTACCTTTCTCTCTTGCGCCTTGAGTCTCTCTTGGAGCTCTTTCTTCTCCTTCTCCAACTGCTCAACCTGCTTAGCCATGATCTCATCAGCATCCAACTCGGCCAGTTCCTAGTATGATATTCAGGAAATGGGGTAATAATATATGGACACATCTGTATATTTATTTGAACACATGTACTGCATGTTCTTTTTTACATTTTAGACCATCATCTTTTTTTTAGAAAGGATATAAGTTTGAGACAATATCTTGAAATAAACATATTTAAAGAAAGGATTCCCCAAGTTTACTGTTAGGATGTTTGTACGAGGGTGTATTCGTGACTTCAGAGACTTAATATTGAATTGATTAAATCTGATATCCATTTAAACACATGAATCACAAACACTTCGTCATAAAGTAATTGTTTGGTGTGTGTAAAACAAATATGCCAGATATAAGAGCATAGTTAGGTAAAAACACCAAAAGTTCTATATATGCTCCCCGTGACACCATCGCAACACAGAAGTCAGTTACCATAGCAACGCCTATAGAGAGCAATGTCAATGTAGCTGACCAAAATAAAATAATAACTAGAGATCACAATTTATTTCTTGTTCAAAAACATGAATACTAATCATTTTAAATGGCCCAGTTTCTTGAAAATATCTTGATAAGATGCCCCAAATGCAACTAATTGTTGACAGCACAATAATAACAACCTCAAAGACATTATAAGATGTAAGAATCTAATCTTGGTCTGTGATATCTTCCAGGAAGAAAGCCCAGAGAGTGAATAATTTGTTTTCAAGCAGAATTCAATGAAAGACAGTGTCTAACCTGTTCAGAAAGGTCCTTGAAAGCACTGGCTCCAACATCAGACTTCTTCAGTTGTTCCAGACGTTCCTTGGCATGCTTACGCTTGATCTCATCATGCTCTTCCTGTTTCTTCATAGCAGCTCTCATATCGGCCTCCTTAAGGAGACGAGCCTCTTCAGCTGCAATTTGCTCCTGTTGGGCCTCACGGATCTTCTCATATTCCAGACGCTCCTGAAGCACAAATGGCATTTACATTTAAGGGATTTCATTATTTACACTAATTGTCAATTGACCAAAATACTGTATAATTTAAACTTTACACATGGTTCACTGGAATTCTTCTAATAGATGAAAAAGGACCAGTTTTTATAATTTTTTGTATTCCATAAGATATGTGAAAGTCCAAACAGAAGAGCGAAAGGTGAAGGTGCTTGGGTGGAGCAATGATAATTGACTACAATGCACTTCTTTTCAGAAACTTGCGTATAGATATTTTCAAAATCATGGATTATCATACACCATCTTTTCTCATCAAAAAAGAAATGCAAGGCAGATAAGATAAAACTTGACAACCATTGAATGTATATCACTGGCAGATCATTAAAAATTTGTGAGGATTAACACATGTTTGATATGAAATTTTGGAAGTGCTAGTTTTAACATACCCTTTCTGTGTTGATATTCTCGAGCTCCTCTTTGCGCTCCTCTATAATGTGTCTTCTCTGGAGGATTCGTGTGTGGTCAGTCTTAGCACTGCTGCGATAGTTCTTCACAATATGGGCTCTGCAATAAATAAAAAAGAATTCAAAATTAAATTTACATTCATTAATCATGCATGTATTGGCCATAATCCTGTATGAGATTTCAAATCAGAGTCGCTTTTGTGGAATGAACAGCCTGCATCGGGAATACATAAAGGCTACATTAATATTTTACTGTGTGGCCCATAAGTAGATTTACAATATAGATTATTGTAAAGTAACTGTAAACCTACTTTTAGGCTACCCTGTACAGTAGATCTATAGATCTAAATAGGCCATTGATATCTTGTGCACACTTTCTCTTCAGAAAGATACGTATAGATTTTCATTATCAAGTCATCTTCTCTGTTCTCATCACCAAAGAAATATGCACCTTTTAAAAAATTGTCCAAGTTTCTTGCTCCTTTATACATTAGCTAAATTCTAAGGAATGAAGAATGCATCTGAACACATAAGGCCATATTTACTTCCAAGTGATAAACTATTGGAAATACACACCAAAATATTGCTATCACCAAATAATTACAGCATAGACCCATACATAATTATATTTTGAATTTGTACAGCAACCTCTGAACCAATTTTATTTCTTTCAAATTACCTAAGGTCCTCAGTCTCCTGGTCTCCATCAGTGGGCTTAATGACGTTGATTGCTTTCTGTAAAGCAGACGCCATATTGGTCAGCTGACTTCTGATCTGCTCACTGGGCATAGCCTGGATACTTGGGCCCTCAGGTGCATCCTCTTTCTGGGAAACAGCAAGGTCTGTGCCAAAACTCAGCGATCTTGACTGATGGTCGATTCTCACCTTGTATAAATCAGATACATTTATTAGACATGATTATGGAAGGTGTAAATCACATTATTAAATTAAAATGCTTGGATGTGTACATGTGTACTTTTGTTGAAAGACAGCTAGGTATGTGTCAAGCTTGGGAATTCTGACCTATGCTCGCCTAAATTCATGGTTGCATCTATAAGGTTTATATCTATGTTTTACAATTCTGTTAAATGGAGCATATTTTTGAAAATTTGGGTGCATTTTCTCTTCAGAAACTTGCGTATAGATTTTTCATAATCACATATATATTCATCTATTCTATTCTCATCATTTAAAAAATGCACACATCAAATTAAAAAGCTGTACTAAATTAAAGAAGAATGACATAGGCCACTCAAAATACATTTACTCCTTGAAGACTTGTCACTAAGCTACAATTTTACATGAGGTAGTCTTCCAATGAGTTAATGTCTTATAGGTTTCTGATGAGTGTTTTGAAAACACACATCTGTATGATATGACTCACCTGTAGCTCTAAGTTCTTGATCTCATGTACGATCACCTTTTCTAGCTGGAACTCAGAGACAAAGGGAGCCAGGGCAGCCAGACGAGAGAACTCAATGGTCTGGTATACTTGGGACACCTGAAATAAAATACAACAGTCTGAGCTTTATTACATGTATCTAAACGAAGTAGAGAAGCCAATCACCCAGATGGTTTTTTCTAAGAGTGTTTAAGTTGAGGAATCAATTTAGAGTGCGTTTGTTGTGCATTTCTCTTCAGAAACTTGCGATATAGATCTTTTCAAAATCAATGATTCTCATACATCATACATCTTCTCATTCTATAAGAATAGTTTTATCACTCATTTGAGAAAACATTGTGCTAACAAAACAGGTACAGTTGAACTAATTTCTTAAATCATTGAATCAAAGAATCCACAAGTTCAACTGACCTGTTTCAAGAGCCTAGTGATTGTGATCTCCTGTATAGCAGTTGTGTACTGAGAGAGGTCAGGATTCTTCTCAATGAATTCCAAAGAGTTGGCTACACGGCTGGAGAGCTTCAATGGGTGGAACTCAACCTCCAACCAGCGGTACAGGTTCGACAGCTGTGGGTTCACACTCTGAACTATACCAGTCTTCACCTAAAACACAAGTGCATTTTCATCATGAAAAATGCTTTGTACTCTCTTATATAGAATCCATTCACGGTAGAGAAAATATACCAGTCTTCACCTAAAACACAAGTGCATATCCATAATGGAAAATGCTTTGTACTCTCTTATATAGAATCCATTCACGGTAGAGAAAATATATACCAGTCTTCACCTAAAACACAAGTGCATATCCATAATGGAAAATGCTTTGTACTCTCTTATACATAGAATTCATTCACAGTAGAGAAAATATTCTTTAAAGCATTGGTAAATAACTTTTGTTTTTGTGCACAAAATTTTCTTCACAGAAGAATATTTCAAATTTTTAAATGTTGCAAATATTTCAACTCCCAGAATGTGTTCATGTGCCTAGTAATAGCAGAGAATGTAATCAATGGACAAGGCTACATTGTTTATGACAACTGTATTTCTGCAATTATTTAGAGTGAAGTATAATAGCTTCCTCACCAAATCATTGACCAGGCTCTGACGGGTTGGTGGATTCTGGAGGTTCAACAACGAGGCAAGGCGTCGCTCTTTCTCCAAAGCTGTTTCGTCAAAGTCCAACAGATTAGCCATCTGGTTGCGAGAAGGTGGGATTGGGATGGAGAGTGTTGCACATAGCACTCTTGATGCTAACCTGGAGACAGAAAAATTATATTCATATTGTAGCACTTTCTTGCATTTGTATTTCCATGTATGTACATGCTGTCTGCTTACATCATTGCTTTAGTGGCTAAAAAGTGTTTCTAAATATATATTACTTCAGTTCTCTGCTATGCGTCTGAGGATCAACACCTCAGACGTATAGTATAAATTTCACAAATATATTATCATTAATGTTGAAAGCTCAATATAATAGTTAAGTTTCATCAATTATGTTTTCATCAATTACAAATATAGGTAACTTCTGGGATTGATAATTAATGAAACTTCTTAAAATAGATAACACATGTTACTGATTTTTAGATTACAATTTGCATATCTTATGCATCATTTTATGTTCTTCAAAGGTAAATGGTACAGGTAAATGCAAAATTCTAATTCTCCTAATTCTGACTTAAGTTGGTTAACTCATGATTTGTCCATTTTCTAGTAAGTTCAAGCCTATAGTATTTTCAGATCCCAAGTGGGTGCAGCCAAGTGACATACTGCTTCAATATTGGAAAGATCACTGAGTTTTCTTTAAGGCCAGGTAGTCTAAGGGTGCATGTTCGGCATTTTGCTGCATTCCTCAATTGAGTCACATGTTATTTTTCAAACAGGAATCACTCCTTCCCCATGTTGTCTATATCTTCCAGTTTTGCACATAGAGTGCACTTATGTGCCTAGAAAAGACTGGTGAGAAGATTTCTTGTTTTTATGAATTTTATCAAAACATTCTTCTATACATTCTTTTCTAGGTACATTAGTGCACTTGTTGTGCAAAAGTGAGAAATGTAGACATTGTGAGGAAGGAGTGATTTGAAAAATAACATGTGACCCTATGGAGGGTTGCAGCAAAATTCAGATCATGCACCCTGACCTTAACACATGTACACAAATAGCACAAGCAATACTATAAAAGTTCAGGGGACTCTTGAATAAAGCAACGATCTTTACAGGTTTCAAGTATTCTCCTTGTATTCTCTTTGTACTTTATGCAAAACAACTAGGCAAGATAAACAACATCATTTTATCATGCTTGTTCACTATCAGATATGTTTACAAACATACAAGGTCACCATGATTTAAGGACTATGATAAACTGTCCTATCACATTAGTTAACAGCCTAAACGCTGTATACAATCAAAGAAACTGAATAACTTCTGTAAAAAGTAATAAATTTAACGTTAAGATAGCTGTATACTGTAGAGAGGTTTTAACTGATGGCCAAACCTTAATACATGTACTATATCATATAACGGATTTGGCAATATTCAGCATACAACAAGGTTTTTATCTACATTTACAGAATGTTTGTACAAGTGGCTATATTTGTTGTATTGCTATTCTTAACAAGATGGCTATACAAGTGGATGAAATCAAAGAAATGTACAGCTCCAGGACCACCTGGGCTACCACTCTTTGGGAACATTTTCCAGCTCAATGCCCAGTTTTCATTTACACAGCTAGAACAATGGAAGGAGGAATATGGAGATGTCTACAAGCTGAACTTACTTCTCTCAGAGGTTGTTGTGATCAATGGAGAAACAATCTATGAGGCTCTGGTAATCAAGGGCAATGACTTTGGTGGGCGCCCAAAGACTGGACGCCTAGAGTTAATAAATCAATATGAAGATATTGTTACAAGGCCTGCTGATGAAAAATGGAAAGATCTACGTAAAATTGCACATGCTGGATTGAAGCAATATGGCGTAGGTGTGTCAAGGATTGAAGAGATTACTATGGATGAGATCATGATCTGTATTGGAAGGTTTGATAGAACTGATGCTTTTGATCCATTTGAGGATATCTATCTGACAGTGGCTAATATTGCATTGGCTATGGTAAGCTATAAGGTTTTCCCTTAATTTTTCCAAATTTTTGAAATGCGGCAACTGATTTTAAAGGCAGTTAACCAGGTCTGATAAGAATCAACAATGAACTCGTTGAAAAAATAACTAGCTATATTAACTATATATAATAACAATCAGTTATTCAAATTCACACCCAGACATATTTTTAATGACCAACACACTTGGTTCAACATGAGCAGTAGTAGAAGCCTTAAAAATTACATACAATTCATTGTATTAAATCTGTACTTCATTTTATTTTATTTATTGATTTCTCAATTCACCCTTTATAGGGTATAAGAGTACAAAAGACTAACAAATACAGACAATTTTCCTTAAAGCTGACAGGTGAGACCCTAGAAAAGACAGACCCATGGCTACAGAGGGTGATGAGATCAGACAAGTTGACGTGCAAGGCATACAGCACAAAAACAGCTTACTTAGATGTGCTACCTTGGCTAAGACATATACCCCATGCTAATGGGAAGCTATTCAATGAAGCAATAAGTGAAAACACAGGATGTATAGACAACATCATAGAAAAAACAAAGGTGATTTTTATAACTTTTAGAAGTTTTAAAGTTGACACTACAGTGTAACAACAGCTGTATTTATTACCTATATATAACCAGAACAACGGCAACGCCAAAGCGTAGCGAATCCCATCGAACAGAAATGGCTGGCATTTTTACAAACGAATATAGCAAATATCATAAAACAACACACCAGAAAGGCCACCATTTTCAAAATGGTTGCTCACTAGCCAAGTTGTCATCAGAAGAAATAATATACTTTTAAGTAGCCACCTCTAAAATTTATGAAAAATCGCACACGTACTTGTAAAATATCACACATAAAAATGGTGGCCATTTTTCAAAATTGCCGACTACTCCCCAAAGTTTTATTAGACAATGTGCCATGTAAAGTATTCACATATCAAATATGAACAAAATCGCTCCACTACTTTTCGAGTTATAGTAAAATACGTTAAAATGGCGGCCATTTTCAAAATGGCCTTCTACCAAAAGTGTCATTAGAAATAGACAGCGTGCCACGCTTATAGTATTCACATACCAAATATGAACAAAATCACTCCACTACTTTTCGAGTTATAGTAAAATACCAAGGAGGATTGGCTCCCAGGATCGAAACTCGATATTTTCCAACAATGAAAACGTCGAAATGTCGTTATTTTCTGAAATTAAAACCGACTATAAATTCAAAATAAACAGTTCAAAAGATTCGAACCAATATCTCGATCATTTCTTGTGAGTTTTGGAATTTTTCGTTTGGAAATAAGACCAAAATTCACGATTTAAATGTTGAAGTGAACAAAATGGCGGCTGTTTGAATTCGAATTTTGTATTACGACATACCCATATATGGGACAGAATATCGGTGGTGCACTCTGGGAGCCAATCCTCCTTGGTAAAATACGTTAAAATGGTGGCCATTTTTCAAAATTTTTTTCAAAATGGCCGCCTTCTACCAAAAGTGTCATAGGACAGTGTGCCATGCTTATAGTATTCACATACCAAATATGAACAAAATCGCTCCACTACTTTTCGAGTTATAGTAAAATACGTTAAAATGGCGGTCATTTTTCAATTTTTTTTCAAAATGGCCGCCTTCTACCCAAAGTGTCATAGGACAGTGTGCCATGCTTATAGTATTCATATACCAAATATGAACAAAATCGCTCCACTACTTTTTGAGTTATAGTAAAATATGTTAAAATGGCGGCCATTTTTCAAAATTTATTAAAAATGGCCGCCTTCTACCAAAAGTGTCATAGGACAGTGTGCCATGCTTATAGTATTCACATACCAAATATGAATAAAATCGCACCACTACTTTTCGAGTTATAGTAAAATACGTTAAAATGGCGGCCATTTTTCAATTTTTTTCAAAATGGCCGCCTTCTACCCAAAGTGTCATAGGACAGTGTGCCATGCTTATAGTATTCACATACCAAACATGAACAAAATCACTCCAATACTTTTTGAGTTATAGTAAAATACGTTAAAATGGCGGCCATTTTTCAAAATGGCCGCCTTCTACCAAAAAGTGTCATTAGACAGTGTGCAATGCTTATAGTATTCACATACCAAATATGAACAAAATCGCTCCACTACTTTTTGAGTTACAGCAAAAATCGTAAAATGACGAGTAAAGGCCGCCATTTTTCAAGATGGCTGCCATGTGCTTCTTTAATATCTACATTTGTAGCATTATTAATGTCCTTTATAATTTTTTACATTTAAAACATATTGCTATTTTAGTTTTACATATTGTACCTAAATTACTGTAAAATCGGCACTAAAATGGCCGCCATTTCGAAATGAGCGGCCATTTTGAAAATCGGCTTTCGAGCAGAACTTCTACTCTCATAGGGTATATGTGTACAGAATATGAACAAAATCGGGCCAACGGTATTTGAGTTATTGCCCCGACGGACGGACAGACGGACGGACGGACGTACGTACGTACGTACGTACGGAGGCGTTCCCTATATCCCTCCGAACTTCGTTCGATGGGATAAATATATACAGAACTTAGTAAAGAATTTAGTGCATGGGAATAAAATACACCGTAGTGCTAAAACTGATCCTGCATAATATTTTTTAATACCCACATTTTTTATCTATTTTTGGCAGCAATGGTAAATCATTCTGAAAAAATATCTCGGCCCAACACAGCCTAAGAGATTAATGTTTAATCTTTGCAAGATCTCCATCTGGATTTTTTTCAAAATTTGACCAGACCAGAACGATGTAAATGACTGCATCTTTTATTTTGAACTGACTGAATGATTCCTCAATTATTGTCTTTTTTCTTGCAGTTTTTTTCTGGCTATTCTGCTCCACCAATAGCTCACCAAATTCATCAAAATTTTCTCCATCTGTTTCATAACTGTAATCTGTGAGTTTTAGAGCACCCTGGATGAGAAGAATATAAGAGGAGTATTTGACCTGATACTCATGGAACAACAAACACGAAAGAACTCCCAGAATGCTCTTAGTCACAATGCAGTCAGAGGTTTATTTCAAAACCTCATATTTGCAGGTATAAGAATATGAAATATTCAAGATTACCACTTTTAGTAATCGACCTCAACTACAGCTTAATTCAAATGAGTATATTGTTATCACTGTTGAAAAAAAAACAAGAACTAATGGAATTCTGAATTCTGAAAATCAGGAAAAGATAATGAAAATTTGCTGGATGAAGTGTCAGTTTGAGTTGTCCAATTTTTCATTAATGTGTGATAAGAACCGAAAAATGTGAACCGAACCAAGAAATTATGAAACCGTCAGAGCCCTAATGAACATCTATAATGCTTTAAAACAACCTGAGACTAACAGTGTTGATGTATAGAACACATCCATTTTGTAGCGATGACCACAACATCCACAGCTCTAAAGGCAATGACTGCACTACTGATAGACCATCCAGACATACAACAGAAGCTATATGATGAGATAGACAGAGTCATTGGTGATAGGTAGCTTCATAGTACACAATGTGAAATTTTTGTATGATAATTCAGATCTTATTTATATCCATCAATATTAAGATTATAGGACCAAATGTCACATTTTTTCTAAAATTTTCTGAATTCTTTGGTTGGTTTAGAATGAATTATTCAAATTGCAGGCCACCTGAACTACAAGACAGATACAAGATGCACTACATGGAGGCCTTTATCTTGGAGTCACTGAGACACACTTCATTCCTACCAATTGCTATACCACATGAGACAATGAATGATGTCACGTTAAATGGATATTTTATCCCAAAAGGCACTCAGGTAGATTAATGTATGAATTTATTGGCTTAACATTAGTACACTGTACTATCATTTTCTTGAAAACATCCAAAACGAATACTAATAAATGATTACATAGCTTGATGTATTTTTGTGAAGTTTCATTTAACATATAGTGGTTTCATTTCACTTCTTTCAACAGAAGACTATCATAAATTATTTGCCTGACAGTGAATCTAGGCACTATTTGCCCATTATTTGACAACACAATACTTTGGAAGGGGAGAGGTATTCACTGATTATCGAAATGTTCTCTAATAAATGAGTGTCTTCATCGGACACCAAAGGGGTGAATCATTAAAGGAACATTCCTGGCCAAACCTTTTCTATCCTGATGTAATAGCTATAATCATATATACCAGGTCGTTCAATAAGTTCACGGAAAAATGCTCTCATTTCAAAGATTCTTAATATTTTCCCATAAAATTTTCACACAATGTTTAAAAAATACTTTCTGATTGATTCTTAAAATCTCAGCATCTCTAATTAGATTGGTCAAAAATAAGGGTTACTATGGTAACTTGACTTTTGGGTAGGCGGGGCACTTTTTACGTCACACAATTTACCATTACAGAAATCTATCAATATGTGCAAAGGAAGGATCCTTATTTTTTATTTGTTCTTATTCAAATTACAAATTTTTGAGGGAAAATTGATGTTCATTGTTTTCACGAACATTTCTGAAATTGTGCTAGTCAATGCTGTACCAGTAGACCAGAAAATCAACAAAGTTATGGTATGGTAAGTAATTTTTATTAAAACTTCCATTCAGCCGAACTCTAAATTTTTCCATCAGAATAATGCAGCTGATCACACTGCTAATATTGTGCAGGAAGCCATCACAAATAACTGGCAAAATTGATGGCAAAGCTGCCCCAAGTTACATACTCTCCAGATGAGACAACTTTGATTTTGCTGTTTTCACTAGGATGAAGTATCAGCTAAGAGGTGCACTTTTATGAAACAATGAAACTACTTTCGACTGCAGTCCAGATTACCCTTCAAACAAGTTTTCAAGATGACTTCATAGCATTGTCTCGTCAATGGCTTGAATGGAACCTAATGTGCCTTAAACATGGGGGAGAATATTTCTAAAACCTTATGGGACAATAGTTGTTACTATTATTACATTAAGTAATATCATGTACAAGTAGAAAGCAGAGAAGAAATTCATGTGATATACTCATAAATTGCCTACTATTCTGTTGTTTTTCTAATGAATAATGTGACGTAAAAAGTGCCCCACCTACCCAAAAGTCAAGTTACCATAGTAACCCTTATTTTTGACCAATCATATAAGAGATGTTGATATTTTCAGAATCAATCAGAAAGTATTTTTTATACATTGTGTGAAAATTTCATGAGAAAATATCAAAAATCCTTGAAATGAGAGCGTTTTTCCGTGAACTTATTGAACGACCTGGTATACGTTCCATATTTAGCAAAACATGGGGAAATGTTTTAATATAGTCAATATAGATAATTTAAAAATGTAGTGCTCATTTCCAGTAAGCTGCCATCTTTTAAGATTTTACTCAGGAAGTGATGTCATCGACTCTCAACTTTCATGACCTTGCATATAACAGTATAGGAAAATAGCACAATATCACTTCTAGATGAGTGATCCTTACTTTATGTGCAAAAATATGTTCAGAGCTTGTCAGCTTAGAATAAAAAAAGAGACTTTTAGAAGGATTAAATCATAGACAAAATTGAAAAAGAATATTCAGCTGGTTTTGTAATTCTTAATAGCTCCTTATAGTGTTATATGCAAAGTTGAGAGTCGATGACATCACTTCCTGAGTGAAATATTAAAAGATGGCAGCCTACTGGAATTTGGCACTACATTTTCAAGTGATCAATATTGACCATATCAAAACATTTTCCCCTGTTTTGCTAAATATGGAAAGTATATATATGGTTATAGCTACCATATTAGGAGAGAAATGGTCTGCCCAGGAATATTCCTTTAATGTACTAATTGAATCTAAATACCCCCTTTTCAGGTTTGGCCAAATCTATTTGGTTTACATCATGATGAAAGATACTACCCAGAACCATGGGCTTTTAAACCAGAGAGATTCCTGGACAATAATGGGGAAGTTATACCTGTAGATCAGAGGAAACTGTGAGTGAACTCTTGCTTATAGGATGCATGTTCAAGTGCAAAAATACCATTTTGGTACAAGCATTTCATGCATGAAATCACATATCAGACCTTCAGAGTTGGGCATAATAGCGGTACTATCTTGGCACATTTCAGAATCTGAGCAATATCCATTTTAAATAGAAACTGTCATATTTTCCAGCACATAACTAGTTAAGCTTTCTGCATATTTGAACAAATGTACACACAAGGCATTAACATGACAAAATGTCACCACCTAGTTGTTCACAATATCATAAGTTCAAACTTAAGTCAGATTTGAATTTTTGAGAACTTGCAAAGTGGTCAATTTGAAACAAGTTTTTTGACACTCAGAAGGTCATTGAAGGTGAAATCTCAAATCTAAAGTCAGATTTGAACTTCTGAGAACTTGAAGATTTTGAAAAAAAAATATTTGTCAATTTGAAGCAAGTTTAAATAAAAAAGACCTGTTTGACATTGAGAAGGTCATTGAAGGTCAAATGTTTTTTTACCTTGAAAATGTCATTGAAGGTCAAATTTGTATTCAGATTTGAACTTTTGAGAACTTGTACATGGTTTTGAAAAAAGGAATTTGTCAATTCCAAGCAAGTTGAAAAAATAACTTTTTTAACCTTTTTTGACTTTGAAAAGTCGGATTTGAACTTCTGAAAACTTCAAGATGATTTTGAAAAAGGTCAATTTGAAGCAAGTTGACAAAAGACCTTTTAACCTTTTTTTGACCTTGAAAGGTCATTGAAGGTCAAATCTTAATTCTAGAGTCAGATTTGAACTTCTGAAAGCTTGTAGATGATTTTGAAAAAATTGAAATCAGTCTAAATATTATTTGTCCAGTTATTGAAAGTTGTAAGAAATTATTACAATCGATGATCACCAACCACCAACCACCGATCACTGTCACAAAAAAAATGGAGACCATAACAATATGTCACCACTTTTTGGTGGTGACCTAATAATAAGGGAAACATTTTTATGATTTCTACTCCAGCTTGTTACCATTTGGAGGTGGGAGAAGGGTATGTGTTGGCGAACAGTTTGCCAGGATCCGTATCTTCCTGTTTCTATCAACAGTACTTCAACACTATGAGATACTACCAGAGAAACCTGACTGCCCGCCACTGTTTGATCCCAGGAAGTGTGTACTTGGAAGTGTCCTCAAGATGGAGGACTACAAACTGAGAATGCAAAAACGGAAATAGACCCAAGAAATGCCATCATTAAACTCCTTTAGAGATTATAACCTACTGTAATAAACATTATACATTAGTGTACATCCAGAATCTTCATAACAACAGATAAATGCTTTATCCTGCAAAGCAACCATGTTTAAAATGCTCAGTGATTTTAAATCTAAATTCTGTGTTCAAAATCAACCTGCCACTTATCTGCCATATACGTCACCAGCTATCTCTAACCTAACTATATCCAAATATTTATATGACTAAAAAAATGAAAAGCAAAATGTATTGTTTATATGAATAAAAATTTACTTACTTTTGGGCTTCTTCTGATGACAGATTCTTCTTCTGTTCCTTTGAGAGTTGAAGCAAGCGTGCCAGAGCGCAGGCATGGAACAGGTGGTTGCCTGCCTTCTTGAAGACAAGGGCCAGCTTTTGGTAGTAGTTAGCCATTAGAGAGGGCTTAGGAGGCTTCTTGGACAGCAGGATGAAGCCATTCACATCTTCAATGGCTTTGTAGGCTTCCTGAAAATGTGAATGACGAATAATGATCAACTTTTATCCATTTGAAGGTTAATAGGAGAATTGGTCAATAAGATGGTATATTTGTACAAAATACCAAATTTTGCATCAACATTATACTTTACTACTGCAATAGATAACAGGCTGTTGTCCCATATTATACCTTTTAGACCCAATATGGGGACAAAATTGTATTGGAAAGAAAATACTTGAAGCAATGGCAAGCAATCTCCATACAAACATTCAATCATAATACATACTCTTTTCATCAAGCATATTGTCCTAAGCATATTTTAACCTGTATGCTACATGTACAAGTACTTCTTTTCAGAAACTTGCGTATAGATTTTGATAATCAACGATTTTCATCTATCCAACTTTTCTCATCACACAAGAAGTACAATTTAACATGAGTTTCCCCTCTACCACAATGCCATCTATAAGAGAATCTGAGTGGAAGGGTATAAGACCAGGACTTGAACTTATGCCTACCTGCCAAAGCTCCATCTGTATTGCACTCTCCAGCTGTACAAGACGGGTCTCCAGGTGCATGGCCTGACTCTCAGGGTTGTTCAGGTTAATAGCTCTCTGCTGGTGCTGATGCTTGTGGATGTGACCCAAGTGAGTCCTCAACTGCAAACAGATTCAAATATGTGTGTCAGTTCAGTGTGCATACAAGCTTGTACAAGGGTCTGAATTCAAATATTTGTGTCAGTTCAGTGTGCATACAAGCTTGTACAAGAGTCTGAATTCAAATATGTGTGTCAGTTCAGTGTGCATACAAGCTTTTATCCAATGCCAAGTAGAGTTTCAGGGAGATAAGTTGGTAAGATATATCCCGTATCCTGATTTTGAGGTTTCAATATCCTGAACCTCCATATCTCCCGCCAAATCTCCCGCTCCAGTGCATATCTTCCCGCTTCGAAAAAATAAAAAAATGTGAAAAAATTTAAGAAAAAGAAAAAATGTGAAAAAATTGAAAAAAATAAAAAAAATGAAAGAAGAAAAAAATAGAAAAAACAGAAAAAATAAAAAAAAATAAGAAAAATGTGAAAAAATTGAAAAAAATTGAAAAAATGAAAAGAATTGAAAGAAAATTTGAAAACTCTACTTGGTATAGGATAAAGCAGTTATGTACGGTCGGTTTGGATATTGGGTTCATCCCTCGTGAGACATGCACATCTACCTTCGGTCCCTACGGTCCCTCAGGTAGATATGCATATCTCCCTCTGGATAAACCCCATATCCAAAACCTCCCAGTACATAACCCTTATGTACAAGGGTCTGAATTCAAATATGTGTGTCAGTTCAGTGTGCAGACAAGCTTGTACAAGAGTCTGAATTCAAATATGTGTGTCAGTTCAGTGTACATACAAGCTTGTACAAGAGTCTGAATTCAAATATGTGTGTCAATTCAGTGTGCATACAAGCTTGTACAAGGGTCTGAATTCAAATATGTGTGTCAGTTCAGTGTGCATACAAGCTTGTACAAGGGTCTAAATTCAAATATGTGTGTCAGTTCAGTGTGCATACAAGCTTGTACAAGAGTCTGAATTCAAATATGTGTGTCAATTCAGTGTGCATACAAGCTTGTACAAGGGTCTGAATTTAAATATGTGTGTCAGTTCAGTGTGCATACAAGCTTGTACAAGGGTCTAAATTCAAATATGTGTGTCAGTTCAGTGTGCATACAAGCTTGTACAAGAGTCTGAATTCAAATATGTGTGTCAATTCAGTGTGCATACAAGCTTGTACAAGGGTCTGAATTCAAATATGTGTGTCAGTTCAGTGTGCATACAAGCTTGTACAAGGGTCTAAATTCAAATATGTGTGTCAGTTCAGTGTGCATACAAGCTTGTACAAGAGTCTGAATTCAAATATGTGTGTCAATTCAGTGTGCATACAAGCTTGTACAAGGGTCTGAATTTAAATATGTGTGTCAGTTCAGTGTGCATACAAGCTTGTACAAGGGTCTAAATTCAAATATGTGTGTCAGTTCAGTGTGCATACAAGCTTTTACAAGAGTCTGAATTCAAATATGTGTGTCAGTTCAGTGTGCATACAAGCTTGTACAAGAGTCTGAATTCAAATATGTGTGTCAGTTCAGTGTGCATACAAGCTTGTACAAGAGTCTGAATTCAAATATGTGTGTCAATTCAGTGTGCATACAAGCATGTAAAAGAGTCTGAATTCAAACAACACGTTTATCTGAAATGAAGCACTACAATTTGCAAAACACATACATATAGTGTCAATTATATAGTATGAATTATTAACTTTACATGAAGATGAAGTTTGTTACAATTTGCAGGGATCCCTAGAATTTCTGACAACAGGTAAAATGAATGAAAACAGGCAAAACCCAAATTCTAAAATGTAAACTATTGGAAAAATTCCTAAAAACTGGGAATTTGGGTAAAATAACTGGAGGAAATTGCCTGTTGGCTGCTATTAATAAAATATAATATAAAACCATTAGAACACATAAGAATACTATTAGAACAGATGAAACCCTTAACCACTTACATTATCACACAACTTTCTGAACTCTGTCTTCCTGGAGTAGTTCAAACAGAACTTGAATGCTGAAATAGAGGGTTCAAAATATTATATTATATTCAAAATATTAAACATAATATATGAAGTACTTTAAAACGTGGCGAATATAGAATCAGATATATAAGAAGAATGATATTTTACAATCTCAAAATAGTGCGTAGAGTTTAGATCCCACAAAAGTACATACAATGTCCACCTTCACAAATATCATGTCGCATGAAAACTGCAAGTAAAGTTTATCTACCTTGCTGGGCAATATCCTGGTACAGCTTCTCCACACTGGAGTTGTTACGTAGCAGATCAAGACATTGTCGATAGGATTCCCAGAGGAACTTCACCCATGGGGTAAGGATAGCTCTATCAGTTCGGTCCTGTGTATCCTCACCACTAACTGCACTAAGTAACAAGCTGTAATTAAAAAACGTAAAATTTCTGAATTCTTACTAAACTAAACATGATATCAACCGATATAATGTATTTTTTATTATTTTGATGCCATTTAATTAGCTTATTGACCATTATTCGTTTTCCAGAATAAACCTTTAATTTGGTGGATTTCTGTATTATTGACATTAAACAATGACATTGTCACAATGTACTTCTTTTCAGAAACTTGCGTATAGATTTTGATAATCAATGATTTTCATCTATCCAACTTTTCTCATCGCTAAAGAAGTACACATTAAGTCAGCAAATATTTTGTAACTTACACATAATCATTTCACCAGTGATAAAATGAGAAAAACTCTACCCTCTTGGAAACTTTGAGAATGTAAAGAAACATTATAACAATTGTACCACTATATTTTTAACATTACAGAATTGTAAACTTTCGAATGGTGTATATTTTAAAATTTTGGCAATATACCTTTCTGGAGACTGCAGAGCATTGTCCAGATCATCTATGTCAACAACAGCTTGGTGGGATTCTGCTTTAGCCTCCTCTGTCTTCTTCTCAGCCAGGGCCAGGTATTTACGAACAACATCTTCAAGAGACTTGATGTTCACCTGAAACAGACAGGTAACAGAAGAGTTATTAAAGAGAATGTAATGAGGGAGTGTTTTAAGTAAATGCCATTTCATTCTGGTTATTTTTGCAAGCGGTCATTTTCAGTTTTTCCCAGATTTTCTATTACATAAAATATTTGAAATTTATATATTTATGAATGACTAGTGTTCAATTTGTTCTGAATACATGAGACTGCAATTTTGAGATGAATAAAACTTGAATGAAAATATTTAAATTTAACAGATTCATCCATTTTACCTGCTGACAAATATTCTTGTATTGGTAAAGACCTTCTTTTGCAATATGACTTTTCTTCAACTCAACACAGAGGCGGAGATATTCCTCCATAATACCCTCGTGAATCCCTTTCTGCCATGTTCGATGTTTCTTACTCTTGATGACATCATAAAGGACATCCAAAGCACGGCTAGATTTACCAACATCAATAAACTCTGAAAAATCAAGTAAGATGAAAATTAAGTTGAAATAGTTCAGACATCAAAATCTATCAATATATGTGATTTTCAACGAGAATATGATGAAGGGTGAATTAAACAGATTCGAGGAAGATTGACTTTTGACCCATTCATCTACTCATATTATCATCAACTTAACATTTTTGATTCAAGAGTATAAGGCTTGGGCCTGTATATTCCTCCCTTCCAGATATATACATGTAATTTCAACAAACTGTTTTGGTATTTTATATCCCAAATACTAAACCAAGCTAACAGAAAATTTCGATGCAACAAAATAAAACCTAGAGCTGTAGAGTGAGTGCAAATTGTGCTTCCTACTCCTTGACACTTCGGCATCAATCAATATTCATCAATCGTCAAAAAATCCTGGTCTCATTAGGCAGTGTTTGCTCTATTTTTGTAGATTTTTGGTTGTGACCTCTTGTAGTTCTGTGACAGAATTGAGAATAGTCAATGCTTGCAAACTTGAATCAGGTCTTCTCTTTTCCTCCTGTAGGCTGTTGAGAAGAGGCTCAGTTGTTTCAATTAGTCATTGTATGATAGGTATGATATACCAGTAATCAGTTTGGTAACTCCCTTTTTATTCTCAATTTTGTTAATGTCCATCTAATATCTAATCCAGACAACTATACAATAATTCAAGATGGGTCAAAAACAAATGTTTTGTAGAGGCTAGAGGGAAGGGAATAGAATTTCAACCCCTTATCTATGGTGATTCTCTGGTTTTTCTGGTAGTTGAACATCTAGTTAATTTTGCCTCAATTGGTAGTGCATGCAAAATAACATCACTGACTAAATCAAACGAAAGGCGGTTACAAATCATCATTGGCAAAATATATTTTGGTGAAAACTAACTTATTATAGCTTTTTTCTGTCAGATAATACCAGTGACCATTGCATTGATTATCTAGGAAGCCTCTGAGGTGAAACAACAAAACATCATACAATTCAGCTTACAATATATGTCACAAGATTCTGAGCAGAAACTGTTCAAATCTTTGATTTACATGTAGGTGAGATGCATCGAACTTCGATGTATGGTTTTTCTTCGTCATGGGGCTATTTAGTTCAACAAGTTAAACCTAATACCACGGCTTTCATTTATAATCTGAGTGTTCTTGTTGCCGTGGTTGGGTTTAACTTCCGTGCTATGCTTTCATTGGTTGCAAATTCTCACTATCAGTTATTAATAAAACGCGCATGGAATTCTATGCGCTGCCATAGGCCATCATTAAATTTTTTTGCATCAAGGGCCGCATAGGCACGGATGTTAAACCTAGGGCGGGCCACAAGAAATGTCAGATAAGAAATAAGGCCCAGACTAGGTTTAACTTGTTGAACTAGGGGCTATTTTGACCATGGGGCTATTTCAACCATGGGACTATTTCGACCATGGGGACATTTCGACATTGGCTTATATCGAAATAACCCCATGGTCGAAGGAGCCACATGACGAAGAAACTCAACACGTCGAAGTTCAACGCATCTCCCCTATTGCACCTGAATATCTGTCAGAAACAGGATCACCCTTCAGTGATGAAACACCGAATTTAGAGTGAAAATAGCAGACAGCAACCACCTACAATTGGGGACAAAAATAAATGAGATGATGCGCGCGCAGATTGACAGAAGGAAAAAATTCTCTCTCTCTATTTTAAAGTCAAATATAGACTAATTCAGGAAAAAATAAGAAGAAACAAGCAAGAGATACTAATCATAAGTGTACCTAGTCGACGTTGGAAAGAAAGGAGTGGAAAAGTCGAGCCCAAAATACAGAAATTGGACGATACAGACAAGAAACGTGAAATTCAGATCGACGCCATCTTGGTCCTGGCTGTGCGGGAATTTGAAATCAGGAAAACAACAACAATTTCTAACTGGTTTGAATAGCAGGATAAGTGGTAAGACAAAACTTCCAAAGCAATCCTGGCATTCTAGCCTTCCCTCCCCCAGGTCCAGAACCAAAGCCCTTTTACAAAATTTTTATAGCTTGATTCAAACCTCCTCAACAGTAGGTGGCTAAATACAGGATGCTCAAGCTCAGTTCTGTTGGGCCAGTATATGTAACAAATTGTTGATGCATGTATACCAAACCTGGTTTGCTGAATCGGAAAATCTATTTTGTCTAACATTTCTGAACATTCTGAATATCTCGGGTAACTATTATCTCCAATACGCGACGTGTGCACTAATCTATAAGCAATTTTTGTTGTCGTTTTTTCTACCATCTATCATCTATAGCACTGCACAAATCTTCACAAAACTTCTGAACAACCAGGGGTTCTTTGAACAACCATATAAATATAAAAAAGCAGTGTAACCCAATCACAGATTGTACATAAATGTATATATTAAAACATAAAACAAAATAAAAAATATTGATTTGTAACTTTTTCTAATCAATGGATAGTCTAGTACATAAAGGTATGTTACATTAACCGGTTAACTAACATGTACTAACCAAAGCTTGAAAAACTTAGCTTACAGGAAACAACTAGGAAATATAGACAAGCATTGATTTAATAACACAGTGCTAGTGCTCTAGAATATAAGACAATAATCCTTAAGCTTGAAAAAACCTAGCTTGCAGGAACCAAGAGTCCAACCATCTAGCTCGCAGGAAGTGGATAGCAGAACAAAGAATCTACTTTATTAAATGGACCCACAGGATTCAATTTATGCATACATGATATGACTATGTAAATATGTAAATAATTGTTAGCTTATTTGTAAATAAATGTTACATATATAAAGTCTATTTCTACATATAGATATATTTCTACCTATCTAGTCAGCCTAAGGTCATTCTAAAGTTAGAATAATCTTCTAAGGGCATAGCATGCCTATAACAAGAGCTAGATCTAAAAACTCTACGGAACTCACACCTACCAAAAATAATAAAAAGGTAAGGGTTAGATCCTGTAATTTAGGCAAACAGGACAAAGGTAACTTACTAGGTAAGGTATCGGTAAATAACACCTCCAAAGGTAAACAAAAGGTCTCAGAGATAATTCAGGAGGAAAACCAACTTAGCAAAGACACCTGTCCATGCGGACAGACCCTTCTTAAATCAGGCTGGATTGCCTGTGATATATGCAATAGATGGTGGCACAGTGGATGTGTCTCTCTCACTGAAAAAATCTGTAAACAATTCAGCAAGGAAAAATTGACATATAAGTGTCCATTGTGTATAATAGAACAATTAAAAATCAACAACCCAGAACATAGTCAAGACTCAGATGAAGTCTTTGTAGCAGATAACTACTCAGGGCTGGAAAGCAAAAACAAAGGTGACGATTCTCATAGGATAGAAAGTACTAATAATACTAACACAAATAATGTAAATCCTACCCTGGAGGAAGTTAACCCCAATAAACTGGTTGTAATCATAGATAAGATAGATAAGCCTGAAATATACAGAGATAGTAGCAAAATCATTGAAGAATTAAAAAAATATTTGCCAAATATTAATGCCACACACTTTTATCTACTTAACAGGGGTGGAATAGCAATACACTGCAGAGACGAAGAAGATAAACAGGAGCTACTGAACTACAGCTGGCCGAAAGAAGCTTTCAACCACTCAGGTAATAAAATACAGGTTCATGAATCTGTTCAAAACACGAAAATAGCCAGGTGTATCTTGCGAGGTGTTCACCAAAAGTTAACTGATGACTTCATTCAAAGCACTATAGAGGATAAAATAGAAAGGAAAGTTACAATTAGACGCCTCAGATATAGAGACACTGGCAAATATCTCCCTATAGTACATGTCATGTGCAAAAGTCAGGAAGACTTAAGTAAGATATATCAAAGCAAAATCTCAGTAGGAAATAAAACATGGAAACCAGAACCTTACATCAAGGCAAAGTATAGGGTAATCAGGTGTTTTAAATGTCAAGAGTACGGGCACGTAGCCAATATATGCCAAAATAACGTGCGCTGTGAAAGATGCAGCCAAAAGCACAATAGCTACCAATGCTCAGAAGCAATGAAATGTGCGAACTGTGGGAGCAACCATAAAGCAAGTGATGTAAAATGCCCCAGATTTATAGATACAAAGAACACTATTAGTAAAAGAACATAATCAAAATGTACCAAATAAAGTCTATGCACACAACATTGTATATATGTTTCTTATTGCAATTTGTATATTATATAAACTTATGTATGTTTAAAAAAGATAACTATAGCAAAATGAGAGTAGCCCAGGTAAATGTGAGATCAGTTAACACATCCATAGAATATTTGGAAAAAATAATAGACCAGAAGGTAAGTGTTTTCTGTCTCACTGAGATCTGGGACCCAGAATTCCAGAATATGAAAGTACTCAATAACTGGAACTGGAATATTACAAAACGAGGTAACAGACGAGGAGGTGGAGCGGCAATAGTAACCTCAAATCAGGTAAAGGTTATCGAAAGAAAAGACCTGAATCACAATGATATAGAAGCAGTATGGAGTGAAATATATCATGAAAGCTCCCATTTTATCCTTGCCTCAATTTACATCCCTCCAGAGGATAAAGAGTCCCTGGCAAAATTCATTGAACACTTCAATCAAAAAATCAAACATGTAAAAATGCCCATCGTGCTAACAGGGGATCTAAATGCTAAACATCCATTATGGAGCTGTAATAAGACCAATGAGGCAGGGGTAGCTATAGCCAACATGATCATGACTAATGACTTAAGTATCATGAACAATGAAACCCCTACCAGAGGACAAACCATTATAGACCTCACAATAGTTACAAGTCACATGAAGAATGAAATAAGTAAATGGATGGTAAGGGATGACATATACCTGAACACGGACCACAATCTGATATTATTTGATATTGGAAGAGAGCAAGAGGAACTTATAGAAGAAAGGTATGACTACAGAAAATCTAACTGGATAGAATATCAAAATGCATGTAATAATATTTTCTCTAATTGGATTTCAGAATTCTCTGATAGGACCACAACTGAGGAAGATTACAAATCTTTCCGACAGGCCATTTTTCAAGCGGCGGATACGACCCTTACAAAGAAGAAAGTAAGTAAGTATTCTAAATCTTGGTGGAATGAACAACTCTCATACCAAATAAAAATTGTCAGAAAAGCCCGCAGAAAGTTCAAACTCAGACGAGACCCCACCAATGAAAATGTCTATATAAAAGAAAGAAAGAAATTCAAAGAAATGGCTGATACAGCAAGACAAACATATTGGAATGATCTTTTTCAAACCCTGGACTCGAAAAACAGTAATGATATGTGGAAAGTTGTGAAAAAACATTCCACATTAAATCAAGATAAAAAAATAGTCCAGCCAATTAAAAGAGAAGATGACACCATAGCATTCTCAGATGAAGAGATTGCTACAGAAATGCTAAAGCATTATGGCAAAGAATGCCTAGACGTACAGAACACATACAATACATGGTATAATCATGTTCAATCATATGTATCAGAATTCCTCCATAATGAAAAGGAGAGAATATGTGATAATACTTACAATGGTAATTCAGACCTGGGTGCTGAAGATATCACAAAGCACGAAGTATATAAAGCCATAAAGGAAGCTAAGAGCCAATCAGCTCCCAGCCCCAGGGAAAAAATCCAGTATATTCTTATACAAAAGGGAGGAAATATCTTAATAGACGCTCTGCTACTCATGTACCAAAAGAGCTGGAAGTTAGTTGAGATTCCCCTTGAATATACAATTGACCCAAAACATATGATCCCAAAACCAAGCAAACCAACATATAACAAATCAACATCATATAGACCTATAACATTAGAATCAATCCTAGGTAAGCTCTATGAGAAAATTATATCATATAGATACTCATGGATTGCATTGAAACTTAACCTAACATCTCCATTTCAGGAAGCCTACCTAGAGCAACACAACTGCCAACAAATATTGCTGAGGCTAACACAAGAGGTGCAACAAGGTTGGAACGACAAACTACACACAGTAGCAGTAACAATAGACTACGAGTCGTGTTTCGAACGAATCTGGCGAGAAGGGCTACTCTACAAATTAATCAAGAAAGGACTTAGAAGCAGAACCCTGTGTTATATCGCGGAATACCTACTTAAGAGACAATACTCAATAACTGTAAATAACTACACAACACCTCTGAGGAGGTCTTCTATTGGTATACCTCAGGGGGCCGTAATTAGCCCGCAGCTCTGCAACACCTACACAGCAGATGCTCTTGTTAACATTAAAGCCAGCTATGGTGAATATGCTGATGACATTATCATCTGGTCAAGTGACAAAGATCTAGACAAAGCTATTAAATCAATACAAGATGATCTAACAACCATTCAAACATGGTGCGCAAAATGGAACATGAGTTTTGCGCCAAGTAAAACTAAAGCAATTGTCTTCTCACCACCTAAACTTCAAACAGTGAAACCCAACTCTATACAGCTAGATAAGGGTCATGTTGACATAGTCAAATCAACCAAAGTCCTTGGTGTAATTCTAGATGAGAATTTAGAATACAACCTACACGTAGAAGACAGAACTAAAAAGGGCTTCTCAGCACTGAAAAGAATTTCCGACTTTACAAGTGCAAACGCTGGATGCACACAGTCAGCTTTTGTGTACCTATATAAAAATCTAGTTTTACCAAACATAGATTATGGCTGTGTCTTACTAGCCTGTACACATAGAGAAGCTACACTACAATTTCAGAAAGTCCAAAGGCTGGCTTTACTGAAAGCATCAGGGTGCATGTACACAACAAGCTCTGATGCACTGGATGTCATAACAAACTGCCAACCTATTGACATACACTTAAGAAAGCGTCAATGCCAAGAATTTACCAGAGTTCTATGTAAAAATGAAAATGATCCTTTAACAAAAACTCTGAACTCATGGAAAGAGAAATCCCAAGCAACAATTGAAAAAAAACCCACAACCTTCAACATTTTAAACTCCAGACTCAGGGAATTTAACCCATCTAGAGACACATGTTATGAAAAGGAATTCAAAACAGATTTAGAATTTCCACCATATCAACTTAATATCAAGGAAGGTAGTGACACAACAGGGGTGAGTAAAACAGAACAATGTAAAATAATTGAAGAAAAGATAAAAACATTGAACAATAAATCTGTGATTGTCTTCACTGACGGTTCAACTTTGACTAATCCAGGACCAACAGGGTCTAGCGCGATCATTTTTCTAGCCGGAACAAAGTCTGATCCTGTTTGCTTGAAAAAAGCAGTCAGTGCGAAAAGCAATAACTTTAGTGGGGAGGTTCATGCTTTACACCTTGCACTTGATTTCCTGCACACTTTACCTATTAACAATTCTGAAATTCACATCTTTGGCGATTGCCAACCTGCACTTTTAAGTACTTTCAGAAGTAGCAAACCCAGGTCTGAAATTCAATGCATAGAAAATTCTAGGTATTTGGTCCACTGCCTGAGTGCAAGCTGTAATGTATTAACCTACTACTGGGTGCCAAGTCATCTCGGAATCCAAGGCAATGAATTAGCCGACACATATGCCAAGGAAGCAGCGGCGGAAGCAGCGACCCTGCCAATAACCTCTATGAAACAAAGCAAAGAGGAGGTCTACAGAACCATTAAAAAGACTGCCTTGAAAAAATGGCAGAATCTTTATGACAATTCTACAAAAGTTAAATTCATCCAAGAGATTATAGAGACTGTAGATGTACAAAATAATCTCTGTGAGAGCAATAGAACAGAATTCTGCAAAATAAACCAACTCATAACAGGTCACTCAAAGCTGAATCACCATCTAGCAAAAGTTCAAACTGACATTTCCAATCTATGTGAGCACTGTAATCGGGCAGAGACAGTCCAACATTATATCTTTGATTGTGAACTATATCAGGAAGATCGTGAACTTATGCTCCACAAGGCAGAGACTATACTTTTAGGGGTAGAGAGCCCAAACCCATCTATTGACCTAAAATTGCTCTCAGGATTTAATCAATCACTAAACAGGACCCAAAATCAAAGTATGAGACATTTGTTAATGGCATACTTAAAAACAACCAAAAGAATATAACAAACCAAAAACACGATACAGATAGTGACTGTGTAAACAGAAAGTGACTGTATAAATAAATAAATAGATAATGGCTGTATAAACAGAAAGTGACTGAATACAGTGATTTAATATTATAATTTCTTCTTTTATGAGAGAGACAATCAAGACATACAATATATATAAAATAATGGAATACAAAATCTGCGCAACAAGTGTAAATTGAAGCACATGAGAGAGCACAAAGAGAATCTACAGTACACGAGACGAACTGCCGAGGAAACAGCGGCTTATGCAACACAACAACAAGGTCGATTTTCGATCACCATTTCCTAATTACGGTGGTCTGAAAGCCCATAATTTCCAATATTGTCTAGATACATATCCCTTAAAATTTGTATATTTTACATTTTGTATAATCTCATCCACTGATTTGTGGCCTCTTGTAAATTCTCTTATTTTTAAGGTGACTGTTAACTTAATCGTTTTTCAGAAAAAATAGAAAATTTCACAATCTTGAAATTTTCAAACTCTTCCTGAGAAGTCGTTTTTATTATTTCACAATATGCTTGTGCACTGTAATCAATACAAAGACATCAAAGAACAACAAAAAACGTTAGTTTGAGAAAAAAAAGTGCCGTTTAAAGAATTTGAGAAGATTTTTTTCTAGGAGTAGCCGGTGAAAAACCGCTGATTCAAAATATCTGAACATTTCAGAAAATATACTTCAAACATATATCAAAAATGAAGGAGCAACGGAAATTTGAAAAATTACCCGATAAAAAAATTGGGATCAAAATAAGGAAAAAGTACACTTCTCAAATTGTTTTTTTCTATTTTTTTAATTTGTATGAGAGATTTCAAAATTCTAAAGCTCCTTCCATTTTGGGCTATATTAAAGGGATGTTTCAGAGAAATTAGAAAAAAAATGTTCAGGGACCTTTGCCGTGCTACTCTTTTTGTCAATTTTTCTGTCACATTTTCAGAGGACTCAAATTCCCATTCCAAAATGTTTACTGTTTCTATTTGCATTACCACAGTGAGCCTGGTTATATAAATGATAAGTGGAACTAAAAAATTGAGAGAAAATCCAACCAAAAGACAGTTAATTTTGATGGTCAGATTATACTCAAATGCCATGTGCTTCCTGGTTTCGGCCATCTTGGATTTTTTGATTTAGTTATAAGTTACCTTAACATGGGAAATCCTCACTTCAGCAAATCCACCTGTCATTTATTTATGTCCCCAACTGTACAATGAGGATTACGCTATAAGGTACAACTTCATATTGTCTTTCGATCTGAACATCTTATGATCTAGATACCCAAGATGATTTGCAATGTGGAATCAATTTAATGAATGACGTTCGCAAAACATGAAAATATTTTTACAGATGTCAGAAAAAAGCTTACCATTTGCTCTCTTCAGAGCATTCTCCGGTTTCTGAAAGTATGTAGGCATTTTGGGCGTATACTTCCTGTTCTATTTTATGTAAATAGGCTGTTATTAGAACATTGTAAGTCGGTATATCAGTTCAAATACTGATAATTTTCGTAGAAGCAACACACAAAATGAACAAGATGGCGGCAATTACCCACATGGACCAGTGACGTCACCGGTCATATTTCTTTGATTTTCTGCATATCAAAGACATAATAGTTCACAAAATTATATTTCTTGTCGTTTTATAATAATTTCTCAAATTTTAAATGCCAGTGATAAGTGTATTTCATATCTATATTTAATACGAAAAAATAGTTCGGAATATTGATAAAATAAAGATGGCTGCCATTTGCGAGTTGCTGTCTGCAGGAATCATAGGTAGAACTTCAACATTTGTAAGAAAACTATAGATAAATGGATATAGATAAATATTTCTTACAATAGTATGCATTGTATGGAAACATCATATGTATAATGAGTTGGTTAACATAAATAGAAACAATGGAAATGTCATGCAAAAACACAGTTCCTCCCACTTCCGGGTTTAAAATTTAATTTATTTTCCACTTGTGTGACTTATGACTACATTGGAGGTCAGGGGCATAAGCCAGGCAAAAAGTAGTAGTAAGCTCAATATAGAAGCTATATTTTCAACAGGTGTCAATATTTAAAATTGCTCCACATAGGACACAGCCGAGGGGACCAATTAACGTAAATTCTCATTTATCCACAACACGCTGTAATGAATAATTCCTGTGAACCCTTCATGTCAGAGACGCTCCATTACATGTATAATAAATATCTTTAGATACATTGTTTCTAACTTTCTACTGGGATGGAGAATATGATAAAAATTGGATAGATCTAATCTGTATTGCCTGTGTAAATTAGATAACGATAAAATAGATAAAGAGAAAAGAAACTTAAGGTCTCATGGAAGTTAACAGGAAATGACAAAACAGGAAGTGACAATTTTTTGGGCATTTTTAGACATTTTTTGAACAAAGATAACAGAGTTCACTTTTGACCTCCAGTCAATTCAACTAGTTCCAGATACCATTTACAGGTCCAGGATCACAATGTTTATGGTCAGAATGACCCTAAATATCATGAAATAACCTTTTCAGCCCTATGAAAATGTGACTGAAAAATAGCTAAAAGAAGGAGGTAGGAAAGGTCACTGAACAGAATCTTTTGAATTTTTCAGAAAATGTGCCCAATATATTGCTCTAAATGGTACAATCTTTGAAAATTTGATATCATTCATAGAAAGAGAAAAAAAATGAAAAAACTGATTTGAAAAGCGATCTATTTTCCTTTTTATGACCGCCATTTTTGTTTACGACAATTTTCTAAAATTTCAAAGATTGTATCAGTTAGAGCATTATATTGGGCACATTTTCTGAAAAATTCAAAAGATTCTGTTCAGTGACCTTCCCTAGCTCCTACTTTTAGCTTTTTTTCAGTCACACTTTCAAGGGACTAAAAAGGTTATTTCATCATGTTTAGGGTCATTCTGACCATGCACATTGTGATCCTGGTCATGTAAATGATATGTGGAAACAGTTAAATTGACTGGAGGTCAAACCAGAACTCTGTTATCTTTGTTCAAAAAATGTCAAAAAATGCCCAAAAAATTGTCACTTCCTGTTTTGTCATTTCCTGTTAACTTCCATGAGACCTTAACTGTAATAAGTTTGTTACGGTAAAGTGAATTAGGCCTAATGAACCATACTTTCAGAAAAAGATCATCAGGGAGATGTACTTTGGACTTGGTCATATCCTACTGTGTCTTCAGAACAACGAGAACTGTTATCACGGAAATGTTGTTTGAATCAGAAAAATGCTGATTTAACCCAGTTTGTTTTTGGTCACTGGAAAAAGACATGGTTCTACATTTATACTGCAGAGATGAAGGAATCCGACAGACTTCCAAAGGTAAAGTTTCTAATCTAGATATTTGTCTTGACTAGTTTTGAAATCTTTTGAAAAAAAGTTATTGATATTCATAATTCCCACCATTTTAGTATCAAAAGCTTAAATTTATTCATTATCAAGTACAACACTTTACACTATAAAACACATTACTTTGTCAACTCCATTGGATAGATGAAGTAGGGCTAAGTAGAAGTTGTGTAATTTTAACATTTTAATTTCATTTTTACACAGATTTTATGGCATTTTATATCACCACCACATATTGTTATAGTCTCCAACCTTTTTGTGGATGGTGTTTGGCAGTTGATCTTTAGGAGTCAGTGTTTGATTGTTACTGTCAATATATATGAACACAGGGCTCTTGGTAGACTTTTAGACTTTGATCAGATATTACAGGTGGTCTGGCAAGGAATACCTCTAAACTTTATATAGGGCCTTTAGTCTTATATTTTCAAAAAACAAATTGATTATTTAAATCATTGATATGAATTGATTAAGTTCCGAAACAGTGTATTCATTATGGACAGGAGCAATATTGTAGGATTTTTAAAATTTATGTAAACTGCATTTTAATGCCAGCACTGTGTTTTATTAAGTCAAAAGTCTATGATTATATTATATCAAATTCAATGTTTTATTTTGCAGATTCACTCTTTCTCACTGGTTTTAACAACGAAAGATTATAACCCAGAAAAATATGAGACATTGAGTAGAATCTTATGCAAACAGTTTGCAAGGAATGGTAACCCAGCTCACCTACTGGAGTGCTATTTGTCAGTGGTCACGCGGGGATTGTGTAACAATGAAGAAAATGGGACGTTTATTGTAAAGGAATTTGATGCAAGACAGGCCTATGCAAATGTTGAAATAAAAAGTAAGTGGCATATTTTTATGAACCAGATTTTTTGGAATGGGAACATATATTCACATCTGTATGTTTGTATTTCATGGGATCTGTATCTATTATTTGATATATTCAAGAAAAACTACAGTGAAACTTGTGTAAGGTAAATCCCGTTGGTACCTCAAAAAGTGTTCACTTTATTTGGTAAAGTCAAAGGGTCATGGGACTCTGAAAATTGTTCAATTTACAGAGGTGTTCCTTATATGAAATGCCGCTTCAGTAAAACCTGTAAAGTGGAAAACCTCTAAAAATGGAACACCTATGTAAGTGGAACACTTTTCAGTCCCAAGACCAACTGACTTGATGTTTAATGAACATTTAGAAGTGGAACGTCCAAGTGGAACACTTTTTAGAAGTACCAAAGATGTTCCATTTAGTGTATGTGCTGTCGTCATACTTCAGTTGAACACCAATTTATATTTCAGGTATAATTCAAAGTTTAGGAATGGAGGCCATACTGGTTTATACAGCCCTTATGCTCAAAAAGAGAGTCATAGTATACCACCCTAAAGTTGATGAATTACTCCGATTTACAAGGTAGGCTTTTACAGGCTAAGATGCTTCATGATGTAATTTGAAGGTTATTTAAAATTGTTGCAGTTTCAATTCATAGAATGACATTGTAAAGTGGTTATTGGTTGAGGTTTAAATAGCTGGTGTTGTACAAATTAACTATTACATTACAAATTACACTGTGATTGCCAAATTCAAATTATTTGAAATATTATACCATTTCACATGTTATATTTATCATTTAGAAAATATGAAAATTACCCTGTAGATCAGCAATTTTTCTGTACAAAATTAGGGACCACCCTTGCACCCTGAACCAAAATTTCTGTTTCCTTGGCCTAATATTAAGCCTCTTGGTCTAGTCCACTATACATTGGATAATCTAATCACCTTTTCATGTCATTTATCATTATATCACTACATATTATTATAGCCATCATTGTTATGACCAGTTGTTAGGCTTATTTTGTCACATTCTTAATGTTGCATCTTTTTTATAAATGTTATGCATAATTCAACTATTTCTTGTGTGCTTGTAGAACTCTTCCATGTCTTGTGTGGCACAGACAGAATTGGGATATTTTATATCCATACGTCCACCTGGACGACGAAGAACTAAAAAGTTTTGAATCACAGAGGCATTATGTTGTTGGGTGTACCGACGCTGCAATTGAAACGAGGTTAGTTGAAGTATTTTTAATCACACTTAGAGTGAAATTTTGCAGTTCAGGGGGTAAACTGGATAAAAACTTGTGACTATTTTTACATTTCAATATTTCATTCTTGCAGCATGATATGAGTATTTAAAATTTAAATTTGACATGATTAGATTTTAGATAATGGTGATACATTACCAGGTCTGCCATTCTGAATTCTTGAGCCAAACATCCCACAGATTTGCAACCAGATTGAATCTCTATTTCGCAAACACTGAGAATAATATACAATGCTACTGTAGCTTTAAAATTGTAACAGAATCAAAATTGCTGCCTTTTTTGAGAAGATTATTCCCAGCTTGATATTAAATGTGTATGGTTTCAGGACAGATTTGTACGACATATTCATCGCTGTGCCAACACATGAGGTGACTGTGGCACCAAATGCCAAAGATTCCCTCGCAATGAGTAAACTACATAAAGATGTCGCTGTCACAATGGTCAATAGTGCGGCAAATGAGGAACTCTCAGATCAACAAGTCATAAAGGTGAAACTGTCAACTTAACTTTTTATGTCACCACAAAAAAGTGGTGACATAGTCTTATAGTCTCCAACTGTTTTGTGGCGGTAGTTGGTGTTCTTCATTCAGCATCTGTAACAAATGACAGGTGGTGACATTTTGCATGTTAATGCCTAGTACCAGTCTGTGCCAATCAAGTACTATATACTCACAGAAATGGTATGCTTACAAATATATTCATCCACTACATTATTGAAAAATAGCAGATTACAGGTTCAGATCCAGTAAAATGGTCCCATCTGCTTGGAGTTTAGAAGCTAGCGATAAAAAAACTTATTCCTGTCAAACTAGATGTTATATGTCAGAAGATTGACAGTGTTTTAGTTTCCATAATTTTGGAATAATGTTCCAATAGAACTCCAATAGAACTCCAACTAAAATATTCACTAACAGACAATACAATTGTATGTCCCAGCATTATATTTAACACAACATACCATCTTTATATTTTCAGGAAATTGCTAAGAAGACCAAGGAGCTGTTGAACAATCTTAAGACATTAGCCACTCCTAATGAGGAAGGAGTGGGATACATTACACTTGAGGCATTACGTGAAAGGAAAATGCAACCTGCAACTGAACATTTCTTATACAATCTTGCCATGTGTGAGGGATTAGTCCAGTTATAGCACAAACCATTTCATCTTTTGTAAAATCTGTGTAAGGGAACTTTGTAAAATGTGTTTTGAAATTTTAAAATGGAGACTCATTTGCAGCATTGTGAGTGCAAAGTGCATCAAAGCATTCTTTGTATGGCAGAGATGGTTTGAGTATAAGAATGCATTTGCAGTAATTGGATGTCCCTTTGACTTTCATGGTATAATGACCTCTAAGTGTGTAGTTGCCTAAGATAATATAAGTTATTGAATGATTTGAAGTGCAATACAGGATATATTCTGCTCGAGAAATTCCGTATTGGAACGAGATGAAGTCGAGTGCCAATACAGAATATCGAGACAGAATATATCCTGTATTGCACTTCAAATCATTCAATAACGTTTTTTATCCTCTGTATTGCTACTGAGATTGTCCCCTCCGTACTACCAATATTTTCTGTATTGCAACAGAGATGATCAACGGGGACAATCTCAGTAGCAATACAGATTGGTACAGCACAAGAACTGACCAATCAGAAGGCTTCATTTTACAGATCATACGATAAATATGAACACCTTCAATCCCAGCAATGATTGAAAACCACAGAGGGATTCTATTTAACAATCTCGCAAAAGGAAACATTCATTTACTCGATCAATATAGGATTTTTTCATCATGATCAAACATTATGATTTACCAACTGTCAAGGGAAGGACATTGAAATGAAAGATAAACCCATTTTAGGGGAGAATGCTATATACAGTAAAACCTGTATAAGTGGAACACATTTGGTACCTCTAAAAGTGTTCCACTTGGGAGGTGAATAGAGGTTCATTAAACATTAAGTCAGTTTGTCTCGGGAGTCTGAAAATTGTTCCACTTACTGAGGTGTTTCACTTCTAGAGGTGTTCAACTTAACATGTTTCACTGTATATACTTTATGATTAACATAATGCAAGAGCTATAACTCTATTGATCTTAATGCTTTCTCATGTTGCCATGTCTCTCTTGTTCATGAAAATATGTGGCATAGAATCTATAAAATAGTCTTGCATACAAGTCAGAATCAGCTTACAGATCAGTAAACTACAAAGGCACCAAGTTCAACTTAACAAAATGTTTTTATGTCACCTCCAAGAAGCCAATACAAGAACTGGTGTTACTAGATGACAGTCCAATTGTGAGCATTCAGTATCTGTAACAATTGTTTTATGTCACCATCAGAAGTGTCTCCAACTTTTTGTGGATTGAGTTCAGTGGTTGGCAGTTAGTGTTTAGTGTCTGTAACAAATGGCAAGTGGTGAGATTTTACATGTTAATGCCTTATTCTCCCTTGTATGCAGGACTGAAGAGTAACACAACCGATATGTAATAACCATGTAAATTGCTCCTAGTGCATTAATACATTTATAAAATATATTTATTTTCATACTAAACAAAACTATATATTGGTTAAATTTATCACATAATTTATATTTATTTGGTGTCATCATTTGGTACATCAGAATCTGAATTATTCTGTTTTTATTATGAAAAATTAACAGAATAAATACATAAGTAAGACACAGTATACAGGATAATTTCCATAGCAATAGCTAGTCGTAAAATATACTTAATATGAATGTGATTAATATTGTATATACAGTACATGGATGGAATCATTAAAACTCAAAGCTAAAATTTAAATCTGAAATTTAAACAGTATACGTGGACAGATACATATAAAACATATTTTGATGACCACAAAGTCAACTGACTCACATTTACATTTATATACAGTATAATTTAGAAAAAACATGAAGTCAAATAATCAGAACATCTTGTAAGGCTAAATGCCTCAAAATACTGAAATGTTTGCATTTGCATATAAAAATTCCCAAGATCCATATAAAACAGGCAGAAAGGGCAATTAACAATTTTAACAATTAACAGTTTTTGATTTATTTCTCACTTTTACACTGACATTCAGCCCGATCTCCCAAATGAAGGCAGCTTTCTTAAGAAACATTAATACAGGGTGGTCCAAAAAGGAGTTTGAGGCCCCCTTTTGGGCCACCCTGTACATACATATACATAGTAGAGTCCAAGTTTGAGATGCACTTTCTCCCTTAAAAGAATACAGTTTTTACAATTGACCACTAAATATTCTTACAAACATAAACAGACAATAACTTAATTTCAAATGCCTTCAGCATTAAAATTTTATGTACAATACTATTTTATGTAGATGGTTCTTACATCTTCCATTATCTGTACAGCTTTCTTATATGTCATTTCAAACACTTCCAAATGGGAACTTTTGCCAGTTTAATTCCATTAACTCGCATGCAATAAAGTGTCCATCACTGGTAGTGAACATTTCCGAAATATCACAACACCAAAACAATGCAATGATGTACTCATGCCATAGTGCCAATCTGTGGAGTTGATTCAGATAGGGTAATTGAAAACAGAAATACAAGCCCATCAGCTGCTTAATCCCATATGAAGAAGGTTTAAAGCAAATAAGTAAAGCATTTCTAAAATGATGTGTCCTACAATATAGCCTACCTCAACAAAAAAAACTGAGGCTTGTTTCTAAAAAGTGTCATGGATAAGAATTTCTGAATTTCAATTATCTGTCACAATTCACTTATGACAATATAACAAAAGTCAACTGGGTTTGTTAGGGATGGTCTCCAAATGTTAACAGTGGAAGAACAAAGTTTAATTTCGATGGGGAGGGGGTAAATGACAATACCATAAGTGAAGAATGATTTTGTGAAAATTCTTAACTTCTTTATATAGGAGAAGGGGGAGAGGCACATTCTAATACTCAGACCATTTCTGCCTTGCAAAGAAATGTATTGATAGAAGGCTATGGTCTCTTACGATGGAGGGGGGGGGAGGAAATCCTAATAATATAACTCTTCGCAACCGTCAATACTTGGTCACCATCCCTAATTTGAGAAAAGGCTTTCAGAGAGAGCTACACAATACCATTAGTCCATGCAAAGCTAATGTACATTGATAAATGTCAATCAAGCAAAATGTGGATAATGATTCTTGTTTTCTATGCTATATACATTAACCTGAGAGTTATTTTTCCTAGAAGCATTGGGTAGCAAATTTCCAGCAAAGCTTATGAGGAAAACTACCAAAAACAGCTACATTTCCTCATATTTTCTAAAATAAAGACCATGCAAGCTAAGGAGGAAAAGCTACAAGGTGCTACTTTTTTCCATGTTGTGATGTTTATTAATTGTAAACTCCATGCAAAGCTAAGTAGGAAAGGACTACAAGACGCTAGATTTCTCCATGTTGTGTGACATTTTGTAAGTGTGCACAAGTATCCGCATCAAATCCATAAGACTGAAATGGAAAAAGCAAAAGCTCAAGCAAAATACATTTAAACTACTTCAAGAAATGCTGAGAAAAGCAATTTTCAAGACAAAAATTTTACTTCTTGAATAAGTTGAAGAGAAACTTCCGCAAGAGGTGCATGCATCTATAGCTATAAATCTAAACAAATCCAAGCTAGTCATTATATTATTAGTTCATGCATAAGTGTCTATACCCTAATTGTGAATACACAGCAGAAACATGTAAAGCAAATAATAATTTATCAACATTGTCTGCAAAGTGCTACATCAGATTCATTCAAGCTTGCAAAGGAAGTGAAAATATATAGCAAGTGACGAGAGAGGTGTCAAGATGTTTCACCCCTTAGACGTTTCATCCCTAGGCTGTTCACCCCTTAGACATTTCATCCCCTAGGATTTTTATCCCTTAAATATCCTCTTAGGCATTGTTTTAAATGTCTGCCACAGATCATGCATGGGTGGGGTGAACCTCTATATTACAATGAACAACATTGTTATATGTGAACAAATTGGGATTTCTTTCTAAATGCGATCATACAAAAGGATGTGTTTTTAGATCATGCAGAAGATGGAGGTTTTTCAGGGTGTGCTGTCACATACTTCTGCAACTCATAAGTCATAGCAGCATCAGCATTGCAAGCCTGGAATATAGCATGACGCAATTTAATAATGTGAAATAACATGCTATGAAAAAGTACATGCAAAATAACATGTTATGAAAAAGTACATGCAAAATTATATGTTATGAAAAAGTACATGCAAAATTAGATGAAATAGGCTAAAAGAAGAACATTGATTAATGAAAAAGTACATGCAAAAGGAAATGTAAACAAAGCATCAACATGATAAAATGTCACCACCTATAAATGGTTACAAAAAGTGTAACACTTCGTTACAGGCACCAACCACTGACACTGAATTAGACACTCACAAAATCTGATGGCTATAACAATACATGTATGTATGTCACCTCTGCTTTTTGGTGGTGACATAATAGTATGTTGTATTTTATTATGTACATGCAAAAATGTTTTGAGAAAATACATGCAAAATAATGTGAAAGTAGTATAATCGTATAAATCACATGCAAAATTAGTTGTGAAGAAGTGTTGAGAAAATTGTGCAATAAGCATTCCCTCTACCCCCCCCCCCCCCCTCCCCATCCCCACTCAGATCAACATGTTGGGGAATTATATGCACCTCCCAAATAGCAACAACCTTTCAGTTTCATTTTTGAATGATACGCATTAAAACTGTTTTTTTTAAATTATTTCCCATGTGTTATTTGACTCTTCAAAATGGAGCATATCTCTTCATCCCACTTGTGGCACTGCAATTAAAACAGGGAAAGAAATTATCATTCAACTCTTGTCATGCTTTTATAACACTCCACTTCTTCCTTCTGAGGGCGGTCTATCAGGATAAGATATAAGAACCCTATAAAGGCCTATAATATAACAGTACATTATTTGTGAGATCTCATCCTTATGTGAGATTGATCTATTGAGATAAGATATACCTTTTGCATGTAAACATAATCATTATCATAAGACCTCCACAACAAATGCAGGGTGTAAAATATTTCGCAAAAGCATGTCAATGTTTCTCTTAAATTCTATTTCTCTATGATCTGGAAAATTAATTGAAATGTTAAATATCTCATCAGATTATTGAAAGTTATCAGACATTTAAGATGCAGAAATTTCGAATAAATGTTAGTAGGGACATCCACTTTTTCAACCTCATTGCCAAATAACCTTTATAATCATTTAGCATTATCACGAAATGAGGTCAAAATCTTTGGACTTGTAGAAAAAAAATATTGCAAAATTTTTAGAAAATTACTTTCAACTCGTCTTTAGTCTTTGCTGCCCCTTTAAACCAGGGGGCAATATATTTTGCTTACCTTAGAGTAATATGTTTTAGCTTGTTCTTTATTGATTTTGACACCGTGGCCTAAGTGTAAGCACCTAGCATAGAAGAAACAGCCTAGAGCGAGACCCTTCGCAACATAGCCAGGTAAACATTCTGTTTCTCGGGCAATCTGTTCTACATCATCTAACATGGCAACTCTACAAAAAAGGGAATAATCAGGGATAAAAAGGGACCATGTTGATGTCTTTATGAATGTACTACAGTATGTTAAAAGCCAGTGTCTCAACATTTCGTTTTAAGTCATCGAGCAAAACAACCTTACTCTACTGTGGATATATGTACGCACTAGTGCCAAAGGGAACGGTCCAAAAATATTAACAGAACCCAGCAAGAAAAAGAAAGATCTTAATGCACACTAAGTCATTATGAAAACAAACCCCCGATTATCCCACAATCCAAGGTTAAAGACACAATGTCTAATACCCCCTCCCCCACCATTCAAGAACAAATATCACAATCCAGGGCCATAACTCCAAGGGACATTTCATTCATACAGAAGCCATTACAATACATGTTGAAGAATGTTCCTTTGTGGTATTATTGGGGCATTTAACATGTACCATGTTTAGTAATTGGTGGATTGTGAATTGATTTCATGGGTTGAAATGGAGTGTTGTTTTTTGTTACGAAAATGTTGCCCCTCGTGTTTTGAATTGCAGTGTCTCAAATCTTTCTTACCTTGCTGCCAGATCTGCAGTTTTTGTGAAAAGTTTCAGTTTATAATAGTATGCTACAAGATTTCCCATGGCGTAGACATTACCACGGTTGGCTGCTTCCCGTAAACATTCACAAGCAGCATCTGGATTCTTCTTACAGCCCAAGCCGTTCTGATACATCACCCCAAGTGCTCCTATAGTAGAACAAAAGGTTTACAACGTTTACGTTATTTAAATGGGAAACATGGATTGATGGATGAGGTTTGAAAATTGCCTGACTGCAAATGGCAATCACTTTTCACTTTTGGCAATGCACTCGGAAAAGTTGCCTTTTGGGCAATGGACTGAATGCCAATATGTTAAATTGGGCAAGCATGTTTTCAACCTGAGTTATGAACCCTAGATTTAGACCAATGGTGTACACCCATTAAAAGACCACTTCAATCATTATCAATATAAGTGTTTATAAATTTTAAAATCGACAGTCAACAGAGGGTTGATCAAGGGTGTTTTGAGAATTACATCATTATAATCAATTTTCATTACTTGGCATTTAAATTAATAAATAAAGAAACAGTGGCCTGTACCTTGAGATTCCAAGCTGCAGTTCCCGCAAGCCTCGGAATGGAAGAAAAAAGCTTTCTTAAGATCGAGTGTATCAGGTCTTGAATAGAAGAAACCTAATGCTGTTTGAGCCTTGACACTTGCATTGGGGTTGCCATCATCTGAAGCCAATACCCACCATCTGAAAATCAGTGTGGAGGTCATATTATAAAATAGAAAATAGAGCAGAGATGAGTGGATATATATTAAGCAGTTGAGAACAGTTAATCCAAATGCCTCTGGGATCAGCCAAAATTGTTTGGATAAACAGTGTTCACATTTCAATGTTTCTTTAATGAGTGAGTCAGTAAGAAAATTGGAACTGAAAATAACTATGTGGAAGGGTATTTGAATATACAGCTTTTACAGTAAACATTCATATCATTAATCAGTGACTAATATGTCATGATATGACATCTAAAAGAGTCAATAAAAGATATATAATCAGTTAGAAATATATTGTAAGAAAATCAGTGACCTGGTATGTTTGTTATTCATGATATTTTACATCGTATTTTGTCTCTTATCTACAAAAATGGCCATCAAATAACAATGAACAGTATTCTCCCAAATATAAGATCAACCTTGTTGAAAATCTGAAAATGACATGCCACCATGAGGGAACTCAATTTACACCACAGTGCCAAATGGGTGAAACATTGACAATAACTGGTAAAACAAACATTTAGCACCCCATTGGGAAAAAATCTTGGGAGATCACTGTTTAGATATCTTAACCTTAGAAGAGATGCCATTCAAATGATGCATGTGTGGAGGAAGGGTGTCTACTAGAGACATGTGTTTAATAGAGAGAGATATTCACTAAGACAGGTTTTACTGTAATGTTAGCCTTGCCCAAGTCGGTCTCTTTTACTTATCTTGATTTCTATTATGATCAGATTAGTAAAAAATACCGACTTGGACAAGGCTACTGTAATGTTGGAATATCAATAATATGAACAGACACATTTTCTCCTTATTTAATATTTCATACTGTTCTGTTGTCCATGTACATTTTCTTACCTTTCAGCCTCTTCATCAGATTGCCTTACTCCATATCCCTGGAAGTATGCTCTTCCAACATTATACTGTGCAGCATGGATAAGATGCTTGGAGAGTATAGACTTAGAGTTAGCAACATCAAGCATATACTCTAGAGCTTTTTTCTGAAATACAATACACAAATTTGATAGCATGAGAATGTTGATGAATTTTCTTATGTTTTTGCAATCCTACTATTTTTGAAAACGGATTTGTATAACTAAACAAACAGGGTCTATGTCAACAGTTTTCCCAATAACTTGGCTTTCCTGAAAGCCTATGCTAATACTTAGTCAGAATACAGCATTCAAAATGGGAAAAATGAATAATTTGGGATGAACATGTGTATGTTAATTTTACTTATTTTTTATAAATATATTAAAATGCTAGTACTCACACAATCTTGTGGGCCTCCTAGGCCATCATACAGCATGACACTAAGCTGATATTTGGCCTGGTAATCACGACCCCCACAATCGACAGCTGACTGAAATTGCTCCCTGGCTTTATCATAATTTTCCTAAAAGAAAGTCAGATTCATCTGCTTAATCATTCAATGATGGCATGTTTTGCTATGGGAATTTAGGGCAAAATTAAATAGTAAAAACAGGATACCAAATAATCTATGAAATTACACCCAATACTTTCCTTTCCAATGGTATTCTAAAATCTGATGGTATCCTATCTTCCTGTTTGCCTACTTTTTCAACTAAGAAACATCATATTTGATGTGTAAGTTACTTCTCATGAGGCAAGACTAAGAGTGGAGCGTTCTGTATACTTTTGATTTATTTTTTGGATATGTTTCACACATGTAAGATATTTTACCAGCTTTTGCCAAGGGAGTTCACTTTTAAAATTTTTCCAGGGGGGTTCACATTTGACAAATTTGGCTAAAATCCCCCAAACCTAAAGTTCTTTATGAAGGATTTTGTGCCAGTTACTGTAAAACACTTAATATCTGCTACACGCATTATTCGCAAGAGTGCCTCCCCGAGTCAATTTGCTATATGTGTAACACCTCAAAAATCATTTGTTATAAACATTTGTCAAAATGCTAGATTAGTAACTCTAACAAATGATATTTTGAGAACCAATGCATTTGGCCATTTTGTTAATGTAGCTAGAAATATACAGAAACAAACAATATTTAATGACCCCTACCTGTTCAAAATACAACTGCCCTAACTGAAATATTGCCTCTTTGTTCCCATCCTGGATTCTTTCTTTTAAAATTGTTTCTACTCTTTCAGCAAGTTCATCATCAGAAAGTTGTTCGAGAACATTTTCTGGGTCTTCTTCAAACTCAAAGTTCTCAATAAGAGTCCCTTCACGTGTTCTTGGTAGTTTTTCTGCCGATAAATCTTTTTCTAAATTGACCTGCTCCATACCTGGAAGATAAATTAGGGTTATGTACTGGGAGGTTTTGGATATGGGGTTTATTCAGAGGGATATATGCATATCTACCTGAGGGACCGTAGGGACCGAAGGTAGATGTGCATATCTCACGAGGGATGAACCCTATATCCAAACCGACCGTACATAACTGCTTTACCCTATACCAAGTTGAGTTTTCAGGGGCATATGGTCATTTCAATACTACAAGGTGTAAAAATATACAAATCATTCATATGCAAAGTCATTTTATTGCATTACCGGAAGCGGGAAGATATGCACCGGAAGCGGGAAGATATGCACCGAAGCGGGAGATATGGCGGGAGATATGGAGGTTCTGGATATGGAAACCTCAAAATCAGGATACATCTTACCAACTTATCTCCCTAAAACTCTACTTGGCATAGGATAAATCATCATATTACTAGAAGGTTAGATAGTTAGTAGGTAGGCACCAGACACAAGAGAAGAGTACAGTTAGAGTAAGTGACCCTAAAATATATGAGATACATGCACCAAATGAGAGGTTCCAAATAAGAGGTACGGAATGAGATGATTGCAATTAAAGCTGAGTGATGGGTATGAGCTAGGACTCTTAACCCTACATGTAACGTGTGTAATAGCCATCTCATGCTTTGAAGAGTCATGTGTGTAAGAAAGGGGAGGTGCGTCAGATCCAAACGCCTGCACTTTTTGATGAGATTCCTTTGAAACGACAAAAATCCTGTTTTATCAAAAAAAAATATTTAGAGTTCTGGTCAAAAGCTCAGATTGCACACAAATAATTTCTTCAAAAAAAATTTCATCGGGGAACCGTGCCCCTGGAATGCAAGAGATATGCGGCCTTTGGCCATGAAATAAATTTCCAGTCACCTATCACTTCTGGAAAAACGCATTCAATTTCACAAATGGTCTGAAACCCCGGCATAAGAGACTGAGATGACAGGTCACAATGTGATAAGTAGATAGCATGGGGAGGGGGCTTCTGTTCACTATGGACTCAGACTTGATCTGATTCTGAATCAGTGAGAATCACAATTTGAAGTATGATTTTGATTTTTATTTGATTTTTACCAATAATTGTGAACATAGAAATTACAAACCTTGTGTTTCCCGTAGACTTTAATATACCAGCATTACGAAATCAAGTTAGTATTGTCAAATTGTTCGCTATAATTAGTACAAACACTAATCGAAATCAGGGTGTTTCAAACATTTTCACAGTTTTCATTCGCCATGACAATCTGGGGTCATGACCTTATTCACTGCAGAAATTTATCCTACTTACAAAACTATTTTCTACACTTTTTAGGAAATAAATATTTATTTTGATCAATTTAAAAATTGAAAAACTTATTTTATCACAAAAAGTATCAAAATAAGATCCCTAAAATAAAAAAAATATTCACTCCTTGTCAAGGTCGCAGAAATTTTGCCAAATTTTTATTTTTTCGACGATTGCAGATTTATGAAGGTTTGTTCCATATTTTATGAATTATTACATATGAAATTTTATTTTCTAGGTCTATTTTATGTTGAAAATTATTCAAAACAGAAAAGAGAAACATCCAAATATAAGAGGCCACACACTTTATAAGCCAAACTAGAAGCAATCCAAGATATACAAATGTCATTCATGTACATTATGAATATACTTTTCCATATATTATTGCACAATGGTCTCCCAATTTCTTATATTTGCCGTTCTACTGACGAAATGAAGCAGTGAAATGGACTCTAATGTGGTGTTGATTTTTCTCACAAATCACAGTCAGTCAGTATCGAGTATGCAGTTATGCATTTGTCTTCATTACTTCTTTCCGAGTTCAACAACGAAACTTTGAATTTGCCAGCGTACCCGCTGGCTATCGGTCGATTTCGCCACGAAGATCCTCCTTCTTCCTCTGTGTCTGAGGCCATTGGCACTGAAATGCTGCCTTTTGAGTTGATACAATTTATCACTTGTGTTTTGTTTTCACTTGTAATTATCTCGTACACTTTACTTCTCGTTAATTGGAGAGAGAGCGCTAAATTTTGCTGTATTAGAGTTTGAAAACTTAAAATTCAAGAATGCATCTGTTGATTAAATAAAGTAACCGAGCATATTTATAATGGAGTGTTTCGGCTATTTCCGTTGTTCAAATCTTCTGAGAATGTGACGCCACTCCGGATGACGTCACATCAGAGATTACTGAGAAACACCATGATGTTTCTTAAACAATGTTTTTTAGGCTATGTACACGATCCTTTACTTTCATTGGGTGTTTGTTGCGATGTGACATAATTTGAGAGACGAACAACATTGGACACTGCCGGAAATTACAGAAACTCCATTATCTCTATGCTTTGAAAATTTGAAATTTTAGTCCTGGGAAAACTCGATTTACAACATCATGTAACCATTCAAACTAATTCATGAAGAAGAGATTACAGGGTAAATATTTATCACTCAAGGGTTTGTGTAAAAAACCGGGTGACCGAGTGGCCGGGTAACCGGGTACTTAACGTTCCTTGCAGGGTTACCAACTTTTAAAGTTGCATATTTGTAGACTATCCTTCAATATTTTTACGTTATCAGTTTACCAAGAACCTGTAAGAGACTGGATTTCAGAAGTCCTAGGTAGTTATTTACACAGTTTACACGTACGATGACGTTAGTTGCTTGATTTATTGTCCCAGTGATTGACAGCATATTGATGGTTGTTTTCTATGATGGCGATTTCTACTAGATATTAAACAAATCTGGAAGATTTACGTACGCGTCAATTGAAACGTTATTTGCCGTGTTCGATGTACAATGTAACGTTAGTTGCTTGATTTATTGCCTCACTGATTGACATTATATTAATTTTGTTTGTCGTTTTGCCAGTTGATTTATTGGTAAATAAATTTTGTTGCTTGTTTGGTTGTTTGCTTGATTGGTTGTGTCACTGGTACGTTGATTGGGATGTTAGTTGGGCGTTTTGAGGCATAAAAAGAAAAAATCAAATTCCTAACCCTGGTAGGAAGGTAGGGTACCCGGTCACCCAGCTACCCGGTTATCCGGTCACCCGGTTTTTTACACAAACCCATCATTCAATGTTTGAGAGATTGTTAAGATAAAGGTCGGTACAAGGGTCCTATTTTTGGGTAATCATTTTTTGGATGTACCATTTTTGGTTTGTGTCTGATCTTCTTATTTATTCATTGAGCCTAGGCAAGGCTATAACTGACTGACAACTGGCAATTGTTTTTCACATATCCTAGTTTTCTGCATCAGAAAAAAGCAAATTCTGCACTTGAATTTAAATAAAAAATAAGAGTTAGCTAATGAATACGACTGTCACCTACCCTCATAAAATTCATTTAAAATGATCCCATATCAGCTTTTATTCAGTTTTGCCTACCATGAGTATCAGCACAATATACATACCTGTGTGGTATCCAGTCATTTACTTTTTATGAAACATGTTGAAAAGGAAATCGTACCAATTTTTATTATTTCCTTCATAATTATAGAATCAATCAACAACTGAAGCCAAAAACATAATTCCGAGATGAGTATAAACACAACTCTACTGTGATCATAATGCAGTTTGAAAACATACAGTACAAATAAGCCATCTACAGAGATGAACAGTAGGAGTTGATTATGAAGTCAAAAATGCCGTAATTTGTATTTCCAGACTCGATAGAAGACATGTGAAGACTTCAAATTATAATTGATAATCCACAAATAAAGTATGACGACTACAACACCGATAACACCCCCTATTTCACCCACTGCTTCTAAACCTCGACCAATACTTCTACGCAAGTCATCTGGGGGAAAAGGAGCACTGAAGGAAAAAATTGTGCAAATTTATGAAGCTTTTTTCAAGGTAAGTGTGATTAAAAAAATGTCTGCAGTATTAACAATACAGCCTGAATTGCAGCCTCTAATTGATTGCAAAATTTCAAAAATGTTAACATTGAAAATGTAGTGTCACTGTTGCAAGATGGACATCCTACTATAATAACAATCATGACTGATCAATCATCATAATGTTATTTTATTTTTTGTTCTGTGACCACAGTTAATTTCTTAGTAATCATCATAATTTAATCTTTTTAGCACATATGGTGTGACCTATTGTAATCACCCACTTGACTGTCTGTCAATCAACGCATTGGTGGCTCATTTGCTCATTTGTAACCTTCAATAACAATTCAAATGGTTTCATTTTTATGTCTCAAATTGGCGTCTCAAAAGCTATGTTCATTTTAAGATAGTGGCCATTTTTTATTGCAAAAAATCATAATTTCAGCACTTGCACCATGTGAGCCCGGTATTAATGAAACTTTTTATTTTGTTCATTTTCAAACTTAAACATGATATGCACAACTGTGCATTTTACATGTAATAGCGTATTTATATTTTTACAGGGCACAGACCCATCAGTGGGTAACCCAAATTTCTGGGATGAACTTTTCCTGCTAAAAGTCAACACGACTTTCATTGAAACAGAATTTGAGAAATTATCAGGAGATCAACTTTTAAGTCTAAAGGTAAGCTAATCATATCATTGAAAAATTTGTAAATTACAGCATCTAGAAAAAGTATCATTATATCCATAATACAATAGAGGCATATGTACAATAGTAAAAACTGAGAAAACATACGTCATATGTGAATAAGTCGTTTGTGAAACATGGCATCCAGGTTAAATGTTCAAAGTTGTCAAATGCGCCATTTGTATATGAAATGTCTTACTTAGAATATACTGTACTTGCAGGATAACATTAACACCCTGTTCTACAAGTGTGTGCTAACCCTCAAAGAGGACTATCCAATCAGAATTGTCAATGCTATTCAGGTAAGTGGATGTGTTGAAGCTAGAATTGTGTCATTAGTGCAATGTTATTCACACCTGTCCCATTGGCTTGTGTCTGAATATTTTTGTATTGAATTTAGAACTTCAAATAGACTTAATTATTCAAACTATAGTAATATATATGTTTATTTCATAATTTTTAACTATTATCCAGGTTTATTCCCAAGGTATATCCCAAGTGAAATATGTGCATCTCCTAACGGACCACTGAGGTAATGGATGCGGAATTAAAGATGTGTTCAGATGTACAGTTTTTTACTGTTTAAACTAATTCTTATTTTTCTGCTTACTTGTAGACAATATGTGCATTGGTGCGTGGAATCTTCAAAAAGAGCATTGGTGGAGACTTTGGTTTTGATATGATTGACATTCTGATTGGATTCGATGCAGCTGAGGGACTTATGCAAACATTAATTGAACACTGCAATCATTTCCTTACTGGAGAACATTCTGATAACTTGAAGGGGCTCGTCTTGAAGCTCCTATTGGTCCTCGTCACGGTAAGTGTATTCTGGGAGATCATTTCTTGAAAATGTAACAGTTTAAGATTTATTATGTTACCATCACAAGTGATCACATATTGTAATGGTCTCCAACTTTTTGGTCATAACTCCACAAGTATTCCATCAGTTTTTTGTGGATGGTGTTCGGTGGTTGGCATTTGGTGTTCCGTGGTTGATGTTTAGCAGTCGGCATTCAGCATCTGTAACAAATAGTAGGTGGTGACATTTTACGTGCCTTCTAAACTTAGCTTTGAATTCCATTAAATATGAAAAAGCAATGGAGTGCTTCAATGATCCCATTCTTTTAAAATGGCTAACATTTACTTATCTGAGCCGTCGTTAAATTTTCAAATGGATTTCTCCTTGTAAAAATGGCTTCCTCATACGCATTTGCTTGACTAGATCTTTGTTTGAAGGTATTACCTACACATGGTATTGCTTTTGTCCTTTTGTAATTTGCTCTTGTATTTTTAGGCAACTGAAAATGTCAGTCAGAACACGTTATTAGAGTATGTGATGATCAACAGTGTCTATGAAGCTATCGTCCTGTTGCTAGGCAACCCCACAATGAGGCAGGCTCATGGTCATGATGCCGTCTTACTTTTAACAATTTTGGTGCAGTATAGAAAATATGAGGTAAGTTGCAACACCCCAGTTGTTGTTTATCATATATACATGTAGTTTGTATTGACTAACTTATATGTACTCTGATGTTGCCCTTTGTTTATCTATGTTATTTTGTTATCAGTCTTAGTGTTTGACAATCAGATACATCCCAGATTTAAGTGTTACATTTCAAAAATTCGCATCAATAATTTATAGCCAAATATGCTTTTTAGCTCATTATCATTATCAAAAATTATTTTCCAGATTTTCAGAGATGAAACCACTTCAATTGAGCCTAAAAGCCAGGCTTCATTGTTTCGATGATGTTAGAATCAATTTTGCCTTTTATTTTCAGTCAGCCAACCCTTACATCGTGAAACTGTCAATATTAGATGATGAGCTTGCATTGAATGTAAGTACATAGATATGCCCCATTGCCATGGAAATGAACATATTTTATTTTAAACTTAATGTAAAGATCCAAACCAGTAAATTTATTATTATGTGTTTGTTAAAGTCAGAAAATAATCTGATCTAACATAAACATTACCCTGGGAGGAATTTCTCAAACATATTCACAAATAAAATGATTTTTTAGATTTTTCAGAACTGTCAAAAGAAATCTCATACTTCATGGCTTGTGGAAAAAATATCAGTGAGTTACTGTATGTTGAATTGTTTTGATTTTATGCTAAATATGTTTAGGGATATGCCCAAGTAGTGTCATCAGCTCTGACAGAATACAACAGACTTTACCAGCAGAAAAATATAGAGCCACAAAACACTGGATTCTTTTCTTCGTTCACCAACATGGTAAAGTGATCTTTGAACTTGGATATATTTTTAGGTTTGATTTTGTGTTTCTGACGTATGTGTAAAGTAACAACATTGTATCTTGCAAATGGATTAAAAAGCCCAAATAGATTATCCTAAAACTTAGAGTTACACACACACGCATGACTCAGATGGTAGTATTCTCTCATGTTTCTTTTTGCCGTCTCATCTCATTTAAAGCCTTTTTGCATGAGAGCAATTTGCATGTGCAAATCAATGAAGTCAAATTATAAATGTCTAGATGAGATTTTTTTCGAGGTGTTAATTTTTCCCTGTAAGTCTGTGTTAATCATATTGGATCCTGGAGCGGGATCAGTGGACTGAGGCACACTACGTAACAATAGGGCTGTACCTTTCCTGTATAGACAGGAGGATCCACTCATCATTTCCCACTGACCTAGAAGGATCAAATGAAAGATGGTGGAATCATGTTCTTGAATGTTACACTTTTCAGTGGAATTGGTGTTTTTGATTTTAGATATTGATTTTGTTTCCTAGGATTATTTTGTGATTTGAATCATATGTATAGATTTTGATGTTCACACTGTGTTCTATGGATATCTAGTGATAATTTGATACAAGATTGTTTTGCCAGAGGATTGTGTAATATTTATCATGAATGGAAAATTGCATGGTCAGCTGTTTTTCAAAAAGTGTTTTTATAGCTTAATGTCAATCACCAAGTTGTTTTTATAAGCCATGTTTGAAATTAATAGTTATTACTGGGTGATTAATATTGATTAGCCCTAATTACCCAATTGAATATGCTGAGTCAGCAATTTTATAATTATTATATATGCAATTATGCATCCTCTCTTTTTGGATACTTTCCCATTTATATGCGATATAGTACTAAGTACAAGCATAACACTGTTGCTCATTTCATTTTTAAGGTTGGAAATATGTTTATTCCTGAAGAATCCAGCAATGTGGAAGCAATAAAGGCAAACGACAGTATTCTCCTGGCTCTGTATGAAGCTATACATTTGAACAGGAATTTTATAACCACTTTAACACATGTAAGTGTGTAAATATTCATAGAATTGAATCTATCTTTTGAAAAATAAGAAACTTTAAAGAGGCACTGTCTCATTGGAGCACTATTAGAGTAACTCCTTAATATGTTTGCACTAGGAGGGGTAAAATAGGTTCATCCGTCTACTTACCAACAATGATTTTCCTGGTAAAAAATGTGTAAACTCCTCTGTTAGATGGATCAAATGTTACATTTATATGTCATATACAAACAAATACGACTGTGGCAACTGGGGTATTTTAAATCACAACAAAACACAACTCGTACAACAGATTCTATTGTGCAGTTTATTTCCATTCTTGCTGTACTGAAATACATTTGTTTTGTTTACCATGCTCATTGCGCATGCGCGAAAGCCAAAGTGACCTGTACATACCCCAGGCGCCACACAGTACTAAGGTATTTATGTATATTGTAAATTCAAACATTTATACATGGTAAATCGTCTCATGGCAAGCTTTATGCACTGTACATTACTATTTGAAGTTCTATATGAAATTATCGATCAGAAAACTGACACTGAAACTACATGAACTGCTCTTCTTGGCTTTTATGGCTTTATTTATTTAGAATGACAAGTAACACAGTTGACCACGGGCTAGCCATGATACGCATACATGTCGGTGCCAATGAATCTTCTCAACAATATATACTAATACCCTTTATATTCAAGACCAGTTGTTGCATTGAGATCTTACACAGTGTATCTGACTAATCGGATTTATCAATGCTTCTACTGTAATGTTTCTATGTTGCTGAACAGTGATAAAAACTCATAAATACTTCATCCTCTCTTTAGAAACAGTTATATATCAATATGATGATATTATAATGGTTTTAATTACACTTCGATAGTATTATATAAGTGCAGAATTTATATTTTTTCTATGTGGGATCTGAGAAGATATATACTTGGAAACAAACCATACATTTATGTTACAGTGAAACTTATGTGCGGGTATATATCACTCCCAATGTAAACACTGTTTTGGCATAGATCCAAGGTCATGACCTTACATTGCGCCAATCAGTAGCGCTAATGGGTGCATTTCACTTTACTGAAACACTGCTCACCTGAAATGAGTTGCTCTGTACATATTCTCAAAAGTTTTTGCCTTTGAACAGATAGAACATTGAGTTTGCCGTTTTCAGAGCCAAACACTTACAGTAAAAGTCAAATACTATAACTGTACTTTTCTACATTTGTTTTATATCTTGACTTTAATCAATTTTAACTAAATATTTTAAAATAAAGGTTGTTTTGTGGAGAAACTTTTCAACTTAATTGGTGGAAAACCCTTACTTTCTTATCACTGTATTTAGCTACTTTTATTACATATTCAATAAGCTACTATAAGGAATCAAGGGAACAGTATTTCACATAGCAAGTGTTCACCAGACATGACACATCAGATAATTTATTTGTAAATAGAACGGTTTCTTTTCTTATATTGCATCTATGAATTAGTATTAAAATGGGCATAAGTGTCACTGCCTGGAGGATGAGTGTTGGAATGCACAACAGTAGAAAGTGTTTTATATCAGTTAATAAGAGAGAAGTCAAAAATGGCAGCAAATGCATACTCGACTATTTTAACTCATTCTCTTGGATTCCATTGTACATTTGCCTTACATTGATATGTGGTTTTGAGCTCTACATAGCAGATTCAGGCAAATCACTTTGAATTCTTGTAAGATTTTATTTGGATGCATTAGTACATTTTTAGTTGTCATCCATGGTTTAACATTCATGGGCACAATTGTCTATGTTCATAGCAATCACAAACATTTTGGTACATTTTACATAATGAAGATGTTTGCTAGTATAGTTTTATTGTTCATTCCATTCTGTGCTATTTTATGTTATATTCCTAATACTGTTCAAGCTATTCTCTTACTGAGTAATGATGTTCATCAGAATCCAGGACCTACAAATCATTTTAAGCTCACAAAGATTTTATTCTCAAATATAAACAGTATAAGTGCAAATGTAAATGCCAGATTTGAAGCACTTAAAGATAGAATACAGATCAATGGAAATGACATTATTGGACTTTGTGAGGTTGGAAATCTAACTGATTTGACAGTTTCTTCTGATTATTCTATAGATGGTCATTGTCATGTATACTCGAATAAAAATCGAGGCCTATTGATATATGTTAAAGATGATATCCCTTTTAAAATTAGAAATGACCTTATGAATGATCAGGGTGACTCCTTATGGATTGAATTGAGCATTAACTATAAGTCATATCTATATGCAATTTATTATAGGTCACCATCGCAAACTCAAAATGAGGCAAATGAATTCTGCACTAGGTTCTCAAACTCATGCAATATGGCACTTGACTCTAACCCAGAAGCTATTTTTATTAATGGAGATTTTAATGCAAGGAGTAAACAATGGTGGGCCTTAGACAATGAAAATTTCACAGGAAAAAAATTATTTGAACACATTGAAGAACTTGGACTTTTTCAGCTTATAGATGAACCAACGCGAATAACAAATACCAGTAGATCATGTATCGATCTTCTCATTTCAAATAGCCCTGATATTATAACAAATGCTTATGTTTCTCCTCCTATTGGTAACACTGACCATTGCTCAATAAACATCCTCCAGGCAATAAACAATTCAGTTAGAGCAGCAGACTTTGATCACTTGATAGATAGTAGTAATGATTTAGATGACATAGTAAGCAATTTTTCGAGAGGGTTACTTGCAATTTTTACAGATCTTATTCCAAACTCTGATATTGAAATTAAACCTACAGATAAGCCATGGTTTACAAGCGATATCAAAACCTTGATAAATAAAAGAAATAAATTACATCGTAAGTACAGGAAATCACATGATGACAAATACTTTAAGAAATATACTGATCAATGTAATCTTGTTAATGATGCTATTCGTGAGGCCAAAGAGGCAATGGAATCAAGGTTGTACTATAAATTAAGTAATCAGAGATATGGAAGCAAAGGATACTGGTCAATTGTAAGTAGGCTTTTGGGAAAATCTAAAAATAGTAAAATACCACTTCTTTGTGATGCTAGGGGTAACAGTTACACTGATAGCCATGACAAAGCAAACTTGCTACTGTCTCATTTCACTGACAAATATCATATAAATTATCAAGAAGGAAATGAAACTTTTATTCCAAGAACTGATCAATCTTTTGACCTACTCTCTACTAATGATAGAGAGGTTTATAGCATTTTACTTGGGTTAGACACAAATAAAGCTACTGGCCCTGACATGTTAAGCAATAGAATGCTTAAAATGGCAGCACCATCACTTTCACCGATAATATCAAAATTATTAAACAAAATGTTCATTCTTAATAAATACCCCCAACCTTGGAAAGTAGGCCACGTTGTAGCAATTCATAAAAGTAAAGACAAAACAGATGTAAAAAATTATAGACCTATAACTCTCCTGAGCTGTATATCTAAAGTTGCAGAACGCGTAATCTTCAAAAGACTTTTTGACCATCTAATTGTGAACAATTTATTTTATAACCTCCAAAGTGGCTTTTTGCCAGGTCACAGCACCCAGGCACAGCTTCTAAGTATAATTGATGTCATAACTAATGAAATTGAAAATGGGGCCAATGTAAGGGGGATTTATCTTGACATTTCGGCCGCCTTTGATTCAATGCCCCATGGGCTACTATTAAAAAAACTGGAAATGTATGGTTTTGGTCATAACATCATAGAATTAATGAAATCGTACCTATCAAATAGACAAGTGAAAGTTGTATTGGATGGCCAAGAGTCTGAACTATCTGAGATGAATCATATAAACGCAGGAGTACCTCAAGGCTCCATATTAGGCCCCCTCCTGTTTCTAATTTATATCAATGATTTACCTGATAACTTAAATACCAAATGTTTTATATATGCAGACGACACGTCACTTTACCAATCCTTCACAGCTGAAACAGCAGCTGATAAGAATAATGAATTACAAGAGGATCTAAATAAAATTCTCTTATGGTCAAATACATGGAAATTAAACTTCAAAGCTAGTAAAAGTAAAGATATGACTTTTTTTAATCCAAGAAAGCGCGAAATTTTGACCCCAGATCTTTCCCTTGGTATAAATGACAAGTTACCAAGAGTAAACAATCACAAGCACTTGGGCTTGATTTTGGACAAAAATCTCACTTTTGACTATCACATTACTGAACTTGTAGCAAGAATAGATAAACTCATAAATCCGTTAAAAGTCTTCAGTAAGAAAATAAGTGGAAAACACCTTGAAACAATTTTTAATTCTTTTATTTTGCCACTCTTTGATTATTGTGACATTCTTTACGGATGTGCAAATTTGACAAAACTACAACTTTTAGACCGCCTTTACTATAAAGCTGCAATTATTTGTTCAGGTGCCATGCATGGAACATCAGCCACAAAAGTGTTGAATACTTTAAATTGGCCCACACTCTCAAATAGACGTCAATATCATAGAGCTACCTTTATGTATAGAGCTCACAACAACTTGCTGCCTTCTTATGTCACTGAGATATTTGAACCACTAAAAAGAAATCAAACACATGAACTAAGACACCAACTTGACTATATTTTACCAGTTAAATCCAAATTTTATGAAAGATCTTGTATCTCAAAAACAATATCAGAATGGAATCTACTCTCATCTGATATAAAGAACTCATCTAGCTTAAGCATATTTAAATCAAGCCTTAAAAGCAATATCTTTAACGAAACTGTTATTAACTCATCAGAATTGTCCATCTCAAGAAATCAAGAAATTATATTTAACAGAGTACGATGTGATTTCATTTTCAAGGCTCACCTTTACTCGCATAACTTTACCAATGTAAATTCCCCAATCTGCTCATGTGGTATTAACAGTGAAACAACCAGCCATGTGATTTTTCGATGTAACTTGAGATTAACATTCTGGTCTGAATTAGAAAACCAACTAAAAAATATGAATATACAATACTCCCATAAATATAAGACACAACGTGATAAACTTTCTCTGATCCTGAATGGTGATAAAACATTAAGTAGAGCTGAGAATCTGATTGTTTTAAAGTGCAGTGCCATTTTCTTCGAGCGATGTGTAAATGTCTGAAATCCTCCACAAAACAATTTTTATCTTATTGTATCTCATTTATTTTAATCAATAGTATTGATTGAATACATTGTATATTGTAATTGTAGAACGTGGCTAATAATGCAAAAAGCACAGCCACTCACACTGTATTTTTGTATTGTATTCTTTGTACAAATGAATAACTTAATAAAAAAAAAAAAAAAAAAACTTACCAACTGTCAGATATCAACTCAGATCCTACGTTTGCGGTGTCCATTTCATGATTGTACAACATACGCATAAATAAATTGGACAGTACTGGACAGTCAGAAATCCGAAAAGAACCTGTTCTGAATCTGATTGGCTGCCTGAGTTCAAGTAACTTGACAATGTTCGTGCAATGCCTCTTTAATGTGTAGATTCTAGCATATAAGTTTTGTATTTGTTTAAATAAGAAGTTTTTGAATAATTCTTAAAAAGAATATTATAATGAAAGGAATATTTGTGTTCTAGTCGCATACACATTCGGCACCAACAACGCCACCTTCGTCTCCAGTCACTCCGGGAACGCCCTCTGGAGGAGAGGAGCCAGGTACACTTTCTTTAATATTCAGATTTGTAAAAAGATTAGAAACAAAGGTATAAAGTAAATAGCTACACACACAGGGACTAGTTTCTTTCTATGTGAGCACAAAAAATGTCTAGGTTTTTGTTTCCTATTCGTTTTGTCAGTTGGGAGTTATTCACCCATGTAAGATTAATTTTGACTTTAAATTCAACTGCATATTTTTAGGTACACCAAAGATGGATATCACTGCCCTTGAGCCTACTAATCAGCCTACAAACCTTCTAGTCACATTTTTAGAGTACAGCTCCATTATTATGCAGAACACACGAGGTAAGTTTATTAATTGGAGGTGATCTGCCAGAAATATGATGGCAGTTAATATAAATGAGGCACAGTAGCCAAAATCCAACAAAGAATTAAAAATGCAAGTTTAATTAGTATCAAAAGTAACAAAAATACATCCTAATACAGTCTTAAGTTAACTAACCCACAAGGTTGTGTTCAATCAAGGTACATGAATATGTTAAAGGTAAAGATTACAGATATATATGATTCAGAGATCTCATGCCTTCAGTGGACCACCCCTTACTTTGAAAAAGGAACAGACTTTTTGGATCTATAGCTTTCATTCTAAAGATTGTTGAAATTTTTACAGATGCAGGAGCAACTGATTAGGTTTTGATGGTGGATAAAAAAATGGAGGCCACTTTGCTCTCAAAGTGCGATATTTATCATAGTGTGTCTTGTTGCAGAATAGACAGTAGACTTGCAAATGTGTATTTTTGCATTATGTTTAGAGAAATTGATCTTTCATTTTTTTGTTGATTTCTTTCAGATGAAACACGGTTCAATAATGCAAAGTTATGTCTGACAATCATGACATGCATTGCCGAGGATCAGTACGCTAACTCTCTCATGCATGACGTCAACATGAACTTCCGGGTGCCTCTTCACAGAATGGTGAGTTCTTAAAGTTGAACCAAAGAATATAATTTTTTTTGTTATATATACAGCTGCACTGGAATTTTTCTGTTGTACAACTGTTTTAAAGATAGATAAATAAAATAATAGAATGTGTAAATGTGGAGTGCATTCTTTTCAATACGCTTGCCAATATTTCCTTTACCATCCTGATTTTGTCATCTGAAAAGAGAATTGAGATATCTGAATCAAATGTATTTGTTTGATAAGATTCTAAAATGTCCAAAATTAGATGTAAAGGGGATGTGTACTTTCAAAATGCAAGCCACAAAACATGAAAAATCAAAGCATTTGGGCTTTTGGGAAATATATTGAGGTTAAGATAAACATGCTTTTACCTCTCCCAATCAATACATAAATGTTTAGTTGAAAATTGTAAATAATTCATAATCCAATGACAACTCCCTTCATTGAAAAATTATGAATATTTTGAATTACATTCTTTCAAAATTGTAGGGTCACAATTTGATAATGCATCAGTGGTGAAGAGATTTGTATATTAAAAATGAATTAGAGCTGCAGAATGAATGAAAATAAATATCTACATTATTTTTAGCCGATGCGACATAGGAAATCCAAACATATTGGGAAACCAGAATCTCGTCCTTTAGCATGTGCTCTGATTGGTGAGAATACTACATGTTGATATACCGTTTATGTCATACTTGCTAGCTGTTGTTACACTAAGGGGGTGTCTCAAAGGTTCCGCATTAAATTCTTGGTGTTAGACAACCATGGATGTAGGGCTAGATTTGGTTTTGGTATGCGCCCTTTTGGTGGAAGCCCATCTATCTAGGGGCTACTTTGGAAACATAGTTTAATTTAGATGTGTTAGATTCAATTTGAAATGCAAAACATCCGATGACATATAGCATCATTTATACCACATTCTGTATTTATTTATTTGAAAACTCTCATTCCATTGTTAAACAAACATACTTTTTCTAACCACACAGCCATTAAAATTAATCAAACACCTGGAGAATTTAGAAGGAAACTTGAGACAGTCCCTTGCTAATTCAGATTTCAACAGTTGATGTTACACTGCCTGGCTTGCTGCCTTAGACTTGATATTCAAAGTGTTTTATGTACAGTATTATAGAGAGATAAATTGAGAAAGATAATAACACAAGGTTTATACAGCTAGAGGTGCTCATCTGGCCGGGCCTGACTTTGGATTTGGCTGGCATACATCAGTTATTTAGGGGAATGCATCAGGGGAATTCCTCCATCACTAAATTTTAGCATTACATACATTTTTTCTAAACATCATTGACAATGACACAAGATAAATTAAACCAGTTCAAAAGTTCACTTTGCCTTGCTATTTATTATAAGATTGCTATGTTTGCTCTTAAGGCAAGAAACTGCCACTGTAACTGCAACTGTTGGACATTTTTACATTTTGCATGCTTTCAGCTTAGTTCTTGCACCAGGAATGACAATCTCAAAGCTTCCTGTCTGAATATTGTATTCCCATCCCCATATTGTATTCCCATCCCCATATTGTATTCCCATGCTTTATCATCTAGGAACATTGCATTTAAGTTGCATGTCATGCATGCACCCATATCATTCCAGATGACACCATATCATTCCAGATGCTCGCAATATCAATCCAGATATTCACTTCCACCACCATATCAGTCCAAATGTAGAATTTTAAATGATGTCTGAATTTTTGATATACTCATCCCTAGTCGTACAAATTATACTTAATTGTGCTTGTTTGTTTGTTAGTATCAAAGGTTGACATTTACAAAACTAAAATCCTAAAAGTTCAGACATTCATTTGAAGTCTTCTGTGAGAATGATTCGCTATTTTGCATGCTTGGGATGTTCACTATTGTTTATGTTGTACACTATAGCCTATGAGACACAGAAAGGGAATGGTTGATGGTGAGCCTCCTTCTAGACCTCTTGCCTGCTCCTTTCTTGGTAAGATACCATGGGGTCTTTCACTCATTAGTGTCTATCTTAGAAGGGGTCATCAGTGTAACTCATTTTGGTTTCATCTGTATTGCTGTCTGTTTTTATTAGAGTAATATATATATAATTATTCATTCATTTTAATATCATAATCCGTTTACTAATTTGTTCTATTTTTGAATAACAGTTTTTATATATTAACCTTTAAAAGTATACATTTTACAATTAACATGTAAACTTGATTATTGTGCATAACTTACATATACATGTTTAGCTATATGGAGTTTGTATTATATTCATTATGATGTTGAATAATCTTGTTCATCAACAATTATCAGACATAATTGAAAACAATTGACTCATGTCTGCTCTTTTAAATAGAATTCATGTGCGTCCCATTTCCATTGGGCCACTCTGTACACTGACTATATATTTCTATTGTTAGATCTGATGGTTGAGTTCACAATGAGTCACATGATGAAGAACCTTCCAATGGAGCTTTACCTGTAAGTTAATCAATGATGCTATTTATTTGAGAAAAACACATGTTTTATAGTAGTTATTCTATTTGAACCTCTTGTTTTATGAAATAAGAGACAGAAAAGGTTCATATGAAATAAGCTGAACTAAAATAAAGTAATTTTTCAACATCTTTTGAGAATCAAATTTAACCTGAAGTTATTGCCCTATGTACACCAGTGGGGCACATCCTCCATAGACTGAACATTGCATAAGACTCCATGGGACTTGTCCTATACAGTCTCATACAATATGTTTCTCAACCAAAACACAATTATGAATACCTTAATGTAATTTCAGCAAATGTTTGGGTATAGCTCATAGGGTGCTTTGTTACCAGAAGAAATGTCGTGTAAGGCTCCAGTACACATGGAAGGGCATGTGGACAGGTAGGTTGAAAAAATAAAGAAAACAGGCACAGGAATGAGTGTAATAAAAATATGTGGTCACTTACTTTTGGCAAGATTTGTTTTTTGTAATTCTTGATCATGTTTTTTCAGTTTCGAATTCTGTTGAGTTTTTCTCAATTCACATTGGATACTTTTTTATGTGGCATTTTTTGTCCAATTTCTTTGATGTATTGTTGTCTCATTGATTTCTGTGTAACCAAAGCATAAAGTTGGTACCTCATGATATGTTCTTTTTCAGCTTTAATCAATCTCCTGAAGTTTATGATGTCCAATGAGAATTACCTTGTGAAGAAACATGACATATTCAACCTCTGTTCAAAAGTAAGTCTGCCAAGTGAAAAATATGACATCAGTATATTTTTTAAGATTACATCTGAATAACGAGATTTTCCTACTATAATTATTACAATATTTCTTCTAAGGTTGGAGTTGACCATTGATTTGGTCAAAACGAATGACATTACCAGGATAAAAAGGGTGAAAACTAGATAAAGTTGCAATTTTGAAGGCCATTGTTGAAAAATTAAACAAAGATCCATCAGTTTTGTTTGGAAATAAGACCAAAACTGAAATTTTGAAATTGTGACATGACTCCATATATGGCAGAATATCGAGATGGAACCCTGGGAGCCAATCCTCCTTGTGAATCAACCAATCACAACACAGGTATTGCATCACATTATATATTACTTTTCAGGTGGTGAATATTTTCAACTTGTTTATAACATATGGGGACACATTCCTGCCAAGCCCTAGCAGTTATGATGACTTATATTATGAGATTATTAGGATGCATCAAGTTTTTGATAATCTGTACTCAATGGGTAAGTGCTCAGAGCCATCTATATGATCGCAATCTTGATATTCTTACAGAAACTATTTGAAAAGAAAGACCATGTTTATTTACATTTTCCATGGTGATTATACAAATTATCTTTTACAAGTCATTTTTCACTTATAAACATTTTCTTATCTCATACACATTCACACTAAGTAAGATCCACTTTGCTCAATGTTTACATTTTAGAGTCTAAATTGAAAAATTCAAAAATGTCTAATATCTGAGAAATGACTCACTTCAAATATTGAAGTAGGAGATTTTTCTTAACTATTTGACCTTGTATTTCAGCATTGAGGTATACATCTGGAGAAGGTCAATGGAAGGACTCAGCTGTGCGTCTTACGAACCATCTAGTCAATGTCAGGTATGTAGATGTAAAGACTATGCTATGAGCACTTGCAATACCTTTTCAGGTGGGGTCATTTTGTCATGTGAATGCATTCCTACAAGAAATACATGCAACAGCTCATTGTGAATAAGGTGATCATGTTATAATATTTTGATGTGATTTAACATTGACAGTATAGTGTGTCGATGTCATATTTTAGATAAAAGACTTGTATTATGCTTTGACAATATTAGCCAACTTGTCCATAAATCGAGTTTTTATGTCAACACTGAAAAGTGGTGACATATTGTTATGGGTCTCCATTTTTTGATGTTGGTTGGTGGTTGGCATCAGATTTGAGATTTCACCTTCCTAAATGGCCTCTATATAATGTTCAAAAAAGGTCTTTTTTCAACTTGCTTCAAATTGACCAATTTATTTTTTCTTCATCATCTACAAGTTCTCAGAAATTCAAATCTGACTTAAGATTGAACTCATTATATTGTGAGCAACTACGTGGTGACATTTTGTCATGTTAATGCCTTGTTCTTATCTATCGTCAATCTTGTTTTCAGAGCAATTATAAATCATTTTACACCAAAAGTCGATTCGTGGGCAGCAGCCAATCATCTTTCTTCATTAGAAGAAGAGCAGGTTCTCCAAGTGGTGCGTGACAATTACGATACACTTACGCTGAAGTTGCAGGATAGTCTAGATCAATATGAGCGATACGCAGAACAGCCTAAAGAGACAGCATTTTTCACTCAGTTGGTAAGAGCATAAATACATTTGTTATTTCAGCAGACTTTTTGCCAGATTGTCAAATGGAGGTTAGAACACATTGTAAAACTTTGAAATGCATAAAACTGTCACTTTTTCAAGCTATAGGCTAATGAGAACTGTCACTTTTTCAAGCTATAGGCTAATGAGAACTGTCACTTTTTCAAGCTATATAGGCTAATGAGACTGTATTTTAGAGAATAGCATATGATCAATAGTTGAGTTGAACAGTATTTTTGCAATTACTTCAAACCCATGAATATTGCATTATTTTGATTTGTTCTTCCAGGTGCGTTCTATAATAACTGATGTAAGAAAAAACATTTCATTCTCCAATTATCAAATACAAACAGTCCTCCAACAGTTTTCTACCATCTCATAAAATAAAAGTCAAGTACTCATGGATACAACAAGGTGACAATGTAAATCCATAGATACAGTGGATGTGTATCTAAGGATACAACAATGTGACAATGTAAATCCATACGTGTAGATACAATGGATATGTATCTATGGAAACAACAATACAACTCCATGGATACAGCAATATGACATGTTGGATACAACAATATGAGCACAACTTCATGGATATGTTAACATTGTGACTATGTAACTTCATGGATAGGACAAAGATATCATTATCAACGCAAGGAAATGACTTAGGGATATGGCGATGTGACATTACTCAAAATGAGAATAATTTCTCATGGAAACACTAAATTGGCTTCTTGGGTGGGATTAATGGAATCCATAGATAGATTAAAAATCACTTGGATAGGCTAATATGCAATAAAACATACTTTTAGTTCTGTATTTTATGTTTAAAAGAGATTGAAAAGTGTTCCATTTTGGGTTTTTAATGTTATTCATATTAGCCTTGTAGAGGTAAGCAGCATTTAAGTCGTTTGAAAAATACAGAAATTGAACTGTCAGCCAATGTAATTTATGTGAAACTACAGTAAACTATAACATTTTTGGTGAACTGTAGAATTAGTTGAAGGAGTCATCTCAAAGAATGAGTCATATTCCTATACTCGGCCCTTGGTCCAATATTATACAAATATTTAATTATATTGAGGTGAATACCTGTGCATCTTTCACAAGTGATATTCCACGAAGCCCGAAGGGCTAGTGGAATATCATCTTGTGAAAGTGTCACAGGTATTCACCGAAAATAGAATTAAATATTTGTTTTATTATATCACTGTCATAACATCTTCTATAATTGAATAAGTCATATGTTAACATTGAAATACATTTATATTTCTTCTAACAATATAACAATAAATATCAACTACCAAATTGTATAGTCAATAAATATCAACTCCCAAATTGTAGTATTTTAATTTAAGGTTTCATGTTAACGTTATAATTAACTGTAACATTGCAATGAGTCTATAAAAATGGAACCATTGTGTTCATACTCATAGTATTGGCCATGTTGGAAACAAGGTTGAGAATGTTTTTCAAATGTCCATTCATGACTGTTGAATATCATTTGATATTCACCGGAAGTCACGTGACTTCCGTCGAATATCGCTAGTTATTTTTTAGTCACGTGTAGGACATGGACCAATGAGAGAGTGAGGAATATGACAGTTATATGATAATTTACTATATTGCTCGCAGAAATGACGTTATTAGTATTATTACCACCGTTAACGACCAGGACTGAAACAGCAAGAAAATCTTACGCATTGAACGATATCTAATTTCCCGGGGAAAATTGCCGATCCAGAATATATTCTAGACTGGTCCATATGGACCACCACTATGACGCCACACATTTCTCAGGTCGATATAGTAAAATGAATGCCTTCTAAACTAGCACTAAAACCCCTAGAACTGGCCCTGCAAGGTGGTAATAATTGTCTTTAAATTAACTATTGTTGTAAGGTGCATGTATACCAAATGTTAAGAAGTGCAATGTTCAAGTGTATGATGGTTAACTTGACCTATTAGTGCCTATACTCGACTCAAGTAATGCTTGACATCGATAAGACATTTGAAAGCAAGGGCATTAAAAACATGTTAAAACATCATGGTACAATTATAGTTTTCAAGTGCTTTCCCCCTCATTAAGGTAGAAGTAAAATGGCAGGTTTAATTGCTTCATTATGAAGTATTTTGATACAAAGGGTTTGTAATGATTGATTTTTGAGGCATGCAGGCACAAAATACTTTGTAACAAAACAATTTCACGCTGCTGTGTAACAGGTGCCAATATGTACAGGGTGTCAAATAAATATGTTCTCCCCTCCTAAGCTTTAACATCCACATAATGTTGGATAACTTTTTTCTTTACATGATATCTGAATTGTTCTTTGGCACATCAAAACTAGGCTTCATGGAGCAGCTCCACAAGAAGTTTCAGATGACAAGCTCAACTAGATGCACTTTTATGCACAAAAGTTCATTTTCTTGAAATTGAGGGTGGAGAACATATTTATTTGACACCCTGTAGTTTGGCACAGTAGCATTTCAAGGTTAACTATTAATATTAGTAAAGCTTAGTTTAGATAGCAGAAACAGGGTGTTCAGATTATTATGTGTTGCCAGTGTGGCTTATATTATGGAAACGAATCAAATTGAACCATCTGGCTCCCCAATAACATATATGGTTGAATATTCTGATACAACATAAGGGATATACAGTGATACACCAAAATATTGAAGTAGATGTTTTAAGTCAGAATATTGAAACAGATATGTTACATATGTGGTTCAGTGGTCATATGTATTTCTTCATATTTTATTGAAGATGCAGAATCAGTTTATTTATGGTACATTAACTACATTAATGGCATATCCATATATCAAATAGCATTTTTTTATAAGAATGCTGTAATCACTCAGGAGTACATGTATGTAATAACTGAGGATATCTAGGACTATCCATCAATATGCTAAGCCCTGTTGACAATCTGTAAATGAATTGGGTTATCTCATCAATGTGGGACATTTTGTTGCTCTGCATTTGAATGGAAAGTTTTGAATTGTTTAAATGAATTAAATCAGTTTCCCACTTTCAAATTACCAGTTATCGTAAATGCACACAAAGATCATAGGTCATGTGATTATTGCACAGATGGGAATTTTAAAGTGGTGGAATTATCCTAAGATAATCATACAACACATATGGCAAATGTGGCCCAAAAATGGCCAAGATCACTTGAAAAGTGCTCTAAATGGTGAAAAACTGCATGAGTTTGAAAGAATTTTTGGCCACTCAAAATCCCCCCTGGCTATGGGCCTGATGTTCAGTTTTAAAAAAAGTAGACTTGATTAAACTGAATGTGAAATGTGGTAAGGGTTGTGAACATGAGATAATAAAAATCATCAAATATGTAAAATATCACAATTTAGTATGTTTATTTATTACTAAAGCAGACTAAGACTACCATGAAATAAGGGTACAAACTATGCATATTTGCATACAAGACTCAGGCTCACTTTGAACCAGAGTAAGGCAGATAGCAGAATAGGGGGGGAGTGATTTTTCAAGACCAGGTACTAAAACCAATCCCAAAACAACATGGCATCAATATAGGAGGATATTGTATTGACCCCCCCCCCCCCCCTATAAGATATAGGATAGGATTTGTGAAATGAATATATAGGGGTTATGCACTGGGAGGTTTTGGATACAGAGGATATCCTGAGGGATATACAATATATCTTCCCGAGGGACCGAAGGGACCGAGGGAAGATGTATTGTATATCCCAAGGGATATTCCATGTATCCAAACCGACCGTGCATAACTGGTGTATCTCATAATTGAGTGGGTTTAGGGTAGATATAACCTTTTCCACCTTTTTCAAATGACAAGATATTTATATTTAACATTTTCGTAATATTCTTTTTGTTCAATACAATGAAATTGTAACATTTAAACTTAAAAAATTTAAATTTTAAAATTAAAAAATTTAAACTTTTGATATTTAAACTTTTTTAACTTTTGATATTTAAACTTTTTTAAACTTTTGAAAAATTCCCGGGAGCGGGATGGATATATTATATCTGCCCGCATTTGGCCTGGAGCGGGACATATACAATATATCCTGCCCGCTCCTCAGATACGATATATATTCCCGGGTGATATCTACCCCAAACCCACTCAAGTATGAGATACAACAAGGTATTAACATGCCAAATGTCACCACCTGCCATTTCTTACAGACACTGAACATCAACCACCAAACACCATCCATGAAAAAAGATGATAACAATATATTCGTCTAGGTTGTGACATAAGAATCACAAAACATTTTTGTTCTTTTTGATTTATATATTTGAATTTTATTGAACACTTTTATCCTGTTTAAAAAAATTAAATTGTATACATACAGGTTTGTACATAGACTTGGTGTATTGGAAACATAATTTGGTGATGTTTTGGATAAATCAAAAATGATTTTTTTATCTGAACCAATATTATCACCTCAAACCTTAGAGTTGGTCAACTTCATTTATTTTCCTAATTTGAATTTACAAGACACTATATTATACTACATACCATGTGATTCTATGACATACCTAAAATAACATTGGACATGTAAAGCAATTATACTAAAACTATACTCGCATTATTATGGTAAATCATCTTGAAGAATATATTGAAATAGTATAAAAGTTATTGGACCATGACCAAAATTCTGTTCCCTATGGTAGGTACTTAAGTTAAATCTTGGACCTACATTATCTTTGTCCCAATCTATCATACATGAAATGTAAAATGATAACCCTTTACATAATAAAATTCAATCTTTTGAAAACCTCTATTAAAAAATCTCAAAAATGAGTCAGTCTAGAACATATCATTGATTGATAAGGTGATCATTAAAGTGTTTATTCACAATGTAATTAAAGCACTTTAATGTTCAATTAGTCATTCATTACATATTTTTATAGGTCTGATACAATAATAGTCCAATGTTGTAAAATCTGTTGTGATTGGAAGAAGCCCAACCTCATATGGTGATAACTTTCAATATTACTGAGGCTAACACAATGGTACTAGCCTACTCTAATGAGGCAAAACTACCATAATGAGGCAAAGTTAACATAATGAGGTTAATTGTGTATAACTGTGATTGTTTTGATATTATGACTAGACACGAGTTAAAATGCAGTACAGCAAATCATACTAAACAATTTATCCTATAACTGTCCATTTCACCCTTAACTTCATTGGAGGAATAACCAGCAAGACTGAAGAGGAATTTTCAAAAATACATGAATTTCAATTAATAAAATTCAATTATCTTTTACTTTGTAAATGATAACTGAAAATCAAAAATGATTCTAACAATTTTTGGGAAATGGACCCCTGAATAACAAAACTGGACCATGTCTAAATATTTTAATTTTATAGAGAAATGCTATATCTACAAAGTATACCCAATTTATCATATATTCTGATAAAAATATTGCGTCAGCTGTTTTTGTAAAAGAAAAGATAAAATATTTAAATGTTACATTTTTTTTAAAATACATACACTAAGCAATGGGGTATACTATGATTTTACAAATCTTCAACTTTCTTAAAGTTCAAGACTTTTTACTGGCACACGAAAATACGTTTGTACATGAACATGTTACCCTAACAAAATATGCACTCTAACTCCTTAAACATGATTCTGACAGCTACACCTTGATTTCATACTAAACCCTGCTTGGTGATTAGTTCTCAGTGACTCAAATTTTTGAACAACCCTTGAACATCATGAATTGAATCTAAAGATATAATGATATGGAATATAAAGGTCAATTTAACGATGAGATATCATATCAAATATAGATTTAGAGGAATGTATTTTCTTCATAAAAATAGCTTTATATTGCTACAAATGGACAATGCTGCATACATGATAAAATGTATATATAAGAGCGGAAGATTCTATAAGCTTTACTTGAATTCTGAGCAATACCTTGTTGTTCCAAATATGGACTCTATAGGAGTATTTTCATCACATACAGTAAAACCCGTGAGCGGAACAGCTATGGTGACTCAAAAAAGTGTTCCAATTGGGAGGTGTTCATTTAACAATATAGCGTTTAACATATGGAGGTGTTCCATTTACAGAGGTGTTCCACTTTACAGATTTCACTGTATATACCTTTATATTACCCAACTGGACAACCCTCATGCATGATAAAAGACGTACATAGATTGTGAAAGTTCACTTCAATTTACACTTGTATCTTTTATACAAAATTCATATATGCTCTCAAAATTAGGAGTAAATGTTGCTTGATATTGCAACATTTTCAAAACAACTGCCAGAAATGACTGATAATACTAAACTTAACAACACGGTGTGGTACCATACAGTAGAATTAGTCAGTGTGAACACCTTTAAAACCAGCCAAAAGAGTTCACTGTTTCAGGTGTTCACTTTGGCAGGCTTATTTTCTGGTGGTGCATGAACACTGGTCACTGAATGCACTCACAATATGGAGGTGTTCACCTTATATTTCATTAATAAAAGTATTACTGTATAATGCACATACAGCAACATGATTCAGAGATCATTTATTGTGCACACCTGCTAAATACATCTTCACAACCTTTCACAACCTAATTCAAGATCATTCAAGATATCAAAATATATGAGTATACATCATATCTGGAGTTTAGTCACAACTCAAGAGTATTCTAAATTCATAATAGTTTCTTGCATACCCAGTGTGACAAGAAAACTTGTTGCAGAATTGTCACTGAAATTGTTGTAAACCTGACAAAAATCTAATTTTCACAAATTAAAAAAATCGTCACAAATTATTATCAGTTGAAAAGCCTCTCGAGAATATTTTAAATATGTTTTCTGTTAACAGAAGTTCAAATTATCTCGCGGTGAGTAGAATGATGAATGATGTCAATACATGTATGCAATGTACATGTATTGACAATGATAGCCCTGTACAACATGATCTTAATATATTATTAGGGCTGATAATGTACATGCATATCATATTTTACAGGTTAATGTCTCAAATTAAATTTCCACTGTCTGTATGCTATAAAATTAAAGGCAGATTCTGACATTTCAAGCAATATTTATATATACATGTACATGTTTATTATCAACCATGCCAATGCATTTATTAGTATCTGTCACTTCATTTCATAGAGGGCTATAATATTTCATCAAATGGCTTGGTTCTTTAAGATGTATTGTGTAGAAAGGTATTTATTCCTCAAAAGTGTGCATAGTGCATATTGAAAAATGGTAAAATCTCTGGTTTCCCTAAAAAGAGGTATGACATGTTTAAATTTTAGAAAAATAGCATAAAATGGAGTATGGAATGATATCACCGATATATAGATTTTGACATTGAGACAATTTTTGAAAAAGTTACTCTCATTCTACTTTAAACTGGAATGTTTAATTTTTTATTGAGATCGGAGATTTGAGTTTCCTGTATATCTAGGAAGAGAATTGTACAAGTATGCAAGAACCAGGAAAATCAAATGTTGTTATATGAATATAACAGTTATAAAGAACAGTTCAAAGATGAGCTTTTCCTGTATATCCAGGAAGGAAGTATTTATAAACATACGAGTATTATACCCTACATGTAAATCTTGCTTTATGAGTATTTTATTTTGAAGTTGAACATTTATGAGGAAAGCTAATTAACTGTTTCAATAAATAAAACCCTCACGCTACCTTTAAAAAAATGTTACCTTCGTAATGCATTTACATCACTGCATTCATTAATAACCACTGATATGTATATATTACATGTACATAAATAGAACTGCCATATTCAAAATGACTATTAGACATGGCTATTATTTATATTACATGACTATTCTACAGATACCATTGTAGTATCATGTTTAGTGTATACAAACAAGTAAGCTGCATCGTTTAAAATCAGAAATACTTTCCAAGTAACCCCTTTTCCTTCAAAATAATTTTCATTGTCAAAGGACTACAAACATTCCCAGATATTATCTGTGATCTTCAATGCAACAAATTGTCCTAAATGAAAGAACCTTTAAATTCTTTTAGTTCGATATGATCCCTAAAGTTGTCAATACACTGACAGTAAATAAACAAGTGAGTGATTGCAATAGCTCACCAAGTGAGTGATTGCAATAGCTCACCAAGTGAGTGATTGCAATAGCTCACCAAGTGAGTGATTGCAATAGCTCACCATGTGAGTGATTGCAATAGCTCACCATGTGAGTGATTGCAATAGCTCACCATGTGAGTGATTGCAATAGCTCAACATGTGAGTGATTGCAATAGCTCACCATGTGAGTGATTGCAATAGCTCACCATGTGAGTGATTGCAATAGCTCAACATGTGAGTGATTGCAATAGCTCACCATTTGAGTGATTGCAATAGCTCACCATGTGAGTGATTGCAATAGCTCACCATTTGAGTGATTGCAATAGCTCAACATGTGAGTGATTGCAATAGCTCACCATTTGAGTGATTGCAATAGCTCACCAAGTGAGTGATTGCAATAGCTCACCAAGTGAGTGATTGCAATAGCTCACCATGTGAGCTAAAAAATCATATGTTTGTCCAACCTTTATCCAATATTGCAACTTTGTTGTTCGGCACCATTAATAGACATCTTCTAAAATTGACGGCACAATTTTTTGCATCCTTATTTCTTACATAACCTGGAGTAATTAATTTTATGCATATTTACTTCATTTTCCTCTTATTAAAGCCTATACACGAGGAAAATATGATGACTCAACATTTTATGCATGTAGTGTTATTAATTTTAATACATCATAACTCCGTCCATGGCATCCATTGTAATTTTACTGTCCTTAGGACGCGGTTTGTAGCCTGACGCAGCCATCAGGAGTATATTCAAAATATAGCATACAGTGGCGCCCACTACTAGATAAAAGCTGTAACCAAATGTCGCTCGATTTTCTGAAGTCCATAGTAAATTCCTCTCTCTTGGATTCAATACGTTTTTCTGTAGATTGAGAAAATACAAGGCGACGAACATCCCTATGCACAGCATGGTGAACAAGCCTGCAATTACAACTAAATCAAAATAAAATTTAAGTACTGTAAAACCCGTCTAATCTGAATATACCATTGGACCAGCCAAAAGTGCACAGATTGGCAGATGCGCATATTTCACATTTAAAAAATGGGACCGAAAAATGTTCATACTGAGAGGTGTTCGGATACACAGGTTTGACAGGATGAATTCCAACTGTAGTGTAGAGTGTAGAAATCCAGTCATGATATGTTCTGACAGAATGGTCCATAATCAAATACATGATGTATGTTTCACTATATTGTATAAACATATGATATATGGTTCACAATTACATATCACATATTCCATGAAGTTGAATAATCTATAACATTCTTTTTCAAAGTAAGCTACTGCTTGTCTATCAAGAACTGAAAAAAACACACCCAATAAACAATATTTACCAGGTACCCACATTTCATCCATCAACACATGTCACATTGTCAATTATTGTGTCATGGGAGTAGGATCTGGTTTCATATAAATACAGTTGAACTTATTAATACTTTGGCGTGTTATAGGATATATCTATGAGACACACATTTTGTTAAATTGTAGATATGTAATATTGTAAATATTACTTTTAGCTAAATAAGTACTGTATGTTAAAATGATGCAGGGGAAGAGGGTTTGATGCCATGCTACATACATTTAGTAATAGTCCATTTGTCACCCCTATACATACTATAGTGAACCTATGAATTATTAAAAACACGATGTTTTATGGTTAATTTATAATAACAAGGGTTTTCTGAAGTGATTTAGTTGGGTTGGACAAAAAGTTAGTTTGGGGAAAAAAGTATATCGGCTGATTAGGGAGGGGTGCATTGGCTTAACATGGCGTTGATTATTGACTTAACTTCGGGATACCACCATGTACCTGGTATGTTACCATGGTGATAGATACAAAAATTTTCCCCAACGTTAATTTTTTTGCAACCCAGCTAAATCACTCCAATAAACCCTAATGATAGTATTTGCACAGAAAAACATCATGCTTTTAAATTTTCATACGTTAAGAAAATGACAAATGGACTATAATAGGTTATTTCATATTTTCATCGTTTGAATTTAATGTTTATTTCACATTGTAAAATGTTCCACATTATTCTATTCTGTTATTTGCAATATCCTAACTGAGTCAAAGATGAGTCTTTATGAAGGTAATAGCCTTATTTACAATGGAATCTACAATAAGAACTGCAATAAAATGAGAGATAACACTGTCAAGGCACCTCCATCCATACAAATGTGTTTCAATAACAACATATTATAAGTTATTGAATGATTTGAAGTGCAATACAGGATATATCCTGCTCGAGAAATTCTGTATTGGAACATGACGAAGTTGAGTGCCAATACAGAATATTGAGACAGAATATATCCTGTATTGCACTTCAAATCATTCAATCACGTTTTTATCGTGTGATCCTCCGTACTGCTACTGGAGATTGTCCCCTCCATACCAATATTTTCTGTATTGCGACGGAGATGATCAACCGGGACAATCTCAGTAGCAATACAGATTGGTACAGCACAAGAACTAACCAATCAGAGGGCTTCATTTTACAGATCATATGATAAAAGTTTATATTGCAATGTACCAGCATTGCAGACTCAATTCAACATATCTGTAACCATCTTAATTGAATAAGTTTTTCTATCTACATCATGGTAAATATCATGTTAATTTCAATCAGTATCAGTGTACGGAGCCAGCATTTTTTCCAGACATACATTTTGTATCAACCAGGAAACACAATGGGGCTGACTGAAAGATGATAGTTGGATTTTGAAAACATCAAATCCCATTTCTTCATCATTTAATTTTACCAATGAAGATCTAGCAAAAGAGGAAGAGTATGAAGATTTTAAGGACATTGATCATTTGTAGTCTATTTGTTTTAAACAAGCAGAAACTATATTTTTCACATTCTGATTAAGATTTTAATTTTCTAAAGAGTTTTAAAACCTTCAAGATCAAATAGTTGTGATGTATAGGCTTATCCATACGAGAGAGGGTTCAAAAGGGAGATATATCTGCCTTAATATACATTAAGCACATTGATCATTTGTAGTCTATTGTCCAAAACATCTAGATACAGTAGAACCTGTGTAAGTGGAACACCATTAGGAACACTAAAAATTGTTCCACTTGGGAGGTGTTCCACTTACAGAGGTTCATTAACATGGAGAAGATAGGTCATGGGATTTTAAAAACATGGTTCCACTAGTGAGGTGTTCGATTTACAGAGGTGTTCCACTTAGCAGGTTCGACTGTACTTATTCTTAACACATTCTGATGAAGAGTTTTAACACCTTTTAAGACATTATGGACTTGGACTTCATTATTGGGCCTTAAACGAGTGTGATATATAGTCTCTCATATGGAAGAGGGTTCAAATGGGAGATATACCTGCCTCAGAGACTTCTCCTTTAGGAGACAATGGGGGACAATAGATTGAAATTCATATTTTACAGGAAATACCAAACGAGGCTTTAACATGCAAAATGTCACCACCTGTCATTTGTTACAGATGTCACCCTCCAGATGCTGTTACAGACACTGAACAGCAGCGCTGAACACTGTCCACAACAAAAAACCTGGAGACTCTAAATACAAGTCAACCCTTGTGATGGTAACATAACAATCAATTACAGATTGTAAGAGATTCAGCCCCTTTGTACTATTATACATTAATCCTTTATTTCAGAATACAGCTTTTCATCATTCAGACTGAATATTAACATTACATTGTATTTATATAATACATGTGCGTCATTTCATTTTTGTATCAATTTCTACGTTACAAAAGTAAAAATCAATGAAATATGAGATAATAAAATAATATTAACATGCAGTAGGTATCAAGTTTAGATTTTAATGTTTCTAAATAGCATTTCTTTGTTTATTTCAAATCTATGAATTTTGACTGATTTATCACTGTATATACAAGTACATACTAATTTGAACTATTGAAGCGATTAAATTGCTTTAATTTGTTTAACGATGTCTTCATAATCTGCCATGTGACTGGGGATCCCATTTTACTCAAATCGCAACAATCAATAGTTTTTAATAATGTATTTTTTATTCAATTTGGTAATTATCACATGGTAACATAAAGTTAATTGACAATTGACAATGTAGCAATTTATAATACTAAATGTAACACATTCATAAACAACATAACTACATATTCATCCAATGATTTTAAAAGTAAGAAATAAGTAGAAAACAAGTAATATAGAAACATTATCTGTATAATGTTAAATGACAATAACAACGAATTATAAAATTGTTTTGAATTCATATGCCAGCAAACTGATTCTTGAAATTAAAGTTTTGTTTTCATTTTTTCAACTTGACAAAACAAAAGCTTTTTAAACAGTGGCCTAGAGCTTGCGTATGATGGAGTAAAAATCATTTATTTTTTTGTCTGTTAGTTTTTAAAAAAGGAGTCATGTTTGGGAAAATAGTTCCTATCTTAAAAGGGCCCCTATTTTTCCACATATGGACGTTTTCTGCCCCTACCTAAGTACACACTCACCTGCTAGAAGGTTCCATAAGTAGATTCCCTGGGGGCCTGTGATTGTCTCTATGGGACGTGTAGATACATTAAATATGGCAAACCCAGCTCCGATCAACCCCCACACAATCCCAAGACAGCTAAATATGATACAGCATACCCAAAGGCCAAAGTTCATCAGACCATGGTCTTTGATGGCATCGAGGACTGAAATATATAGATGGCACGATGTTAGGGAATTAAAAAAGCAAATATACTTGTAAACCCAAATAAATAAACTGTAAACATATCCTCTCGTCATCATCTATTTCAAACTACTATATTCATTTTGTATATTACAAATATGATAATGTGGTAGTTCTTGAAATATGACTGATTCTAAAGGAAAACTAAATTCTATAGATATAAAAAGCCTCATCTCATTGTTATTCTACAATCAAAACATGATAAACAGAGAATGTGATTGCAACATCCTTAACATAACAAATACATGTACCAGTTATTTCTGGCTCTTGCCTGCTTGTAATAACAACACTGAATTCCATATGTATTATCAAATCTAATATAAGTCCTCCGCTGTAAATCCCGTCTCACTCTTATTATCCCTTTATGCACAAGAGTGGGAGGGGTAACTGTTAAAGACTTCCTCTGAGAATAACCTACTTTCACACATCGGCCCTAGTCTTGCCCGAATCCCCCCCCCCCCTATCTACTTCTCCAGATGTTGTGTTGGTGAAGACGAAGTACATAGGGGGAGGTGGGATACACAGACTTGAAGCAAGACTACATTGGGCACTGGGCAGCATATACTTAACATGTAAAACCACAATGGTTAGTTATACCGGATATTATGCAATATTGTATTTCATATCAATACATTTCTCCGTTTATAGCTAAGCATAATTAATTATTTATACGTTTCTCATTTGATTATACAGTAAAACCTTTATAACCGAAACACCTCTTCTATCTGAGGATCACTCAATGTGAAAGCGTGTTTCTGTCCCATTTTTAATCTGCCACAGCCACAGATAACCGTGTTAAAGATCACTGAAGTGTGATCTCTGCCTATCTGAACACTTTTGGCCAGCACTAGTAGCGTTCAGATTAGACAGGTTTTACTATAGTTAGCTGTATATGGAATCTTTTCTTCTTACCACAGATATACCTCAGGTATCACTTTCAATAGAAAAAAATGGGGATGCAGTGACCTCCCCAGCATCAAAGCAAATGGGTGCAGCATCAACGTGAGATTTTAAAAATAGGCTTGCACCCAGCTGAGAGTCCATTTGCACCCACTTGAAAATGAGAAAAATCATGATAAAATAGGCATTTTTTACCAATTTCGATCTAAATATAAATCTAATATCAGGAATTTTGCATCCACTTGAGAAATAAATCTGGGGAGAACACTGGGATGATATTCAATTTTGTTCATCTAATACACCATATAGGTTTATAAGATTTCGGGAAGCCCACCTACCAAGTAAACTGATCACAATATAGCACCCAATGCAATAAAAATACAATACTCCACCTCAAGACTTATGAAGGGCTTAAATTTGGACCATGTAGTCAGTCATAAGCCCATAATATTTTAAGAAGATTAAATGAAAGCTCAGGTTGTTATTTAAATAAAATGCATGAAACAAAGTAATGATTCAAATATATTTGTCAATTTTTGTTGTTTCAACAAAGGTACACAGGTATACATATAGTTGATGGATTTAAAAGTATGACATATGTTTTAATATATTGTTGAAGTAGCCTCAAATTTATACAATGTTCAATTTTATACATGAATATGGTATATGGTAGTATTATGCTTAATAGGATATAATCTACAACTAGCTCATTATTTTCCACATAACATGAAACTGTAAAACCTGTGTATCTAAACAACTTTTACAAAATCTGCTGTTGTCATATATGGGAATTCACCTGCAAATAAGAACACCTTTGACTGGACTAGTTGGTGTATGGATTAGACAGGTTTTACTGTATATGCTTATAAATAATTAAAACAAAATAGCAGATAACATGTTATATAATATAAAGCACAAAATGAATCACACACCTATGCATAGAATATGTGTGGGTTGGGGAGGCTTACTTATACAAGACTTTGCATCATTAACAACAACAACTCCCATCGTTTCTATGACACTAGCAGGCTGTGTCATAATTAAAGTGCTGTGTCATAATTAAAGTGCACACTGTTGCCAGTTTTACCAGGTGAAGAGTGCTCATGAGCAGAAAATGAGCCCAACAGCCTTTTCAAACATGTTGCAACTATTTTATAGCTTACAAAATAGAAATATATTAGTTATGACCTTCTACCCTTCCTCGGAGTATAAGGGACTGTGCTTTACTCTTCAGACAGGAGAATGATTTTGATCTGGGAATGACCAGGTGCCGAGTATAGTGTAACAAGCCAGGTCAGACATCAAAGAAATGTCCTAAATTCAACGTCCCTGCAGATATCAAACTCAAAATCAAACCCATTAATTCATTGACAAGTGATTTTATAATGCTGTTGTTTTCTGATTTATATGCTGGCAGTTCAAGTCAAGGAAAGTAATAAATACCAACAATAAAATACAAGTGATTAAAACTACATGGAATTTCAAAGAAAATACTTGGTCAGTTTGTTTCCATCTAAAAATCAAATTCTGGGTCTGAAAATCATTAAATAAGTGAGAGAAAAGTCACACATGGATATTCATTATAACATTCTAATTGCTTGATACCCGGGCTTGATACATAGACATGTTGACATGTATAATAATGTATAACTATTAGATTTTATACGACAATATGATACATTTATAAGAACATGACAGAAATATGACACATTTTCTAATAACTTCATATATTAGCAATGCATATAAATTGGCAATAGTGATGATGAAGTCACATGAGGTGAAGCAAGAAAAATTGCATAAAACACTTAAGTTAGATGTAAATAATAAAAGCTTTTTGTTTCAAGCAGTAAGTGATACTGAAGTAGGGAATCATGCCTGAATCAAATATTGAAATGTTGTTAATTACATTTCAGCTTAATTCCAGTTCTGTGGCCTATCACATCTTTCTGTTTGGAATCTGATTAGCAAGATGTTTCTACAAAGGTGACTTTTGCGATCCTTTAATTGTCTCTGATGTATATAGTAAAACCTGTCTTTTCTGGGACCAGACAAAAATTTTAAGTTTTTTCAACATTTAGGTCAATGAGAGATAACAAATTTGGGATCGAGAAAAAGTGTTCACTGAGGTGTTTGGATTAGAGGGGTGTTTGGATATGCAGGTTTTACTGTACATTTATGTACATTCTATTAAAACATTGAAATAAAAACTTTGGGAGGTTATATGATCTTGGGGACGCAACCCTCTTCTCAGTAATATACTAAAAGTATTAGTATTAATGAATTTATTGGGTTCAACCCCCCGCCCCCCAACCAGAAATTCGTTTATATTGCCATACTGTTTTCACCATTTCTAGCACTTTTAGTGAACTTTAAAAAGTGAAACCACTTGGCAAAAACTGGCCTGATAAATACCTGAGTCAGATTGTACCAATAATTTCAGGAGACCCCTTATAGAAAACCTTCCATATTATGTATAGTTCCTGTCTGTCACAAATACAATGGAACGGGCATGTACATGTATATCATAGGCTAGTCAGACAATGTAAATGCAGTTAGTATCAGGGCTAAGTGTGATTAATCACATGCAGGAAGGCAGTAATGTTAGAAGCTAGCCGTGTGGGTAGTTTAACATATGGTTTTCTATTGAAACAGTGATCATTACCTGATCTCACCTATAAATCAAGCTCAAACATTTGAAATACAAATTACATCCCGCGAGTACAGCTTTGTTTGATTCAACTTAGTTAATATAGATATTTTTTATCTAACTTTTGGATTTTTCCATGTATTGTATATTTCAGGGGTTTTCTCAGTATAGAAACACCCAGTGTCCAAGTTAAGAATTTGAAAAAGTATTATTTGAGAAGCTATTTAGCACCAAGTTTAAAAATCAAGATGAAAAATTGAGATATTTGCATCTATAGACGATGATGAACTCATACTAGGAGAATTGAATGACTGATAATAATTACATGTCAATTCTATGACTTACATTTTCGAGGTAATTGTAGTGAAGATTTATATGGTTTCCTTATGTGCTGCTTCAATTAAATATGTTATGAAATCTAGTGTTGTTAAATTGCTCATATTATATAAAATTATATAAATAAACATATATGGTACTGTTTGTGACATACACCTACAGGGTGATCTTTATGGCAAGCAAGCTACAGGCTTACAGGGTGATCCTCTATAACATTCAAGCTATAAGTAGTGTACAGGCCTATAGGGTACTGTGGTCCTCTACTAAGCAATCAAGCTATGTGTATGGGCCTACAGGGTGATAAAATTGCAATCAAACCTGTACTGTTATGGTTTTCAAAAGATTTGATGATATCTGATATTTCCTTTGTTCGCTCTTCAGCAGTAGATTTGCTACTCCACCCACAGAGGTTCTTATGCGCAATGCAAGTCACTATGACAACAATAACAACAACAAAGTTACTACAAGCAACCAAACGGTTGCAGCAACAGAATTTTAAAACTATAGCAACATTTAATGTTAGAAATAAGCAATGAAAATACAAATGCGGAATGTTAATAGCATGTACAGTTAATAGCAAAACAAAATTAATATATCTTAACAAAAAAAGAAATTATATTTAATCAAGCAAAGTAAATAGAAACGTCAATGTCAAAACAATAGTACAGAAGACTAAAGCAGGACAGTTTATAATAAACCCTAAAGTTTAAAACATAAGCTTATGTCTTGTCCTTTATGTTAATAAGGTCACGCTGGAAAGATAGCATGGGGTGAGTATATATGGAAATGGGAAGTACTAATGTTAATTTGAAAATGAAAATACTGATGAAAGTAATACAATTGACACAACCACTCCATCATGTTGATTATCAAAGATGATCCAGGTTAGGTGAGGCCAAATAATATCAATGCTTTGCTTTTCATATCCTTCCACACCTTTTTCATTATACATGTAGATTATATACAGTTGCAGTATGCAGTTATGCATCATTGTATGATCCACAGCTTATACTATCCTTACTCAATCTCACATGCTTATTAGATAAAGGAGGGATTCTGATAAATCATATTTACTGAGCAATAAGAAAAGCAAGGTTTTACATGACAAAATATCAACATGGTTATACACGTGGTTACAAAGAGTAAAAAGAGTAACAATCTTTGCAGAAACCTAAATTGATCAGCCTGGGGGGTTGGTCGGTACCAAATCAGGGGAATAATGGCCATGGTGATTTTTGGGGAGGTCTAGACCCCTAGAGTAAGAAAATATGTGATAGCATTGCAGAAGTGGTAGCTTAATAGGTGTTATCACCCATTTTTCAAAACGGCCGCCAGTTCGTGTGCTACCAAATAAAAGAAGTTATATAAGCATACTGAGAGGCAAAATCAGTGATTTTAGGGTATAATTCTGGGTTTTAGGGGTCAATGATTTGAGTTATGTCTAAATCCAAGTCATCAAAACATTATTTCATATGAAAATCCAAGATGGCCGCCAAATTTGGTTCAAAAACAAATATGCACTAATGATACAAGCTCAAACGTTTCAACATGATTTTGAAGAGTTTTAGAAGAGGTTTTAGAGTCTAAAGATTTTATTCATGTCTAAAGCTATGTCATCAAAGGATTATTTTATATTGAAATCCAAGATGGCCGCAAAATAGGTGCTAGAACGAATATGTTATTACAGTATTGATATACATATAAGCTCAAGGAACAGATAAAAAGCAATTTTGTAGACAATGAAAGGGTTTAGGGGTCAAGGATTTCATTTATGCCTCATTTAAGTCTAAGTCAGCAAAGAATTGCTTTATATGGAAATCCAAGATGGCCACCAAAATGAAAATGTAACTACATGTATTTATATAAGCTCAAAGAACAGATAAAAATTAATTTTGTAGACCATGAAAGTGTTAGGGGATCAATGATTTAATGTCTTAGTCATCAAAGAATAACTTGATGTGGAAATCGAAGATGGCTGCCAAAATGAATATGTTACTATTAATATATGTTCAAAGTGATTTTGGAGACCATGTCTAGGTTTCAATGATCGAGAACTTTAATTATGTCTAAAACTTAGTCATCAAATAATTCTTTATTTGGATATTCAGGATGGCAACCGAAATGGCTGCCAAAAGAATAAGTCATTTTGGAATACATTTATTTGAATATCCAAGATGGCCCCGATAAGATGTACCATCTCAATTGTACCCTCTTCATCGCAGCAATGAACTGGATTGTGAAAGCAGAAGAGTCCAAGTAAAGAGGTCTCAAAGTGAATGATGACACAAAACATCCTTCTTGCCAAGCCTTTATGGACATCATCACTCACAGAGTAAGAAGGGGTGACTTGCAAAGGTTACCTGGGAGTAGATAGGCAACTTTGGTTCCAATAATCTCAAACAAACACCCAAAAAAAGGTTGATAAGTATTTTAGCACTCTGGTAATCAGCTCTTGACAATGGACCAAGTTAAATTTTGGTGTATCCCGAATTAAAACTCTGATTGACTCTAATTCCAAGAAAAAAGAAAAATAGAAAAACAAAGAAAATGAAAAAAACAAAGACAACCCAAATGAGAAAACACAAATAAAACAAGAAAATTGAAAGGAAGCAAAGAAAACAAAAAACAAAGACAAAAATGAAAACAACAAAGAACACTGAAAAATATAGAGGTTATATAACAAATGAAGAAAGAAATCAGCTAGAAAATAGGAAAAAACTTAACCAACAGCCAATTTGGCAGTGATTTTGGCAGCCAACAATTTAACAATTAAAGTAAAAAGAAAATATTTCAATGGTAACTGAAATCCTCAATCCCTAGATTTTAGTTAACTAGTCAAAGATACCAGAATCACTTGCCAACATCCTCTGTTAATGCTTATAGATATACATGTATGTACATGTAATTATTCATTTTGGCAGCCATTTTGGTGACCATTTTGGATTTTAATATGAGGAAAGGTTAAGATGACTTTGGTAAAGGCTAAATTGAAACCATTTTCCCCTGAAACCTAGATTCAGATATCTATTATGTACATTACTTTTCTTACTTTTCTATGTGCTTATAAATTCATTTTAGCAGCCATATGTTTGGCCATTTTGGCAGCCATTTAGAATTTCTATATAAAGGTATTCTTTAATCACTTAGATTTATCCATTGGTGGAATCTGTATTAACCTCTAAAACCCTATCATGGTCTGCAAAAGTACTTTTTAACTGTTCTTTGAGTTTATATAAATAGTTTACATATTCATTTTGGCACTCATTTTGGTGGCCATCTTGGAATTTCATATAAAGGATTTCTATTATTACTTAAATTTAGACACAAATAAAATCCTCAGCCTCTAAAACCTATTCATGGTCTCCAAAGTCACTTTTTAACCGTTCTTTAAGCTTTTTAGCTATATCAATAGTAACATATTTGTTTTGAGACCCATTTTGGTGGCCATCTTGGATTTCCATATAAAGCAATTTTTTGATAACTTAGATTTTGACGTAAATGAAATCCTTGACCCCAAAAACCCTGAAATAGACTTCAAAATCACTGTTTTTGCCTCTCATTATATTAAGATATGATTTCTTTTATCTGGTAAAAAGCGCAATAGCAGCCATTTTGAAAAATGGGCGATAACACCCATAAGCTACCAATTCTGCAATGCTATCACACATTTTCTTACTCTGGAGGTATTTACCTTGCCAAAAATCACTATGACCATTATTCCCCTAACTTGGTACCGATAACCTAAATTTTGGGGTGAAGCTGATGGCCACAACAAAAGAGGCTGTAACAATATGTTACCACCTTTTGTACAGTACTGAAATACATGTGTCTCTTGAAAAAACAGATATGAAGAGAAGAAGTTCACAGAAGTGATGAACTCAATTGTTAAGGTGTGGACCCATGTACAGTCCTCATTGTTCTACTTGTGACTTCTTATCAGTTGAGGTGGTGTTCAAAATTATTTCAAGAATGATGAATTACATTTGTCTTGTGCTATCTTGATTAAAGATAGGGCCAGTAGTATATGCATACAAAAACCAACAATGAATATTTTACATATAAATGAGGAGAGGACCTTCATTTAAAATCTGACTACAATTGGCCTAATTTTTGTCTGTTAGAGACATAATAATGCTTATTTCACCCAAAATATTTTTTGAGCTTTTGAGAAATCTGCCTATAATATTAACTGCCAATGATTGTACTAATTCAATCAATGATATCAGTAGCCTTTGTGTGAAGAATTTATCTTCATTAACAGCTTCTAATTCATTGTTAATTGAAAGCCTATGCATATTTATGTAAAGCGTAATTTGAGAAGCTGGCCTTTAGAAAATGTTTAAGATTAACGGGATAATGTAACCGTATTGATTTCAAGACAATTAAGGTTGGCAAAATAGCATGATTTATAGACCTTTTTCATAAACGTTTATAAAAAGGGATAAAGTTATAAGGGAGTTCCATATGATTGTACTTTTGTTATTAATCTTGATGATTACAAAAACCAAAACTGTAGAAAATAGCTAATATTTTTCAATTTTTTTTTATATATTGTTGAAGAATGCATTTTATGAGACTCAAATTGTTAATCGAAACTTATATGCAATGTAAATTGTTCAGAATCAAAATATTTTGTTTCCATTATATTTCCACAAATTATTTCTCAGTTTTTCTGAACATACTATGCAGAACTGCCTTAATATAATGCCTACATCTAAAATGAAGTTTCTTGGATGTAAACGAAAATTGTTGTCACATTTCGGTGTCTTAGAGGCCCCTAGAGTTCTTTTTACATAAAATATGGTCTTGAAAATTATTAATTCCAACTGAGAATTGTTTTCCTCTGGTTTGCACTTAATAACCCAAAAATATATCTTAAACTTATTGAAAATGATTTTGAACTCAAAAAATAATACTCATAAAAAGTACAGTATACAATGCAATAAATATACCAGAGTTTCAATCTGATCTTTCTATCCTGTAATTGCTATTAGTAGATAATATATTCAAATTGATTCATATTTTTCTCATCAAATATCCAGTTGACCACTAGGCTGTAACATTAGAATTTTAAGTAGAAGCTTGATTTGTAGTTACACATCAATGGGATTACTTAGATGGATGCCCTACTCATCTATTGATGACCTAATTTATATGTATTATGAATTGAGATGATGATCGAAGGTACATGTAATAACAAAGAAAATTCAATAGCATAGGGCCAAATATCAGAAAGAGGGGGAGGGGTAAGGGGTTAATTAATTCTCAAAATATGAAACCATAATAAATAGTGAATTACTTGCTTATTTAACATTTCAATCATAAATCATATAATTGGTGATTTATAATTCAAAAAGTTTCATTGTATTTCAATCTGGCTGTACATGTATAATATATTGAAGATCCTGTGAAGTCCAGGCAACAGTATCATCCCAGAGGCATTAACACTGACATCGGGAAATTACGTTTTTGGGTATAGGATGTTAGAGGGTGGTTACTCTTTTTGAAATCTTCCTTAGCATGAGATAAACTAAAAAAGAAGGAACATCATGTCTTGTAATGAATCAATAAATCTATAATATCACAGACGGTAGCCAGTTTCGAACTTCTAAAAAATCCCCTCTGAAATAAAAGAACAAAATCAGTGACTGACAGAATATTAAATTATGTAAAATACAATACCTTGGACATCAGAGGTCCGTTCTCCGAATCCGTAATCAATTCTCTTTTGGCCCGTAAAGAGACCTAAATGTACATTGCCATTGAATTTAGTTCCATCGCCTGAAATATTCCTGGCTAGATCCTTTGTTGTTTGATTAACATCTCTCTCTGGCCAAGCAACAATCCAGTATTCTGTTGCCAAGGCAGCTGATATGAGACCGACAGCCACAAAACTGATGATCATTGTCACAAAAATATACACTTTCTTCTTCTGCATTTCTATTTTATGAATTTAGTCCCTATCTATGTTTTTCTACCGTTCAATGTATGTCCTCATAACGTAGGGATACTTCATTGATGTTTTTATCAAGTTATTAGTTCATTATAATCCATAAATGACACTGAAATTAAAATGTTCTGTTTACCTGCAATTTACCTGTGACAAATGTGAAAATCAGAGTCGGGGCAATCTGCGCGAGATTCGGTTTTTACTTGGTTCGGTTTTTCATTAAAGGAAGTACTTCATTCCCATGATTCAAAGTGCTTTTCTGCCATCGGTTCGGTTAAGTTTGCACAACACACGTCTACAAATCCGGGACAGGATGATATTATGTCATTACATTTGTTTTGGGTGTACACTTTTTGTTTTGGCACAAAACAAAAATATTCCCGCACTATACAGTGCATCATGGGTAGGTACTGCTGTGAAATAATGAACGTAAGTGACATCTATCTCAAATTTAATGTTCTTATAAGTTATTGAATGCGCATGCGTCATAATAATTTGAACCAATTAAATTGCTGGATTTAATGCGCATGCGTTAAAAACCGAACCAAAAAATGGAATCTCGCGCAGATTGCCTCTAGTGGAAAATCAGTAAATATTTGGAGCATGGATTATTCCTATTCCAAGTGAAAATCCTAATCTCAATTTATCTTGCACCATACCATGAATCAAATGAAACTTTATAGAAATATAATATGGTATGTGTAATCGATAAAATATATGAAGTTTTTAATTCTGTTATATTCTACAGATTATATGATTTCATATTATGAAAATAAAATAAGGATAGCTCTATAAATAGAAAAAATTAGAAAATGGCGGCGATTCCTGCGCGTAAGTTTTTCCACAGTTTTCTTCGATTTTTCAGAGTTGTAACCGATTGAGTGGGCCTTTGTACATGTTTATGTACAAATAAATAGTTTTGTTGCAATATTAGGTTAAATAAAATACAAAAAGCAAATGGATTTTTCTTGAGTTTGGTTAGAAAGTTCAGAAAACTAAAATCTTTCTATTATCGCCCAGTGTCAATTATCAGTCCACAAGTCGAACTCCAATGCAGTGTCTCGGTATAGACACTGCGGCAGGCAGATGAAGCAAATCCCCAAAAGTTGGGGAAAATAGTTCCCATTTTCATCGCATATGTGGTCAATTTTCACACAACTTATAAAATATGTATTTTCTTCTTCTTCTTCTTAGTCCTTTTCAGTGTTCCTTATAAGGTGTTCCGGGATCACTTTGGCATTATTATGCTGCCTTTGATCACTTGTTGCTGTTTTTAAAACTCATGTACTAAAAATATCACTTGTACTTTTCACTTGTGCTTATTTTACTTCTGTTGGGAGAGAGAGCGCTAAAACTTGTTATCTAACGTAGTCTAAAATGCAAGTGTTTTTCCATTAAAATGAGATTTCAAAATAGAGTCACTATCTCACTCGAGTTAAAAATAAGTTATTAAAATCTCTTGGATTTCTGTATAAATGCCTGCAGGCATTTCATAATTTCTTTATTTAACTTATGGTCCAGGCTTGTGTTGAGTCCTGTGATTGTTTGTAGGTCCAGAGCTGGATTGTATTTAGCTCCTAGTAGTATCTGTTGCACTTTGGCCAATAGAATCTCCCTCTCTTCCTGGAACTTAGAGCAAGCAAAGATGTAATGTTCAAATGTCTCTGGTATGTTACAGTGGTCACAGTTGGGAGATAAAATATCGATGTATTCATGAATGTTCCCCAAACATTATTTTGTCAAAATATTTCAAAATTATTGAAATATGAGAAGAAATCACCTCGGAAGGAATTCTGAGTAAAAGTTTTGTTGATAATAGTTTACCGCATGTGTTGTTTATTAGTTAAGTACGCGCAATTCAACCAATGAAATTGTCTAAATTTTACAATCACGCGACCTGAGCATGGGACTAGAACCAATCACGTCAGTTGTTTATTATGAAGTTACCATGCTTACGGTGAGATACCTGCCCGCCGCAGTGATATATCACTGCACAGGAGTTCGTCCACAAGTATCTGTGCCAAAGGGAAAGGACCAAAGATCATTACAGAACACAGCAAGAAAAAACATCTAATAGTACACCAGTCATAATAAGGAAAAACAAATCCCAACTATCCCGAATCATGATCAACAGAAACCTGAATAAAATCAGACATGTATTGAGATTTCAAACCTGAAATAATGTGCTTATTCTGAAGATTTTCGACATCTAAAATGTCACTCGACTTTTTTGTGATTATGAGTCAAAGAAAGCATTCTTGAGTTTCAAATTGATGATTTGCGATCACCGAATGGATTCTGTCTTTTAGTGACGTCATAATTAGGTCACCCAGCTTTAGATGCTTGATTTTGAGAGATTATCTTCTATATTTCGTGCTTTATTGATTTATTTTTCACGAAAGCGTTCTATTTGACTAGATCAACATTCATGCTAAGCACATACCAAGTCTAAGGTCTTACTGACATGATTTAGATAGCGGTTTAGCGCCCCCCGATTTTGACAAAAACGGGGGGCGCTTATAGGCATCGATGTTTAGTATGAATTTCACCCAAACTTCGCATATATATAGACAAACTCATGATCTAGTCAAATAGGCATACCTGGTAAATATCCGACCCATGGTTTTTATATAAGAAACGACAATATTTTTAGCTCAAAACTGCCACGTGTCCGCCATTTCGTGATTCCATCATGTCTAATATCATTTCTATATGACGTCATACCAATAAGACGAAATACGTGACAACAGTATCCATAAACAAAATTCCTGAATTCTGATCGCAAAAGGTCAATTGACTGCTGTGGTAACTTGAAACCATCTTCTAATTTATTCCACTTACCTTTTATTGTTTCTCCAAATATATTCTTTGAAAATCGGATTTTAAGGGTGTTAATCAGGGCAATTCTGTGCCATTTTAATCAAAAATCTTGTTGCTACCTAGAAACGAGCAGTTGTGATCTTGTTGTTACCTAGGAACGAGCAACTGTGATGTCACGTCACACTCATGTTAATTCTGGAATCACATGGCAGCCATTTTGGAAATTTCAAAAAAGTTCCCAATTAAAAAGGCTAAATGCTGTTTACAAATTGGAAACTATGGCAGAATCAACAAAGGGTTTGTGAAATAATTAGGATATGGTTTCAAAATTATCCACATGACAATATATGACTACTTAATGCAGGCAGGGACTTTTAATTGCCAAAAAGTCGAGTGACATTTTAGATGTCGAAAATCTTAGTTGATTTTGTTTATTGTAGATTGATGTTCATGTTAAGTGCTCAGGAGTGAACAATTAATGTGCTTGAAACATGATTGGTTTAAACCTACAGTCACGCTTGCTTGCACACTTGTGTGGCAGACATATAATTTAACAGTGATAGAATTTGAATAGAATATAATTTAAAACCTTAACATTTAAAAATAGGTCTATGGTTCACAAATCATTTTAGAATTGAAAGGAACATCACCTCTGGAAGAGCTTTAATGACGCAGCCTGGTTCCCTTGAGTGACAGTTGGTTACAAACCTGGCTACTCTTCTCTGTACCTGTTCCAACATATCAATATTTTTTTTCAGCGTGGATCCCATGCCGAACTGGCATATTCTAAATTAGGCAGGACTAAATGACTTATATGCCACATTCTTTTCTAGTCCCTTTTTCGTTCAATGCTTTATTTATCTTAATCCATGAAGTTGAGATTTAGATTTGATACATACTGTATTTTATTTACACAATTTTAGGGTACATGTTGAAACCGCAACATTTAGAGAATTGGTCTGTGAAAGAGAAATTGGCTCTTGCTTCTGCAGTTCTCAGGAGCTCTGAACAAAATTGGTGAGTACACATCTTTGAAAAGCTATTTTGGTAAATTAAGATGTCAAACCTATTATCACAAGTACAATTGTGTAGCTTTATACAGAGTTAAAGCCTGTGATAGGTCATCCTCTACAAAAGATTTTGACATGTGAGTTGTACTTTGTCAGACTGCAAAAAATTTAGTTGTTCAACTTTCAATTTTTTTATTCTTATTTTATAATTAGCACTACCTGTCTAATAACTAAAACATACCCCATCAATGACTGCTGTATTTTGTAGGGTCTCAGTAAGCCGGGGTATTAAAGCTCTACTAGGAGACACAGATAGACCAGCTGATTGGTTCTCACAAAAGGTGAGTATCTCCCTATTATCTTTTCTGTACTTTTTAAAAATGGAAAAAAAGAGTACATCAAAAACGTGAAAGTAAAATTTGTAAGACAGAGAACATCACCCAACAAACAATATCAATCTGTTAAACTAGAACCAATTCACAGCAAAGTAAAAATAATTTTTGAAGAATGACATTACAACCTACATGTACTACTGTTTCATGTGGAGCAAGACATTTTGTTCAGTTCCTCCAACATTTAGAGGTTTCATACTCTAATCATTATTGTACTTGTTTTCAGAACTGTGCTCTGCAGTATGCTGATCTGCTGGAGAAGGTAGAAACTCCAAAGTAAGTAATTTCAGTCTGAATTGTGAAAATGAAAATTTGTACCTTTTTCCGATAGAATACCTGGAGACATCAACTGTCCATAGTATATTTTTATAATTTTGATATATATTTCCTTTTATTTAATAACATCTCTGTTTACATTAGAAAACATCTGGCCAAGAGTAGGAATTTATTTTTTATTTATTCAATCATATATGAAGAAAAATAGCCACAGCATACTAAATATCATTTTTTAAATTTCCATAGCAGGTATTAAGATGCAGTAAATGATTGAGATATCTACATCTTTACCAAACCATTTGTTTATATGTTTAGACGTAAACGTGGAGAGAAGAACGAGCATCAGATAGAGACACCTAGCAACCAGATCGTGCGCAAGTTGACGATTGAGAGAATAGAAGAATTAAAGAGACATGTTCAACATCAGCAACAACAATACCAGTAAGAATACCACAATACATTGTATGGCATTTATTAATGAAGATCTATTGGAGATAAAAATAAACATTCTGTAGAATTTAAATTCAATTATTCAAATATTAAATATTCAAATATATTTGTACATCTCTCTTTCTAAACAACTTTCAATGCAAATATTTTTTGGTCCCATTATTTAATCTGCCATTAACTTCCATGTAAAAAACCTTGAGATGCGAACACCTGCCAATCCTAACACTCTAAGGCCAGTCCCATTCGTGTTTAGTTTAGAAAGGTTTTTCTACTGATATTAGTGTTAAATTATGTGTATAATACAATACAATTGAATATTCAGTCAAACATTTATTTGAAGATTCTATGAATATTAAATGAGTTTTGTGTAGTGGTATATATTTTACTTCTTGCCACTTGCTAAAATCACCATAAAATGAAAAAAAAAACTAAACACTGTACACCATATCCAGTTAAGGATTTCAAAAGAACATTGCTCCAAGTTGAGGGTATTGAAAAACAAGAACACTTGTGATATTTTGACCAGTTTTGACATTATTGGTAAGAAAGGGTCTAACAAGATTTTTGACAAGATGAGAAAAAGTCTCAGGAGAAGACTGACACAGCTAAAAAATTATTTCTATTTTCAAATTAGGAGACAGAGACGAGAATTAGAAGAAATAAGGACTGGACACCAGGATGGCCAACTACAAGATATGTGGGACAAACTGCAGAGGTACTTGTCATTAAAGGGGGGTGTATAGGAGTATGGTATCATATATTGAATAGAAATGGGATAAAATGTTGTATATGAACACCCCCTATACAGCCCCACACACTTTTGGTGGGAACTTAAGATGGTATTCCAGTAAATAAAAAAGAACTGTATGTTTCATCTGTAACTGTATGTTTCATCTGTAACTGTATGTTTCATCTGTAACTTTATGTTTCGTCTGTAACTGATTGTTTCATCTGTAACTGTATGTTTCATCTGTAACTGTATGTTTCAGTGCCAGTGAACCTGTGGCAGTTGCATCTACAACCACCATGGAACAGCCTGACCTCAAGCCCCTTGTCATGCCCTCAGGTAAGCATCATGCCCTCCAATAAATACAATAATTTTCATGCCCTTAGGCAAACATGATATGTCCTCTGATTAGCATATCCTGTCCTTGCAGGAGCATAATACGATTTGTTTTCATACACTCAAGAATAAATTCTTAAAGGCCCCTTATTAAGTTTAAACCTCTTTGGCGTATTATTAGATCATATTTTCAAATTTCACATGTGGCCTTTAAAACCTTATGTCATTAAACTGCAACATTAAAATTAATAAAATGTAGAAAAATTTGCCAAATGATCTAATGTGATCCTTATCACAAATAGTAAGTTTAAAAGGAGCATATTATTTATATTCACGGCGTGCCATGGTCTTGTATTCTCCCTGAATCAGAGAATTGTTTTCCCCTTAATAATGGAGATGTGATGAGTGTTGAGTAAATATTCTTTATTGTTCGCTAGGTGCCACAAAGGTGCTTCCTAAGGTTGGGACCCCAAGCAAGAACCGTAAGGGTCTCCGTTTGTTAACTGACCTTCCCACTCCTACAATAGCAGACCCTGCAGATATCTATGACTTCCATGAAGATATTGAGGTATGAAAGATAAATCTCAATTTTGGTACGAATGAATCGTATAAAGAACAGAGTTATATATATTTTGTTTTTACCAATTTTTGAAGCTTTCAAATTTTCAGTTTCTAAATAGATCACTTGGAGACCAAACTCAGCAGAATTGTCCCTGATGAAGAGAGAAATTCTATTACATATAATCAAGTAACTAGATAATTCCAAAATTGGAGAATGAATATTGCATTTTAAATCCCATTTATGTGAATTTGTATTTTATGATGATTTAGACTAAAATCAAAATCAAAACAACAACTTTTTATTCCTAACATTTAGGTTGTTGATGATGATGTGAAACCCAGAATTGTGTCAGATACCCCTAAGAGCTCCAGCTCCACTCCCCAACATCCACATTTGCTCTCCAAGCTTCTTATTGCTAACAAAACTGAAGATATTCCACCAAAGGTAAGACTACTACATATAAGGCTACTTAACCCATGTATAGTAGGGATTCTACAATTGCTTGATTCACCTCTAATTTGATACATTTAGGAAGATCATCAATTATGTATCTTTGTTTTTGATATTATCGATTAAAATCACTTTTCAAATAAACTTTTTCTCCAAATTGACAAAGCAAAACTAAAATTATGAAATTATAAGGAGTATGTATTTTTGTGATAACAAATCTTTATTCAATTATTAATTGTTAAAACCTGTTGTGTTGTAGCAACAGGAGGATGCTGTTGCTAAGCAACCAGGAGGAAATGCCACTCCAGGAGGACAAACCCCAACATCTGCCCACATTCCCAGTTCTCCATCATTGGGTATGAAATTTATATTTTCAGATTATGGTCCTAAAGGACAAGTAAATATTTCAATTGATGACAGTATTAAGTTTATGAGGGAGCGGATACAAGTCAATTATGCTTTGATTGCAATTTTAAAGTAAATAATTGAAGTTTAACCCCAATTATCATTAAAATGAATAAAGTTTTGTTAAGGTATAGTGATAAAATAATTCTATTAATATATGATTCACAAAATATATTTTACTTCATTTACTTGTACATTTCGTAATGTTACCATCAAAATTGTTATTAAACATAGTTTTTAAATTTTCATCCGTAAAAGGTTGCAGGGTGTCATTCGCAACCTCCAGGTCATGATGTTTCATATGATTTTGTTAATTTCGTAATAAAGGCAAAACTTTTACAAAGTGAGCTTGTAATAATTGCACCACCCCCAGAAAAAACAAAAGTAATAGTCCAACAATATAAGTGATACCAAATACAGAAAACAACATTGAACTTTCATTTCCTTCAATACCCATCAAAAGAGAATATTCTGATAAATGAGTAAAAAATACCAAATAACAATACCAAAATGATACACTAGATAATTGAAACATGATATTAAAAAATTCATCATAATTCATTATTCCAAAATTAAAAACTGTCTCCTTTTTGTTAGACTCCATAACTGGTTCATTAGTTCTAAATGGCGTATTAGCACACCACATACACATATATTTTATACAAATTCCTGACAACATGAGCATAGCTCCACGCCATCCATATTCCTCATTTAGGGCTTCAATCAGTAGAGGATATAGAAATGAGCCAACGCCAAGTCCAGATGTTGCTATTCTAAATTCAAGTGTATTTGAATAATAATCTAAATGTGAGTTCACATTAAAATTGAACTATATGGCAATACACATAGTGAGACACATGCTTCTATAAATGATATAAAACTTTAGTTTTTAAGAAAGCATGGTTGTTCATGTTGACGTTGACCTAATTTATCATCTAAAGTAAGGAATTTCAGTGGGATATAGATAATTACATTACTGGATGTGACACAATTATTCACAAAATATATTTAAATACTTCTTTCATATTTTTCTTCACTTTGTGATGTTACCAACATAATTGTTATTAGACACATTTTTCAATTTTTCATCCAGGAGAGGTTGCAAATTATAAGATACACCTTCCAAGTCATTTTTGCTATATACTTTGTTTGTAAAAATGCCAGCCATGGCTGTTCAATGGCTACGCTTTGGCGTTGCTGTTGTCTACTTAGACACATTTTTCAATTTTTCATCCAGGAGAGGTTGCAAATTATAAGATACACCTTCCAAGTCATTTTTTGACCAATTTTGTTTTTTCCTTAAAAATGGCACAACCATACAAAGTGCACTTATAATCATTGCCCCACCTCCGAGAAAGAATGAGGCATTGTATGAATGAAGTGTATCATACATGAAACCAGCTACAGGTCCACCTAATAAAAACCCAAATGCAGCACATGGCAATGTAACACCATAACCATTTGATAGCTCATTAGGCCCTAAAATCTGGCATATAATTCCTGGTGAAAGTACTCCCATTGTTGCACTAAAAATCCCAATTAATCCAGAATAGGCAAGTAAAGCTCCATATTGTGTAAGTAAAGGTAGAAACACAGTTGCTACACCACAAATGAAAAGTCCACCAATGAAGAGCAGCATGGCATCAGCTTTTGGATGATGTGCTATGACTCCAAACAAAAGTAGTCCAACAATATTAGAGATACCAAATACAGAAAACAACATTGAACTTTCACTTCCTCCAATGCCCATCAAAAGGGAGTATTCTGATAAATGAGTAAAGACTATAACAATACCAAAATGAAACACTAGATAATTGAAACATAATATTAAAAAGTTCTTTGATTTCATTATTCCAAAATTAAAAACTTTTTCATTATTGTCAGACTTTGTCAACAGTTCATGAGTTCTAAATGGACACATTAGCACTCCGTATACACATATATTTAATCCAATTCCTGACAAAATTAGCATAGCTCCACGCCATCCATATTCCTCATTTAGGGCTTCAATCAGTAGAGGATATAGGAATGAGCCTATGCCAAGTCCAGATGTTGCTATTCCAAAAGCAAGAGTCTTTTTTGTCTCGAAATAGTCATTGATTATTACAGTGGCTGGGATGTAAGCTAACCCTAGGCCTCCTCCTGCAAAAAATATATAGATTTGGAAAATGTAAATGGAGCATTGTGTAAATAGTTTAAATGAAAATGAAGCTTTGAAAATCGAGTTGAAAAAAGATGAATGAAAATATAGCTCTGTATAACTTGATCCTTCGAAAAATAGTTAAATGGAGTCTTGAATCTTAAAATAAAAGGATTCTTAGAAAATTACCTAAAGGTCCATGTGCAGTATGGCAAGTGATTTTAGACAGTCATATCTTTCACCATGAGTATTTTCTGGCCATAAAAACAATGGTTTGTCCCCATGATAGTAAAATATCAATCCAACTCTCTGAAAAATTATGGATTAGGGCCCCACCCTGGCACATTTTTAAAAATGTTAGGCTTATTTTCTAAAAAGAGGATCTTGCTTTTCTCAATTTAAACATATCAAAAGTTTTCTCTACACTACATGTATATTAATAACTTCTGAAAAGAGGATGGGTATTGAAATGCGATAAATACAGAATATCACATCATTTTGAGTGATATCATTTTTATCGCCGAGTTGATATCACGAGAAATTATGTGATATTGGGTTTATCCCATGATTACAATCACCTTGTGATGTTCTGATCCAATTTCCAGGACATTGGCAGACAATATAAACTAGAAATTAGAATATCAATTGAATATTTGAAACACTTTATTTTAACAATTAAAAGTAAATAACATGATATTGTTCGTCATAAATACCATTTTTAATCGTTAGTTAGCAGCCTTCTAATCAAATTATATACACAATCGTAAGTCAATACACCAATGAAACTTAAAGAGAATAAATCAACGGACCTATTTTCTCAAAAGAGAATAAATTATCTGACCTAATTTCCAACAATATTGTGGCGCGAAATGCAAATGTGATATCACACGGATATGCGTGAGATAAACGATATCACACGCATATGAGTTTGATAAACGATTTTCTGGAAAATATCACACGGATTTCAATAATATCAGAAATATCAATAGCTGTTACTGTACAGATAACACATTAATCGTGGGATAAAGTTAAAAACCACATTTCCCATGCTCATGCTATCCATTGTTTACAGCATCATTTTGGTCATCAAAACTAGACTTTCAATGCAATTATATTTTTGAAGATGCTTCAGACCCCTTGTTGAATAATCTTTTCATGCAATAAAAATCAGAAAAGGGAGATCCTCTTTTGAGTAAATAGGTTCAATATTTTGAAAGAAATGTTGACATGGGGTCCCTATTCATAATTTTTCGAATTGTTCGATTGATATTTTTATCATCATGAGTACTTCACTTGAAAGAAAACATATTGTTTTAATAAAAACCACTGTATTTGTGCCTAGAAAGTACTCATGGTGAAAGATATGACCATCTAAAATCACTTGCCATACTGCACGTGGTCTTTACATAATATTTTATCTTATTAGACATTAAATTATTTGAAGAACTAATGCCATTTAATATTAAGTAAGGAGGTGTTAGAACTTGGTTGTAAGTTAGGCTTTTTGATACAGTTGATTAATGCATTCATAGGAATTTCTTACCTCCAATTATCCCAAATGTGATATACAGATGGTAAATATTAGTGGCAAATGCACTTGTTCCAAGACCAATTGCAGATATAACACCACCCAAGATAACTACAGGCCTGCTGCCATATTTGTTGGTCAACATACTGCCTACTGGAGCTAAAAGAATAATAATTATTAAGTTTACATGCCATCCTACTCTGAGATTGGATTTTGTGTGCTAAACTTAAATGGAAATTTGTGATAACCTACCTATGAAATTCATACAAGCTCTGCATAATGATCCAACCCAAGCTGTCATTCCTGCAGAAGCTTTAAATTCATCTAGAAATATGACAAATGTCACTCCAACTGTGTAGATGATTCCAGCTATGAAGACATGGGCCATAAAAGAGCATAACACAATCATCCATGCATAACCATCATCCTTTTTGTTAAAAGTTCTTAATGAAACTTCTCTTTCTTTTGCAACATCTTTTGAGACCTGCCAAACTTCATGCGAGTCCTCCACCATTCCATTTCTAGACGCATTGAATTCTCTTTTCTTGTTCCACGAATTTTTTGAAATGTTAATGATTGACTTCATACCAATTAAAATCAATCTTGTAACATTGATATTATTAGCCTTTCCTTGATCAGTCACATGTAAACTATTTGTTCTACACTATAACATTGAACTATTTGCAATCTGCATCAGCTTTTGGAATACTTATAGAATCCATTTAGCTATCTAATGATCAACCTCATATTACATGTCACTGAAATTTGAATACCATGTTTACATGAGGATTGAACTATGAGACCAGTACATTCAATTTGCCTTATCTATTAAGTGATATGATATGTTCTGTTGCAATGGCATGTTGTGTTATATAAGGGGTTCAGTGGTGGATCCAGGAACCAACAAGGGGGGGGGGGCGAATTTCCGGTCAGAGAAAAAAACTTCTTTCCTGGGCCCAAGTTAGGGCCCCCCCCTCGGATCCGCCACTGGAGTTCAATGGCAATAGCAATCAAATGTTGTTTGTTGGTTAAATTGGAGATACAAACATAAGAACTGAAATCTATATAATCTTGAAATGAACTTTGCACATTTAGTGACATTAAGCATACAATGGTGGTGCAAATGAATATGTTTTTCAGTTTTGAAACTTTCATTTAACAATGAATCAATATGACTTGCATTTAATTTTTTGCATCTATTAGCTTAATGCAGCATAGTGTAGTAGGAAATTGTAAAAGTACTTCATCCGTCAGTCAGTCGGTCTTTTATCCATCTTACCTTTTCTAAAATTAACAAAGTAAAAACAGCTAATAACCTCATAATGACCTGAGAAAAACCATAAAATATTGATAAAAGCAATATATTTTCTAAAGCAACCATGGACAAAAAATGTTGTAGTAAGATAGTTGTGTTAGAATATTATGTCAAAGAGCTTACACAAATGTATGGATAGATAGACTTCGCCTCAGCATTACTTTTGGCTGGAAGAACAAAAATAAAATATAAATTAGATTTGCAATGATTTGTTGATAAGTGATTTATATAACACTCATTATAATGTATGTTAATTTTTATGGGGGAGGGAGGGGAGATTGAGAATAAGGTTTTGTTACAATATTGAAATATTGACCTGCTTTCATATACTCTGAACTTAGCTCTGACAGAGCTGACATGAATGTCATGCAGAAGCATCTTGTATAAAATGAATATATAGTACTATTTGGTAAGCAACTATTCTGGAATTAAATTGTTAAGTTGAAATATTTTATTGCAACTATGAAAATATGTTTAGAATTCAATTGATCAGTTTTCTCAATAATTTATGTATTTTCATTATTTATTTCATATTAATTTTACTGCACTTTTTTAATTTTTTAATTCATTGATTAGCTGTTTCTATAATTTTTAAATTCTTGCATAACTCTTTAGGTGCGCCAACTCTTTCTAAATTACTTGGCACTCCAACAGCTCTGACACCCAATCACAAGCCTATTGCTATAGCAACGACAGTTACTATGACTCCACCTATTGCTGCCCCGATTACAAAATCAGGTACTATGTCATCATCATTTTGCATTGTTTCAGTCATGTAAATTATATACTGTACATTATTATATCACTATCTAGCTAGCGACAGTATGATTGGTCAAAACCGGGTCACATGTCGTGGGATATCTGGCGATATTCAATGGCAATGCTAATCAGATAAGACAACCGTGAGATATCTAGCGATATCCCACGCTCCCCGGAATTTTCAAAGAATTTGTTTTTGTTCAGTGTAAATAATTTAGTTCAGTGTAAGTCAAAATGGCAGACGAACCGAGTAGATTCGTAAAAATATCTGAAGATGACCACACATTATGACTTAATAATATTAGGGATGTTTAGCTAGACAGTGATATAATAAAACAAATATTTCACTCTATTTTCGGTCGGTATTCACCTCAATAGAGTGAAATTTGTTCAGTATTTGTTTTTATAAATTCATACTGTGTGACGTGACATGGGGATTTCAAGTTGAAGAAACTCTAAAATAAGAAACTCGAAATAAAAGATTAATGATTAAAATCTGGATCATTGAAAAAAAATAAGTTAACACTTGCTTTATATTATTTAACCCTATTTTATTATTGTAGATGACAAGCCTACTTTCCCAGAGGTGAAACAGGAAATTGAAGATGTTCAGGTTAGAATTTGTTTTCTGTGTGTTATCTCATCTGGAACTTAAACTATATGTCATATGTTTACATATGCCATTTGTACATCAGACGAGTTGATTACATGCAATAGAATGACCTTTTGGAAATAGGTTCTCGCCAACGTCTAGACCTATTTTCTCCCACTTGAAAATGAAAAAATTCACTTGAGGAAAGAATCCCTGGCGAGAACATAGTCATGCATGTTTACTGATTAGGGGCTGTGAAAGTTTTTAGGGACTGTTTAATATAAATGATGAAATTATCTACTTAACTTGTAAAGTGAAACATTCCTGAAGTTCATTGTTCTCTTACTGTGATGTCACTATATCCATGGCTACAACAATGAATTTAGGAATTCTCAACTTTTCGAAGTTTCTGTTAGTGAGCTCCTGGTGTATTCGTTTTTCAGCCCCAACCAGACAATGTAATTTCCCAAGATGCAACAGTGAAATTGGAAGATGACATAAAGGAGGAGCCACAGTCACCAGCTTTCAGTATAGAATCTTCAGAATCAACTCCAGGCACAGGGAGACGTGTAAGACATGGTATGTCTGCTGAAAAAATTATTATTAGGGTTCGGGTGCTGTCAAGAAAACCAAGAAATGTTGAATTAAGATCATTCAGCCTCTACTCCAATTGTGATCTTTTTATTAACAGATTTTTTCTTTATTTGTTTTTTCAGTTGGGGTTATGTCATGAAAACTAGGAGTTAAAGAAACATGAATCAAGATCATTCAACCTTGAATTAATTTGTGACCATCCAATTTTTTTCTTAATTTGTTTTTTCTACTTCATATATAAAATTGGTTGTATAAAATTACAAGTGATACCAATCTAGGCATATGAAACCTGATAAAGGTGAGTAAACAAAATGTTCATACCTTTTATTTAAAATCATTTGACTTTCAGGTCGTTCTCAGACTGGAGGGTCAAGCAGTAGTAGACGAAGCACACGAGCCACTCGCAAATCTGCCCCAGATGTCCCAGTGAGTATTACATATACAATTCTTGTACCAGTAATGTAACAAATACAATGCAAACAATAACTCAAACTTTCTTGCTTTGAAGTACTTTTAAGCTTATTCTGAAACAACCCTACTGGAATACATTAAAGCTATTTAAACCAAAATATTATTTTAAAACTCTGTAACAGCGAATCATTCTCAAATAATATAAATATTTTGTTTACAAATGTAATACAAAAAGAGTCATAGTTAGTAAATGAAATACGGAATGAAACCCTGCACCATGGGCTGATGTGAAAGGCAGTCCACCTTATGCTTTGGTCACATTTGCTCCGATTTTCACTATGGCGCCTGGCCGATTGAGTATTCTGTTCAAAATTGAATAAAATATTGAACAAAACACTCAATCGGGCGCGAGCCGGCCGATGGATCGGAGCAAATGTGACCCAGGCGTTAGTGAGGATTGAAACCGTGACCCCTCGCCTTTTTGGACAAAAATATGTTTACAAATGTTATATAAAAAGAGTCATACTTATTATTTTAGGATGGAGACACAGCCAGTCATCAGAGTGACTTAGATACATCAGATGATGATACAGTACCAGAAAGTTCTGATGGAGACACATCATATGCCACCACTCCTAGACCTATGTCCTTTATATCGGAATCTGTTCCAAATAGCCCCGCCTCCTTATCACAATGGTTAGAGATTTGGATTGTTTCTCAAACTTAGCTGCAGTTTTAAGTCAGAAGAAGACTCTGATGGAAATATGCTTAATGATTTACAAATACAAGATATCAGTACCCATAATGCAACAACATCGTCTGCACAATTAGTTTATGTAAATAAAAAATCTTTTTATTTTTGTGAGATTCCACATTTAATTTTAAAACCATACCAGTCAATTACTCAGGTCCTCCATTTTAAAAAAAATCACTTTTTTATTTTGCAGCAGTGATACTGAAGATGAAAAGTCTCACAAAATGTGGAAGAAGGCAATCATGATTGTCTGGCGAGCCGCAGCCAATCACAAGTAAGCATGCAAAATATAAAAGTCAATTATAAATCAATGATAAGTTTGGTCTAACAATGCATGGAAATAATAGCAACTTGAAAAAATACCTTTACATTTTCAGAAATGACATCACAATATTGGAATCTGATCATCATCAATCATAATCTTCTTTTAATGTGACAAGATTTAAGATTATAAATCTCTCATAGCTCAGGGTTATTTAAATTTTGAATGACTCGATACTCATTAACCAAAAGAAAAACCCCAGCTGCGAGAGATCAATCTATGAATTAATTTATTAATGCAATACTGTTTATTTTTGTAGATTTGCCAATGTGTTCATGCATAAAGTAACTGAAGATATAGCACCTGGATACAACAACATAGTGCACAGGTTTGTCTCATGCAATTACATTGTATTATATATAGCACCTGGATACAACAACATAGTGCACAGGTTTGTCTCATGCAATTACATTGTATTATATATAGCACCTGGATACAACAACATAGTGCACAGGTTTGCCTCATGCAATTACATTGTATTATATATAGCACCTGGATACAACAACATAGTGCACAGGTTTGTCTCATGCAATTACATTGTATTATATATAGCACCTGGATACAACAACATAGTACACAGGTTTGTCTCATGCAATTACATTGTATTATATATAGCACCTGGATACAACAACATAGTGCACAGGTTTGTCTCATGCAATTACATTGTATTATATATAGCACCTGGATACAACAACATAGTACACAGGTTTGTCTCATGCAATTACATTGCAATATTATCAATAAGAAATACATGTATATACAGTTAGTCATTTGAAAGTTGAACACATGTGGTACATTAAAATAGTGATCCACTTGCAGTGATTCATTTTACATTAAGTTAACGGTGAGGGGACTTGGAAAAGTGTTCCACTTGGTGTTTTCCAAATAAGGTGTTCCATTTTACAGATATTTTTCAAAAATGGAAAAAATATTTATTGACTGATATTCTGTTTTTTGTTGGTTAATGAAAACACAGATTAAATCCTGTTCTCCGGCCTGATTTGAAATAGTCAGTCCACCCTATTGGGAATTGAACCCATGAACTCTTGCTTTCCGGGCGATTGCTCTACCATACAATAATTGTTGCAAATTCTGTGTCGCATTCATTTCCAGACCAATGGATCTCACAACAATAAAGAAAAATATTGAAAATGGCGTGATAAGAACAACATCCGAGTTTCAGCGAGACATGATGTTGATGTTCACGAATGCAATCATGTACAACAACTGCGATCAGTCAATCTACAACATGTCAAAGACGATGTATGATGATGTCATGCAGCAAATTGAGGTGAATATTTCAGTAATTTAATCGGGATAGACAATAATGGAGCTTCAAAACTCATCTGAAGTGTCTCAGAATGTTATGAGAATATTTCCAGAGTAACTAAATCAATGAAAATATTATATTCCCGAGACAAAAAATCATGTTTTGAGTTTGGCAATTGGTGTTCGAAGTTCAGCATCTGTAACAAATGGCAGGATGTGACATGTTTATTCGTGACACTGTTCATCAATTTATTGTTTTGTGGAAAAATGTATATTACATGTAGTTTTATTATTTGTTTCAGCTCTATGTTGCCACTCAAGTTCAGATGCAAAGTGTGTTGATAGCAGATACCAATAAACCAATCAGAACATTGAGACGCTCAGACGCTACCAGTGATAAGGTATCATCACAATTGTCAAAAATACAGGGTGTTCAGAATCTTTAAGCTCTAGTTGCAAAAGATGAGTCATGAAAATCTCAAGATAGTGCAATAGTTATAACATGGATACCGAGACTCATACATTTGGAACACTCTGTATATAAAGGACAAGTCTCGGTTTGGAGAACAGTCTCCTGGGCTAATAATTCTTTTTATGAAAAATATAGAAAAATCACCCAAATTAAATTATGAATATTCAAAAGAGTACATTTAAATCTACAAGATGTAAAAATATCACAATTGTCCGAAGCAAGGATAACGGTGCAGTAGACCGATTCAATAAAATACAAGTCTCGATTTGGAGAAAGAAGTGCATCAGTGTACTGCTACTGCGCTAATAATTTTTTGTATGAAAAATCTAGAAATATTACCCAAATCAAATTATAACTATTCAAAAGAAGACATTCGAATCTATATTATGTAAAAAATCAAATTTGTCTGAAGCAGGGATAACGCACAATTAGAGTGATGAACTTTGTTCTCCAAACTGAGAATAGCCCTGAGGCTTAGGCTAAGTTAGATGAATAAATAGTTATGGTACTCTCTTTCAGTTCAATTTTAATTTCAACATATTTGAGATTGACAAATGTAATTTACAAGAGGCAAATGAGTCATACTGTTCTGTCTGCATAATGAACTATAATTATTAGTTTTAGAAATCATAAAAATCTAATCCTTTAAATCATTCAATATCTTTTACAGGAGGATGACTCTAAAAGGCGGAGGGTATCTTCCGAACATCAAGTCGAATCTGGTGGAAAAACAAAGCGAAGAAAAACTCGTGGGACAGATGATTGAGCAGATCTACTAACATCCAAACTTGGGAATCTGCAACAACTGAGGAGACAATTTATATTGGTCCATTTGGAGCTTGTTATGCTTTGCTGAACCTATGGCTACTATCTAAGGCAGTGACCTGGTCTCATAAGCCTGGCAGTAAATCAAGAACTCAATGAGACATTTACATGTATTCTGAACTTTTGTTGATGAAAAGAGAGGTTTATAGGGACACAAACCTGAGATGAAAAAATAGTAATTTTGCAGAGACCTCAAAGATTAGAATATTATCTTTCAAACCAATTTACAATTGTGAATTGAATAGGTACCAAGACTTGCATAGAATACTATGCCCATCCCTTTCAGATAATGGGAGTCTTCGACTCGATAAAGAATTATCAAAGCTTATCACAGAGGGACGATCTAGTACAGGTACTCATACAAGAACTTCTATATCTGGTAACATAGTTTATGAATATAAACCCTAGTTGTTAGTGTAAAGAACTGTGTGTACCTGAACATAGCTAAATTGCTTCACATACCAAATATTATAATCCAGGCTCCTTGTTATATGTAGCTGTATGGCTAGAGACAAACAAAATAAACAATTTACAAATGATAATCTTTTTTATTTCATTGCTCTATAATTTCATGTTTCATTTCATTTACATAATAGTCTATAATATATAAAATAATAATTTAAAGAGCATTTAATACAGTATTTAATGAGTATGGGATATTTGATGAGACTAAAAATCAAAATCTGATCAAATGAAAGCAAACAAGGCATTAACATGCAAAATGTCACCACCTGCAATTTGTTACAGACACCAAATGCCAATCACCAACTGCTGAACACCATCCAGAAAAAAGTTGGAGCCTATAACTATATATGTCACCATTTGTGGTGGTGAAATAACAAGCAAAAACTGAATAACAGTATACTGAACAGGTTCCAGTATCCTCGAATTCCCGCTAATTCTAGGAATATGAAGACTTGTAGAATTTTGAGTAAGCATTGCATAGAAAATCATATTTTTCATATTTTTTTAATCAATTTCATTCCAACCCTGAAAGAGTTAGAACATCAATATTGTTCTTTGATAATACTTCATGTAATGTACAACCATAAATTAACTTCAAGAAAGCATGAATACTGGACTTCTTAAAAGTGCAGCATTCATTGTACAGCAATTATATCCTCCCTTGTACTGTATCATTTCTACTTTGAGTTTCTCTTGTTTAAAAATTTGTACATGTATATCACTACTGCAACAGTCTCACATTCTTAGTCTGTCCTAATTTCACCATATTGTAGAATAACATTACTCTCAGCTTGAATACAATATTCTTTAACATTTCCCCAACTTTTTTTTACTTTTTCAAAACTCCCTATAACATTTAGGCCCATTTTGGTCTATTTTGAAATTCACCAACATTCCAAGATGCTGAAAATTAATATATTTCCAGGCTCAAGGGAACCTGGCATAGGAATGTGGTTGGACCCAAAAGCTGTACAAATAAAGAAGCAGCCCATGTCAATAAATTATTATTTAAAATGCTCTTTTCAATCTATATCTCTCTTACAGTTAGTTGATTTAGTTGATTTCTTGGCATCTCCTCTTTTTATTCATTTTCTTGCAAATTCCACCACTGTTTACTCTAAGTTGCATTTTTAAAACATGATTTTCTTAATTCATAGCTAAAAAATCCCTTGAAAATTCCAATGGACATTGATCATAAAGTATTCCAGTAACCAAACTTCATGCAAATGTCTTCCAAGTTCAGAATGAATGTCATGTAGACACCTTAGATTTATTGCAGATACAAGTCCATGGTTAATTGTAGGTGTACATCTTTGGCTTCTAAATAATGTATGCATCTGAATGCAGTGTGCGTACTGCAAAAATTTATTTTTCATCGATTGATGTGTGAGCCTATGAACACACCATAACACAGTTTTTCACATATTCCAATATAATATGCAATACTACTAACATTTCTGATGTTAGTAACCAAATCCCATATTTCTCAAAATACCAATATTTCTGATGCAATTCCATAATCATGTGCAGTTGTACATCCGATAATATACATTACAAATATCCTTACATCAAATAATACAGAGTATGCTGTAGGCTCTTCATATTTATGATATTGCAAAATCCCATATTTCTCATCTAGACATATCACTATGTAATAACGTATTCCATGTTCAAATATTGCTTAATCTCATACATTTCCGTTGTTACCATATGAGCAGTCAATAGATGGCGCTAGTGTCGTATGATGGGGTTCTTTAACTTAACCTCGCCTCCCCCAGCTAACACTATGTGCTTTGATAGGTGGAAACTTATCAGATCAGGAACTTGATCAAATTGCTGAAAATAGAAAGAAGACATTTTTTCGGTATTTGTTTTTACAGTAAAACCTGTGTAACTGGAATAGCTTTGGAACCTCAAAATTGTGTTCCACTTTGGAGGTGCTGAAGTTACAGAAGTCCATTTTATATTAAGTACATGTAAACAGTAACAGGACATGAAATTGTTCCAATTATGCAAGTGTTGTACAATATAGCAAAGCCCCTGGTGCTCAACAACATACTAGAAAATTCCCTCCTCTTTGTGAAATCTTGTCCCATCTCATTTGTCCAATGTCTCATTTGCCTAAGATGCATTATTTGCCTTATAGTCTCATTTACACCATAGTCTTACCTTATAGTCTCATATCTCATTGCCCCATAGTCTCATTTTCCTAATAGTCTCATTTACCCCATAATTCCATTTACCCCATAATCTCATTTGCCCTATAGTCTCATTTGAGGTCCCATAATCAGACAATGCTCCATATGTATTTATCAATATCACTGGGAACTTACCTCCTCATTTAGTTTCTCCGACCCCAACGCAAATTTTCCATTGCTTCTCCTGCCTATATTTAATGCTTTAATATTGCCTTGGTACCATAATTGTAGTGTATATGGGGCAGAGGGGTCACCTCGATTGCTTTTACGCACAAGAAAGTCTCCATTCTAAATAGAAAACAAAAGAGTTAAAGTGACTAAAAGTTCATTATTGCATCCATAGCTTGTACTATCCTGGTGTGAAAGAAATTACGGCCCCCCAGGGATTATGGTACCCTTTCTTAACGGCCCTTACTGGTCCTGACTGTGTATAAATGATAAGGAAAATAATTGTACTTAGGTCACCATATTAATCAATAGAGAGTAGGACCAAAATTTGATAGGACCACCTACCCTTTTACACCGGTCTCAAGCAATAGATGGAGGGACTCTTATGAATCAGAATGTATGCATTTCGCTTTTTGAAAATGTCAAAAACTATTTTTGAAATAATTATAAAATGATGTTTCAAATGATATCTTAATATAATTAGTAATGATGACCATAAAATCATCATTGGACACGTTTGTGTTGAATACATAAAGCTTCACCTTTTCACTTTCAATAAATCTTATGAATCATACTACTTTCAAGGGAACTTATGTAAGTTAAATGATGCTTACATTCTTCATATGCTCCAACCTTTCATTGGCTACACTTCTTGAAATACCACCGTGGTACCACCCAAGGTCATACAATGTCCTATCCTACAATGTAATACCAAATACATCAATATAATTCAAAATAAACCCCATTAGTCTACATCCCAGCAAAAGCTGAATCATTTCACAGCAAAATAAGAATACTTCACTTTACATGTGTTTCAGGCATTTTCAGATGTTTCAAGGCATTTATAAATGTGAAAGTGAAACAGGACATTTAAGGACAAATATTGCCTTTTAAAGATTTCTAATTGCAGTTGTTGGTCATATAGGTATTTATCATATTTTTCCATTTTGTGTTGTTTGCTTTAATATATCAGCTAGTATTCGTTTGAGACAAAGGCAATGTGCAGACCACAAACATTAGGTATACAATACTGTCCATGATAGCTGAAAAATAATTTTACATAAGGACAAATATACTAACAGGTGGAATAAGATGAAAAACATATTGTTGCTGATTCTAAGACTTACTAGATTAGCAGGAGTGTCTTTTTCAGGCTCATCTGGCTTTGGGACCGGGGGTACGGCCCTCTTGTCATCCGACTTGGGTATTGGGGGTGGAGATCTTGCGCCTTGGGGGACAGGAGGTAACTGCCTAGCTGGCGAGAATTTATGACCCCCAGCTGGTACAGGGGGAACAGGTGGGTCAGCTGGAACTGACGGTAATTGTCTTTGTTTTGGAACTGGCTCTTTCCCGGGTACTGGGGGTGGAGGCCTGTCATCTAGTGGTACAGGAGGTAGACCCCTTGGACTGGTTAGTCCTTTGTTTTGTTTTCGTTTATCTTCTCCACCAGGCACTGGGGGTGGGGGTAAGTCTCTTTTTAATGGTTTAGGCGATGACATGGTGGAGCTTAAGTCAGCTGCTACAGATAGATATGAAAATGTTCATGATTTAAGGCATGTCATATTTATATGATTGCCATACATCCATAACAGGTGGAACATAATATTTCATACATTTCTATAGTTCTGGAAATTGGGTATTAAAAGATCAAATGAGAATTTTGAATGAACAGCCTTTAAACCTTTGTATCACATATCCTTTTACAATGTACAAAACTCCAAGGCAACATTAACCTTATCTTCATTGAAAAGTAATTTCAAAATACTTCATTTTCTTTCCAAAACTAGTAGCCTCAAAGTTCGAAAACATACAATATTTAGTCTCACTTGACAACATTTTATATTTCACTGCCATGATTTAAATTAATGCTTACGTAAACAGCGCAGAACAAAGAAACATCCCATCATTCAGTATTTCGAATATCCATAATCTGACATTTTTTCACGAAATCTGAATAATTCAAACTTTTATTAAAAAATTCTTATTATTACATTCAAAATGATCCCTTCAGTATTAAAGTTGACTACATTCAATGATATCAAACGTTATCATAATTAAAATAAACGTTTCAAAACATTAAAAATAGATAAAGTTAATTGGTGTCAAAATTAATTCAATATCAGGTGTGGAAAACCTGACAAATTAATTGAGCCCAGTATTTGGTTTGATCAAATATGTGGCATGAAAATGTCAAAAACAAAATTGTTTTCAAATCACTATTTCAGTGTTTTTAGCTTATGGAAATGTTCTTTCCTTTCCTCCAAATTGATTTATTACTTTGATGTAAAAATGATTCATCGTTATTGGACTTTACATACAAGTAAATCAGAGAAATATGACACCATTGTTTCAATTTGAAAATAAGATGGAATCAAAAGTTCAAGGTTTGTAATGCTATTATATGCACCTGTTCTCAAAATAATCAAATAAAATATTAGTAACAAGAGTTGGGTAATCGCTAGAATTCAGGTGTCATAAGTTCAACTGAGTTCAACGGAGTTAAAGAGACTCTATTGAGACTTCTCTGTGGCATTTTTTCTTTATTCCTTTTTGTTTTGAATTTTTAACACCATAACATTAACTAACTACTCAATATGCAACTTTTCACCGCGTAGAATTTTAAAATATTAAGTTTGAAAATTCCATTTTTATAATGGAGCTCAATGGGAAAAACTACATAATTTGAATTATTTTCAAACGTAGCGGCGCGATTTTGATAAAATTGACATATATAATAAATATTGGTAAGACAAAATGTTTGATGAAAAATGAAGAAAATTCACCGTCCTGGTTACGCATACTATAGAAAAATCTGAAATAATCATAAAAACCTGTAAAAATAGATTGAAGGGGGTGATATTCATTTTTAATGTGCCTTTCACTACTACAGGGTAACCATAATTTTGGTACTGATTTGATTTTTCAATGAAAATCATTTCTATAGTGTATAGTCAGTTTAAATAATACAATTAGTATATTTCTTTACTGAACAGTGCAATCATTTATTTATTTATCAACAGTAATGCAAACTACATATTATACAGTTAGTAAAATATTAAAATAATTCTATTAAAATTAAAGCATTGCCAGAATGTGTTGACAGCTGGCAAAAAATTGAAGAATTTGAAGAAAAATAGCCACCCAAAGACACTTACACCTGCTAATTGCCACTTTGCAAAGAGTTTATTCAAGCAAGAAAACTATTTGGAAAAACGTAATTTCGGGTTGAACATGGTACCCACCACTCTGGTTACCTTAGCAACCATCTCTCAAGAACCAATCAAAATTGAGGTCCCAAAGGACCTTATACACCCTCCATTGGGATCTCCCCATGAGAAAAAAATAATTCATCTGATTTTTCAAAATGAGTATTCTGCTTTAATTATTATTACATTTATATGCACACTAGTATCTTGTTGACCTATATTCAGCACTGCATTGATGTATAGGCCACTTATTAGGGTCATAATTCAATCATGAAGTGTAGAGGCATATGATTCCAAACCAGGAAGTATTTTTGTGTCTGTCAAAATCCATTTGCATCCTACGCATCCCTACATCTTATCCAAATATGTTACTACATGATGAAATAAAATAGTAGATTCTTTGGTTTTACAAAGTTGTATGATTTTTGATAAGTGTAAAAGTTGTTTTTGGAGCATTTTTCTATAGCCATTTTGTAGGGAGTAAATGATGAAAAAATGTACAATCTTTTAATTTTAAGTATGACCTGAATCGATTGCAAACTTCATATTTGCACATTTGATGAGATAAACCATTAGTGCCATATTGTGAAATTATTAAGTTTGCAATCGATTCAGGTCATAGTGTATTTTTGGTATTTGTGTGATAATCAATAGAAACCAATGGCCTCTATTGGGATCTGCTGATATCCTCATGTTAAGTCAATGAAGCACAGCCCCATGTAAGGCAATACAACCTTACTAAACTAAATGGCCCCTATCTCAGCCTATGTGTGCCCAAGCATTTTCATATTTTCCAAAGAGTTATATGACATTCTATTCTTCATGTTACACCTAACAATTATTCATTTTGACCATAGGGGTATTTGCCAATAATCGCACCTCTTCCTTTTAACATATAATGTATAAATGTATAACACATATGTGTACCAAGTTTCATTGTAAAAGTCCTATTTTCCTTTAAGTTATGGCATCAACTGCAAAACTTTTTGAACCACCTAAGTATATACCTTATTATATGCATTGAAGGAGTTAAATCATTGGGATATGAATAAATCATGCAAAACATATTTTGTACATATTTCTCCTCATTTAGGGTTACCCAGTAGTTTACAAGCTGACCTTTGCAAAATATATTTCACTTACTATCCTCATTCGCTATCATGCTATCTAGTTTCTTTCCAAATTGGCCTGGATTGCCTGATTTATTGGTTTTAGCGAACCGTCCATTTCGTCGAACCATCATTTTGCTAAGGTTGTTTGTGATGAATATACAATATTCAGTTACATATAACTGTACAGCAACTTTATGCAAGGGAAGGTAATTGTGTGAGAGCACATAAAGTACATGAAGTATTGACCCACTTGTCTCAGTGAATCTTATAAACAGTGCATAAAGTTTTTTCTATGCAATGATTGGCTCACAGTTACTTATAGTGTAAGTTATTTTATTTCTACACAGTGTGGAATAGAGTGTATAAACTTTTACAGTTTCAAGCAGGTTTTAGTGTTTTCTGACCAATGATATATTCAGACTTATTCATTTCACGATTATGTAATACTGACCTACATATCTGTATAGCATATCTTTAAGGAATCAAAGATAACTGTTGTATTGTTTTAATGAAATAAAAAAAGATAACCACAGACTTTAAAAAAAATATGATTTTGTGGATAACATTTTAATTTTATGAAAAAGCTTAAATAATGTACAAATGCTATGTGTTACGAAAACAGCGAAGGAAAATCACAAAATGCAAAATACTTTTTTTCGTAAACAAGGCACAGACGTGAACAATATCGTACCTAAAACACAGCATTGTGGTCTTGTTGACAAAGAAAGCAAGATGGCCGCAGAAAAGTTAATCAGCTCTAGAACTTATCACTGTGTAACATATGTAAAAATTTGAATGGTTTGGCTGGAAACCTGTAGACAAGCCTCGATAGACAAGATTTTAGGATGAATCAGATGAATCCCTCAAATGGTTTGGCTGGAAACCTGTAGACAAGTCTTGAAAGTGAAGATTTTAGGACGGAAAATCCAAAATGGCCACCTTAAAATTTACCCAGAATGCCCAAAAACCAATCAGTTCTTGACGTTGATATGTAGAAACATCCCTGAAAATTTCAGATGAATCCCTCAAATGGTTTGGCTGAAAACCTGTAGACAAGTCTTGAAAGTGAAGATTTTAGGACAGAAAATCGAAAATGGCCACCTTAAAATTTAACCAGAATGCCCAAAAACTAATCAGTTCTTGACGTTGATATGTAGAAACATCCCTGAAAATTTCAGATGAATCCCTCAAAAGGTTTGGCTGGAAACCTGTAGACAAGTCTTGAAAGTAAAGATTTTAGGACGGAAAATCCAAAATGGCCACCTTAAAATTTACCAAGAATGCCCAAAAACTAATCAGTTCTTGACATTGATATGTAGAAACATCCCTGAAAATTTCAGATGAATCCCTCAAATGGTTTGGCTGAAAACCTGTAGACAAGTCTTGAAAGTGAAGATTTTAGGACGGAAAATCCAAAATGGCCACCTTAAAAGGAAGTGTCTGGGTATATGCCCTTTTGGTCCCTCAGTCAAATGTATGTGAAACATGGTTTTTATTACTGTCCTATCTATATTTGATAAGTATATTTACTTTTTCATGAGTTTTGATGCATGATTAACCCCCTGCTGAGAGTCAGAATAAGTATCTTAACAAACAAAAAATAGTCATTATCATAGAAAAAAACACCAATGGCAACATGTATGACATACAAAGAAGAAATAACTTAAGACCCATGAAGAATTAAAAGAAAATCATATTTTTGAAATATATTTAAGGATTAAAAATTTTTTCAAATTTTTGAATTTCCCACCAGTTTAATTTGCAGTGGGGAAAACAAGATGGCTGCCATTTGATGTAAGAAATATCAGAAAAAAGTTGCTTCACTTTTAGTTTTCACAATGAGCACAGTTTTCCGGTTTAGGTTTTTTGACTGATTCTGACTCTTCATCACCAGGGTCATGTATAGAGATTATAAAATTGAAACCAAAATGTTGTGCTCAGCATGAATTTGACTGAAATATGTGTAACTTCACCAACACAATTGAAGTCTCAAAACTCGATGCTCAGTAACTTTGAGTGACTATAATCCCTTGATAACCCAGATAAACACCAATTCACTTATCCCGAAATACCATTCAATGTCTACACAAAGAAAGTAAGCAATGTTTTGGAGGATATGTTTCAAAATTTTTGTATGAATAATTCATTTAATATTTGCCATTGATTTTTTTCAATTCTGACAAATTGATATGCACTGTCTTTGATGCCAATATTCTTCAACAATTGTGATACAAATTGATATTTTTGTAATCTCAGAAGAAGGATAAGATATTGAAGTTTGATAATATGTGTGATTGAGTTGGTTTTTCAGACATTACAATTTTCAATATTTTCTAAGTCGATACCCAGACTCATTCCCAGACTCATCCTTTACCCAGAATGCCCAAAAACTAATCAGTTCTTGACTTTGATATGTAGAAACATCCCTGAAAATTTCAGATGAATCCCTCAAATAGTTTGGCTGGAAACCTGTAGACAAGCTGAAAAGTGAGACGCCGCCCGCCGATTTTAGGACGGAAAATCCAAAATGGCCACCTTAAAATTTACCCAGAATGCCCAAAAACTAATCAGTTCTTGACGTTGATATGTAGAAACATCCCTGAAAATTGCAGATGAATCCCTCAAATGGTTTGGCTGAAAACCTGTAGACAAGTCTTGAAAGTGAAGATTTTAGGATGGAAAATCCAAAATGGCCACCTTAAAATTTACCCAGAATGCCCAAAAACTAATCAGTTCTTGACTTTGATATGTAGAAACATCCCTGAAAATTTCAGATGAATCCCTCAAATGGTTTGGCTGGAAACCTGTAGACAAGCTGAAAAGTGAGACGCCGCCCGCCCGCTTGCCACCGCCCGTCAAGCTGACTACAATATCGTACCTCTTGTTAAGTACGATAAAAAGTTCACCTAATATATTCAATTACCTAACAAAATCTTAATTTACCTTTCAATGGTGATTTCTTTGTCTCTGGTACAGGAGGAACTGGGAGAGCGATACCCATTTTCTTAATATCTAGTTTATTTATCTTTCTAGTTGCGTCAGTAACTTGAGGTTTAATCCCTTTTCTTTCAGTGGGGATCTGAGGACCACCATTTTGAAAACGTTTTAATCTATCTTGTATTCCTTGGCCTATGTCTATTCTGTTTTTTTCTAAATCTGTATCATCACTTGGTTGCGCAGGTAACGCTCTGTCGGGTTTAGTAGGGCTTGCTGGTAGTGGTGGGTTTGATGTTTTACCCATATTGTTATTTTTTTCTCTATTACTAATAAATGGAATTGGAGGGGGTGAGTCTATTGAATTGAATGTCGGGGAATCTGGTGATCGAGCAACAGGGGGAGTATGTCTAGGTGCAGGAACAGCTGGAATTGTCCTTGGAATAGCTGGTACTGGCTTTGTTGGTTTCGCACTGTGAGGGGAAACAGACGTACTTTGGGGTGGAACTGACGGTAGTGGCCTATTTGGTAACTTGCTCTCCTGATTGAAGGTAGCCTGAAAATACATTAACTAATTAAGTAATGATCAATTTACAGTGCTCACCATAAATAAATGACACCTGGATTTGATGAAGTGAGGATTTCCCATGTTAAAAAGAAGAGAATATCTAAGAGGCTTACATCAGTGGATGAGAGTATACAAAGTGTAAAATATACAAAACTTAAGGGATATGTATTTAGACATTATTGGAAAGTATGAAGTCTCAAATCACCATGGTCAGAAAATGGTGATAGAAAATCCAGGTGTCATTTATTTTTGGTGAGCACTTTAATCTATGTTTAATATAGTTTATTACTGTCACATGCAACTTATATAAAATCCAATGAAAACATTTTTAAAAACATTGCTTCCAGCCGCTGCCTGCTTATGAGGCAACATTTTAAGTACATGTATGGATAGTATTCAATTTCCAAAGTGAAATGACTTAATGCATCGTAAACAATGATAAAGACCATGTATATATTGAGTTCATTATTTGTTCATTGTTTCTTTCCCTCTACTAAATGGAGACATCTTCCCCAAGGTTGATGTTTAGTCAATCAGTAGTACAGCATAATACAATAGTATCATAGGCGTAGCCAGGGGGTGACTGAAAGCTGGCTATGCCCCTTAGTATTATGATGCAGAAGAGCATGCACTCTAAATAACACAACCTATAATGCAATCATATACTGTATGAGCTAAAATCACTGTACCAAAATATAGCAATAATCTAAAATAATAAAGACATCTACTAAAATACTCAACACACCTTAATACTGCTTGTAGGGCTTGGTATGGTAATATCCGGAGCTAAATAGTTTTCTGAATTTTTAAACCTACAAAAGCTATAGGAGGCCCTTTCAGGAGGGCCTCCTAATAAAGACATCTACTATAATACTCAACATACCTTAATACTGCTTGTAGGGCTTGGTATGGTAATATCTGGAGCTAAATAGTTTTCTGAAAAGAACAAAAAAGTTTAATCCAAATGCGTCTGTTGTCATGTCAAATGTATTGGGAGTCTTGAGCCCAAGTATTGTGAGAAATCAAATGACAAAAAAACGATTTCTCTAGAAATACAGGTGAAATCATGGGCTTGAAAGCCCATGGTGAAAGCAAGAGTCGGGACCAATGGTGCAAATTACAAGTATGAACCCCAATACAATAGACTAGATGTGAATAAAAATAATCTTGATTTACTTCATTAAATATTCAAAATTCAAAGTGATGAATGGACAGACAGACATTCAGATGAATGGGTCTTTCTATAGGTCCACCATGTAAACCAAAAAAGTCCTTATGTGTATTCTCTTCTATTTTGGAGGGTAGAGATAACAAGTGAAATAACCCTCCAACAAGATGTGCAGGTGCTTTGTGAAGATATTATCACATACTTATGCAAACTTATGATCTACAATAGCAAACTTATGGTCTACAACAGCAAACCTATGGTCTACAATAGCAAACTTATGGTTTACAATAATGAGATACATTTTCCCTCTTTAAACACAATACATGTAAATATGCATAAATATTCAGAAAATTGAGACATATTCATATATTTTAGATCATAATTTCATTGAATACTTTGTACCTAAAGATATAGTTGGACACTCAATCTTATCTAAGCTTCATTGATTGGTTCTTTCATTGTTTGAGAATAATTTTGAAGTTTGAAATCATTGCCTTTTAGACCTCCTCAAAAATTTGTTTTAAAACATAAGTACTTGATTCTCAGACAACTTTGTGAATAATGAGCCTCCATTAGCAGGTCAGATATTTAACATTACACTGTCACCTTTCAAATGGTATATTGGAACCTTGGGATAAACTGCGTCATTTATTTTACATTAATATGTAGAGTTTGACTTTGAAGCTTTCAATATTGCTCAACTTATAATACACTTTTTAAAATGACAACCATTTTGTTGGGGAATTGTTTGTAAACACTTGACCCGTAAATGTTACATTATGAACAAGCTATTTATCATGAGAAATTTAAATGTCAACATGTTACATGTACTCCATGTGAATGCTTAAATTGGCTAAATGCTGTACATGGAGGATTTGCGGAAATAGCGTGCCAAATTAAATTTTCTAGCATTTCTCTACAATTTGAAATAAAACTTCATGTTTACTCTATAGATTGTCAATATTTTTTTTTTGAAATATGACCTCATCAATATTTTGTCCATGTTTGGTTAAAATGTTCAATCATGGTCATTGATCAAAGTGTATAAATGGCTTACCATCATCATCCTCTTCAGTGACAGATGGTTGGGCAGGCAAAGGTCTCACTACACCCACTGGCTGTGCACGGAGAGGCTTCGCAGGTGGGTCAAGACTTGTTCTTGGGGGTAAAGCTGGCCCGTCATCAAAATCCTCTGGGGGCGGAGGTGGCAAAGGCTTTCTTCGTGGTGGTTCCATTTTCGGTGGTATTTTTACTGTAAATATTTTTTCAATTTCTTTAAAAATGATATCATACATGTATGTCGGAATCACTCGTCCTCTGCAACCGACTAACCAATTTAATGATAAAATTAATTCTCATAAATTTTGGAAGATAGAGGATATACTTAATGTACAATAAAAGATCATATCCATTCGTACAATGTGCAAGACTTGATTATCCCAACTTTCACTTTTTCAATCATTACAAACTACCTCAAACTCAGATGTATATTGCTAAGTCCATTAAATGACCATATATTTGTGCTACTTACATACAAGTGTTTAACTAAATATAACATTTATTAACCTTTATTACCACATAAAGGTATTAACAATATAGCCCCCAAGGGTGTTTAAAAAGTATAGTGGATTTTACAAGACAAGTTCGATTGGACATTGGTCTTGCAGCTCTAGTGCCTCCTCCCCCCCCCCCCCTTTACACCTGCCCTAACCCTAACACTAGATGAAAGAACTACAGTAAATAAAGATTTGGTTATGGATTTAATATGTCACTTGTGTGATATCCATCATTTGATATAAGGGTTCATTGATGGAGAGACAACAAAGCAGATTATAGTCACAACAATATATAACATTTTTATAAATAACTCAGAAACACAGGGTGGAGTTGATTTGTTAAGTAGTAGCTTTATATAATGATAATCTGCTTATATGTAGTGATCTAAAATAATCTACATGTACTGTAAAACCTGATTTTGGTGAACACTTCTAGAACTGGTTAAAAGTGCTCGATTAAAAGGTCGATTAAAGGACTTAATATAGGATATAGAAAAATGGAACTGAAACTCTTAAAATTTGTTTAAATTTCTTGGAAAAAGGGGAGAATAAGGAAATAAAGATATTAGTCCACTTGCAATTAATACTTATAGTTTAATGTACAGCGTTAAGGAGTATTCAACCCAACATTTTTTTGTCTTATTTTTATTTATCAAAATTGTCTGAGTAACTCTGGGGTTATAATATAGAAAATCAAATTTTGGAAACTATACCTTTAAAAACTAAGCATCTGTGCCAAGCACAAGTAAATCATTTCTAAAATAAAATGGTGTCTAATAAAAAATTTGGTTGTCTAAATGGGAAGTACCCTTTTTAACATCTTGTAAAATTGTGAATTAGTTTTGAAAATTAATCTAATCTTGTCTCTATCCATTCTACTACCTTTAATAATATCGTTTTTAATATTATTTTCTGTAATTTATTAACATTAAATCTTTAAATTCTTCTGGTGTGCTTGCAAGTTTTTAAACAGACCTACAAAATATATACAACAATATACAGTAGATGTACTCACACTGACTCTATTACGCGAATGATTAAAATTGCTATGCTAGTATCCTATTTCCAGATGTTTCCATTCATGATGAAAAAAAGTTCCCAAAATGCTGATTTTTCTTGTTTTTAAATTATACACCACAACAAAATAACTCCTGCCCTCTGTCATACATATATATACCAATGAGGAAGTGATGCTTGCAAGTCTCAAGGTTTAAGTGCTGAGTGTTACTAACATTGCAAATAATTGTAAATACATGTAATAAATATCCGTCTGCACATACTTATTTAAGTTATTTCTCTCTTAAATTTGAATGAAGTGTCTAAATTTTTATCATTTCTATACAATTTAGAGTGTTGACTATATGCCTGTTTATTTCATTGCTGATTCCACTCCTTTCTCGCTTATTTTTCATTTCAAAATGTGACCATGTTGACATTTTATTCAAGGTGAAATTTTATTGGCACTGTGATAGGAGGAAGTATGAAACAAAAATTCAATAAATATACAATATACATGGAGTTCAATATGATTTAATGTTTAATGGAGATAAATTGCAATAAATTATGAGAATTTGAATTCACTATTGTGCTGCTTTTAATTTCAAGTACCATACACAGGGGCGTAGCCAGCTTTCAGTCAGGGGGTTGTGATCGTGGCATAAGCAAGCCAAAAAAGATTAAGATTTGTATTGAATTTTATCGCACCCCTCCTGGCTACGCCTATGATACATGTATAACTTATTTATTTAACTATTGTTTTGTCGTGACTAAGAAGCATTAAAGTTTCACTGCTGCTTACTTTACAAGGTTAGGTTGATTTATGCATCCTTGGAATTTTGAAATCATGACTTCCTTTATACATTCAAGTCAAGTTGGAAATATTTTAAAGTAAATATAAAATAAATAAATATAATAGTAGTTCAAAGCACTTGGTATGTTCTGTATACGACAGGAAGATAACCACATTAGTTAAGTGGTTCATATCCAAACAGAAGATAGAAAATGCATGAAAATACATTAATAAAATTTACTTCAATGTTAAATATCAACTAAAGAAAATGTCAATGCTACCTCTTCATTGACCAGGAATAATGAAAGGGTTTAATCAGTTTATTTAATATATACACAACGAACTAATATCAATTGTATTACCAAAAATAAATCTGTTCTAACATAGTGCTTATTTACATCTACAGTAAAAATTGTATAAGGGAAACACCTTTGGTAGCTAAAAATAGTGTTCCAATTTTGAGGTGTTCAATCTATGCAGGTTCATATATTGTGAGGCTAACAGGACTTGTGAATGTTCTACTAATAATGGAAGTTTTCCACTTACAGAGGTCTTTACAGGTTTTATTGTACAGGTTTTATTGTACAGGTTTTATTGTACAGGTTCTACTGTAATATATTTACCTATGATAATATATCCTGGCATTTTGAAAGTATCAATTACCAAAGTATCAATTATCAAAATCTCAACTGAGATACAGTGTAACACATACTTTATACAAATGATTTGATTTCACAGATCAAAGGTGGTTGACACACAGTATGAGGAGGGTTGAGATAAACACTGTCCTCTGTGTGTGAATAACACATGTAATTGGTCATTGGTCATAATGCAAAATTGACTGACCTTTGGAGAGATATATTTCGAGATCATTGATTCTATTTGTGACAGAATAGTGACATGATAGTGGAACATAATACTGCGGTGCAATGCAGGAAATGTCCCACAATCCCTTGCACAAAAGCTAAATTGAATACTGCTTCATTTATTTGGCTCCTTGATGAGTTTATGATATCCTTCATTATATCACCACTGGTTTTGGGATTTATATTAACAATGTTATTGTTTACTTCCTTGTTTATTCCTTACAGAACATGGCTGATTTGCAAAGTCATTTCGGTAAGAGAGGTTTGTTTAAAGTGCATTCAATAAATGTTACCTTGAATAACCACTATCTAACCACACTGCCATCTGGCTATTAAACATAGCTTGTATATATGGTCTTTCAGTATGAAATTAATGACTCGTGATTTTCTAATTCATTTTCTGATTAGATAGAGGTCAGATGAGAAATATATGTAATTTAAAGATTATTTCCTTCCTCATTCAGAGGAGAATATTACATTTATACTTCCTCAAAGATTAAATGTAAAACAGGGCGACATCTTTCAGTAGCTTGAAAATGTAAAAATGTGTCAACTAGATAATGGCAACTCCGCGGAGTAGCAAATCCCAATGAACAAAATATCAATTACCGAATTCCAATCAATTATACTCATTACTTTGGTTGAAAATGAAAAAAATAGATTTTAGAATTGCGAATTCCTGCAAAGCAGCCATTTTCTATTTTCTGAGGTACAAATCTGAAAAATAATACCATAATTGTGATCTACTCCTAATTCCTTCAATTTGAGTATAATATAGCCATACTTTGAAGGGATCGAAAAATTATTGCGAAATCGTACATTAGACGGCCATTTTGAATTTTACGAGGCTCGAATCAGAAAAAAGATACAATATTTGCAATCTACTCTTAATTGCCTTTCATTTGAGTATAATAAAGCTATACTTCAGAAAGATCTAAAAATTAGCGAAAATTTCTGTTTTCCTGCCCCCCCATACATGGCCCCTGGGGGTCAGGATGAAAAACACGGAATGAATCTGAAATGGATAAATGTTGTGAATACACTACCAAAATTTCAAACAATAATATTAATTTCTTTGGTTTAGAATGAAAAATTTATGATTTTTGCGAAAAAGTCCCGTCATTTTTAAAGCGGCGGCCATCTTGAAAAATATACATCTTTCCACTAAATATGAAGAAAATCTGTCAACTAGTATTTGAGTTATCTTCCGGACAGACGGACGGACTGACGGACTGACGGACGGACGGACGGACGGACGGACGGATGGACGGACGGACGGATGGACGGAGGGCTTCACTATATCCCTAACGAACTTCGTTCGTTGGGATAATAATGTAAATTGCAGTATGGTGATCCAAAAATAAAATATTGTACTCCCACTTAAAAGTGTGATATTGTTTAAAAGCTCTATACACTAGCGTGCCTTCCCCAGCTGTAGTGTTTTTCATTCAGTGTAAATCGAAAGTTTCATCCCATAATAGTCACAAATGATGTAACAACTAACCCTACTATCACACCAAACTAGTTCTCACTACGTTCTCGAAAACGGGCTTAAACTGTGCACGAACGGTTTTGACGTACTAAGAACCAACTAAGAACCGTTTGGGATCTGTTTACAAACTACTAGAACGAGTAGGTCCTCCACAACTTAGAGCATGCTCAAAATTTTCTGGTGATCGTCAAAACGTTGCCGAATCGGTTTTAAACTGTGTGCGAACTGAATGAACGTAGCTACAACGTTCTACGGTCTGTTTACGAACTTCACGGACTTTCCCGGACGGGGAATGTGATTTAGAATTTTGAATCGATTCAAAATTCGATGGCGACCATGCCGTTCTGTAATCAGGTCATGATGACCTTCTAGACTAAGGGACGGTTTACACTACGTTGCACTCCGACTTGGTGCGACCTGAACGAAGTGCGAATGAGATGGACGTATTGAAGACTGTTTATGAACGAAGTAGCTAATTATTTTAGACATATATCCCGACCGCAGCCAGATTGAGCCCGTTTTACAACGTTTTCGTAGGACTGGCAAGAACGGGCAAGAACTAGTTTGGTGTGATAGGGGGGTAAGGTGAGTACCAAGGTGATGGAGATTCAATGATTCCTCAAAGCACCAAGAACAAGAATTCTAAAATTAACCTAAATATCTGTATTTTGTCACATCAAGTAACACAAATAGTTAATCCATATATACATGTACAATGTTCAACAGGATCACTTGTCTTGAAATTGAGTGAGTAATATATAGAATTATGGAGTAAAATCTGCCACAAGTTTCAGTGGCTATATAATGGTATTATGGCTCATTTGACGGCACATTCAGAGCTAAATTAATCCCTCCTTCTGTTCAACGACCAGGTGTAGTATGGCAAGTGATTTTAGACATGAAAGATGAGGTTATGAAAGAAATAATGTTCCACTTGCCATGTTATATGCACTCCTCTACCACCAATCACACATTAGTATGGTAGTTTGTAAGCACTCTCCAGCTTTGAACTCTTATACAAATGTAGGTTTTAATCCTTTGGTTAAAAAAAAGACAGGAGACTTACTTGAACCTGGAGGAGCTTCAACAGGAGCGACATAGTCATCATCTTCACTTTCTTCACTAGCTGCTGTTGGTTCTATCACTACAATATCAAGATGTTCTTTTTATAGTTTATAAGATTTATAATTTATGCATCCAGCAACAATAGATACCAGGTATAAGAAAGGCAAACGAACTTCAACATTTCATTATTACATTAATTTTATTTACGATTTACCCTTTGGACAAGCCCTTGTATCTTCTTCATTGTTTATCTAGTTAGAGATAGAGAAAATAGGTGGGGGATGGGGACTGGGTTGGGACCTGTTCCAAGATGTTCTTAAGTTTAATAAGGGAGGGTAAGCTCTGCCTTTTTCAAGAACGTGTAATAGTTTGACCCCCAAGGTGATTACTATCCCCCTCTCAATTGGTTCTTCCAGTAACCCAATCACCATACATCTCCTTTCATTTTGTATCTTATACGAAATCCAGCAAAGAAATACCATGAATGGTACGACTAATCACAAGATGACCATAGTTTTAAATGTTCACTTATAAGTTCTCTTAAAAAATGTGTAGCTTGACCTCCCTATTATCAGATTATGTTCATTCTGATACTCGTCAAATATACTTTCTTACAATATAGTGTGTTCCACAGGATTTTTTCTCAAGTGGGTGCACAATTCTCATTTTCCCAATTCTGACCAAAATTGGTCGAAAAATGCTAATTTTTCATGATTTCCCTCATTTTTAAGTGGGTGCAAATGGATTTTCAGGTGGGTGCAAGCCTGTTTTCCAAATCTCAGGTGGGTTCTGCGCCCACTTGCTTTAATACTGGAGAGATCAATGCAATATGTTGCTTTAAAAGTTGAATGAATATACATGTACATGAAGTATACATACATGTGGTTCTTTTTGATGGGAGTGTTATATCTGGGTTTTCATAATCATCTTCATCTTCTTCATCTTCACCCATAGTAGGTATTACTGAAAAGAAAAAAAAAAAAATTTACCACTACATGTATCATAATTATTATCCAAATCTAAACACCTTCTCATAGAAACATTTTTTCACGGGTGTTTAAACACGAATATACCATGAGCACATGCTTTGAGGATCCGCGTTGTTTGAACCTACCACCAAGGTCACTTATACATTAAGCCTCGTTACACAGTTATGATACCACCGAGCAAGCTCATTGCATCATCGGGTCTGCTTTACCCCCGTGTTTTTATTTAACATGAAATACTTCATAAGAAAATATGTTAGGATATGTATCCTAATATTAAGTTACTAATGTCAAAAGTTTTTGAAATGTCTCAATCATAATTTGGCAATTAAATTCATGAGATAGGTAATAATATACAATGCATTTTTCAGAAATTACTGATCATGGTCAACTGGACTGTAAATACTTATGGACAAGGTGTTCAAATTTCCTCAAAATCCTGAAACCAGTAAATGCAAAAATCTAGAAATGTGAACACCTCTGACAGTGAGGGATTAATCTGGAATATATGTTACAATAAAGTTAAAATCTAAACAAAATAATACAAAATATCCACAGAATGAACACTTACATTGTGACTGGTTATTGTTTGTATGTGTATCTGATTTAGGGGGCGTAGATTCATCTGCTGGTAGGTCATAGATTTCCTGAAAACAAAATGTGAAATACAGCTTGTGTTAAAAAGAAAAACATGTACATGTACAGATGCAAACTGATTAATATGAAAAATTATGTTTACAATTATCTAAGAAAGTAGCCAGCTTTTGCCAAGGGGGACCGAGGCTCACTTTTCAGAAAATTCCAGGGGTTCACATTTGACAAATTTGGCCTGAAATCGAAAAGTGCTGAGAATGGTGAAAAACAGCATGACTTCAAAAGAACTTTTGGCCAATGCTCGAACCCCCGTACCCCTCCTGGCTACAGGCCTGATATATGTCTGTCATCCTTGGGGAGCATATTACTCTTTTATCATGAGGATAATACATAATGATTTCAACTATGCATTTTCATTCCAAATGATTATTAGGTTATTCTCACCAAAATTATCTATTCAAAATAGTTACATTTAATTAGAATTTAGATGGTTTAGATTAAACCTGAATAATAACTAATACCCCAACTTTATTTAACACTTTAAACAACTATTTGCAATACCTCTGGGCCGTCATCATCATCAAATTCATCAGAGCCCCAATCATCATGTTCTTCCTCATGTTCATGATGTGTCACTACTGAAATAGATTGATTCAAAAATGTGAACACAAGGGGTCTCATTTTGTTTCTACTTCCAGTGTAACCAAGGGAACACATATATATGTGTACATTAAACCTGAAACAAACTCTCACACTGAATATTCACCCAGCTAATCCAAAAATTTAAACTATTCAAAACTAGAAAAACAGCAACTCCACGGAGTAGCAAATCCCACCGAACAAAACATATTATGCTTATTATAGCTAGTGTAGATGTTGAAATGTTTGTGCACTTTGTGATAGAAGCATGAAATTTGGCACAAAGTTAGTTTATACCATTGTGAACTAGGCATCATCATATAAAATTTGAACCAAATCCTCTTGAACAGAGCTACTGTGTCCCTAGGCATAATCATATAACATTTCAACCAAATCGGTTCACTGGTATTTGAGTTATCAAAGATTACGTTTTTTACGAAAAATTGCCGCCATTTTGAAATTAAGCGGCCATCTTAAAAAAATTTTGTCGAACCTAGCTACTGTGTCCCTAAGCATCATCATATACAATTTGAACCAAATCCCTTCACTGGTATTTGAGTTATCAAAGATTACATATTTTTACGAAAAATGGCCGCCATTTTGAAATTAAGTGGCCATCTTGAAAATTTCTATAAAATTTGAACCAAATCCGTCAACGGGTATTGGAGTAATCGCCCGGACACATGGACAAACGAACGAACGAACGGACGGACGGACGAACGGACGGACGGCTTCTCTATATTTCCCTCGAACTTCGTTCGGTGGGATAATAAATTGTACTGTTAAAGAACCTTCTATATGTCAATTGTAAAAAGTCCTCAAAACATGGAAAAAATAATAATTGTGACAGGCAGTCAAACAAGATTTTAGCAAAATTAAAGAACTTGAAATTTGTTTTCAGTATTTGTTTTCAGTATTTACCTGCATGATAATCTCTGGGAGGAACACCTGGAATTGGTTTATCTTTCTTGCCACCAAATAAAGAGCTGAAATGATAGAACATGGCTGTATGTAGATCAAATGGTAATAGGATCATAAAGGGAAGTTTATAGTCTCTGTTTATTTTCTGGAAATGTGATATTTAACCCTATTTGTGATGGTCTACAGAAAACCTATATTTTTCGATTTAAAACTCTATCAATTATTGCAATACAGTAAGATCCGTCTAAGTAGAACACCTTTGGTACCTCTAAAACTGTTTCACTTGACAATGTGAGGTGTTCCACTTCAAGAGGTTTGGTCATGGGACTCATGTGTTCCCACTTACAGAGGTGTTCCAGTACTAGATTTGTTTCATTATACATGTTTCACTGTTTTTCCATCTTCCATTTGCAATGTGGTTATTATGACATTAAATCATGGTTATAACTTTTTCAGCAACTGAAACCTTGAGAATCAAGATGAATGTCTAAGTGTCAGGTTGACTTGAGGTTGGGTTAACTCAAGCACCTAAAGGCCTTGAAAAATCACTTGAATTCATCTAGGGATGTGTATATGAAAGACATTCCAGGAAAGTTAAAAAAATACAATACATGTACTTACGATTTTTTGTTGACTGTTTTGTTAATATCAGCAACATATTTGAGTATTTTCCTGAAACGAAAATGGTTCAATAAAAAAATGATTGACAGTCTACTCTAGTTTATTCCTTACATTTTGAGAGCAGTTGATCTAGTAGATAGGGGGGGGGGTAGTTGGTAATAGTATAATGCATATAGTTTATTTGAACATTTACAAGATGTCCAACTCATTAAAATCAATCAGGTTTGTCAAGACAGGAACAGATGTATAGAGCTATCAAATCTTAATGTGATAATGTGATGCATTTTGTTTAGGAGACATAACCAGAAAAACATCAAAATACATGTGGCCCATTCGTTAGACAAGCCACAAAGAACACTACAAAAGTTTATAAATATATCATATGTTTGTATTTTTCCATATAACAAGCTTTTGTGGTCCTTTGCCTGCTTATTTCTGCAAAAGCAAATTGACATTTTTTAAATTAATTGAATTGCAAAAGAGTACAACTTTAGGGAATTTTACACCAATTAAATGTACTTACTTTCGTCTACTAACTGGTACACCAGACATAGTCATTAAGTGAATTTCTTGGAGACCCTGGAATTTAAAACAAGACGCTTTACTATGAAACCCAGCATGTACAGATGTTGCATTCAATTTTACATTACAGAATCAAGATATGGTACAAAATATAAGAAACTCAAAAATATGAGGTTTAAGGGGCTTCAAATATAAGGTACAAATGTAAATGTTTTCTTATATAATATACATGTACATGGAGATTATTCTATATAAGGCTTAGGATATTGGGATTATCCCAAGGCCAATACAATACAGTATATTTCTGTCCAAAATTTAATTTTCAAATTTTTGCAAGGTGGGCAGATATGATATAATATAGCTTTATCCTGCCAGGATGTATTTATCTTTATCCCATACTTGGATGTGTTACAGGTACATAAAGCAGGTTTGTAAAAACTTATATTTTCATCAGCGGGCAGATATAGCTTAACATCACGCTCCGAGCGGGCAGATATAGTATATCTGCCCGCTACGTCATAAATCCCAATATCCTGAACCTCGTATAGGATAATCTCTACATATCCTGATTCCTATTCCTGCCCACTATTGAAAATACAACATTTTGCTAAATAATAGCAGATACTAAGAGATACTACTTTACAAAAGCTAATCATGTTGAAATAAATTTTTGAATCTTTACTTCATGAATTATTTAAACAAATCTTCAAAAAAGCTAGAAATCAATAAATATTACAAGAACACAAATGTGTACAAAATGTCCCCACCAATGGGTGATCCCATCAAATGGTTATCCTGAAAATGAGTAGACAAGACTTTACCAACACAATTTTAATTGATCCGTCACACAGTTAACTAGAAAACATGTAAACAAGATTTTAGGATGGAAAATCCAAAATGGCTGCCTTGACATTTACCCAGAATGTCAAAAAACTAATCTGTTCCTAGATTTTCATACTGAGAATCATCCCTGAAAATATGACATTGATCTACCAAATGGTTCACCTGAAAACGCGTAGACAAGACTTTACAGACAAGATTTTAGGACAGAAAATCCAAAATGGCTGCCATGACATTTACACAGAATGCCAAAAACACTAATCAGATGTAGATTTTCACACTAAGAATCATCCCTGAAAATTTGAAATTGATCTACCAAATGGTTCACCTAAAAACGTGTAGACAAGACTTTACAGGCAAGATTTTAAGACGGAAAATCCAAAATGGCTGCCTTGACATTTATCCAGAATGCCAAAAAACTAATCAGATCTAGATTTTCATACTAAGAATCATCCCTAAAAATTTGAAATTGATCTACAGAACGGTTCACCTGGAAATGCATAGACAAGACTTTACAGACAAGATTTTAGGACAGAAAATCCAAAATGGCTGCCTTGACATTTGCCCAGAATGCCAAAAAACTAATCAGTTCTACATTTTCATACTAAGAATCATCTCTGAAAATTTTAAATTGATCTACCAAACGGTTCACCTGAAAATGCGTAGATAAGACTTTACAGACAAGATTTTAGGACGGAAAATCCAAAATGGCTGCCTTGACATTTACCCAGAATGCCAAAAAACAAATCAGATCTAGATTTTTATACTAAAAATCATCCCTGAAAATTTGAAATTGATCCACCAAACGGTTCACCTGAAAACATGTAGACAAGACTTCACAGACAAGATTTTAGGACGGAAAAATCCAAAATGGCCGACAATAAAAAAGTGATTATGTGTTTTTGCTGATTTCTTCTTACAAAATTATCACATATTACTACTGTTAACAATAACATAGGCTTTTACAACAAAGTAGATCTGAAATTATTTATAAAGCTACTAAATAGTTAAAGTATGAAAACTCAAAAACACCATTCAATATGATACAAAGTATTATCGTGCGCTAACTTTTCTTAAGACATTCAAAATGGCTGACATGACTGAGCTAACAGGTCCAAAACCTAATCAGATCTAGAATGAAGTGAGCTGAACAAGATGTTAAAGTTTTAAAAGCAACTGTGAAGCCGTTTTTCTTAAAGTTTGCAGACAAGGATTTTAGCATTTGACTTCAAAATGGCCGACAGGAAGTAGGTATCGAGTTAAAAATTTTTCATCCACATCTGTATGCACTCATAAGTTATCCCTGAAAATTTGAAGGTGATATCTGTAGCAGTTTTGGAGAAAACTCCCGGACGTACGGACAGACGGACGGACAGACGGACGGACGGACGGACGTACGGACGGACAGACGGACGCGCCTAGGCCGACAATATGGCCCCACACTATGTGGTGGGGACATAAAAAGCATTTTTCTTACTTAATTTCCAAAACATTAAATTAAGCTGTGTGCTAAATCCTTTGACAGATGTAAAATGATTTATCAATTGGGAAACAGGAAGATACATCAAATGACACGTAAATGTAAAGTTTGGTAAATAACATTATCATTACAAACATGATTTCAGTAGATAAGGAAATATTTGCTGTTTTCCAAAATTGTGATTTATATGATAATTACCATAGATGTTTACTCAGATTCTAACTAGGCTAGCTAAAAATAAACAGTTTTCTTGTTTTGGTAGGCAAAAAGATTTACCACATGTTTAAGTATCAAGGTTTCATGCACTCTGAAAAATGTATTTCAATTTACAAATGACATATATGACATACAATCGTGTGCTGTTCCTGTCATTAAAGATTTGAAAATTAAGTGATTATTTAACTTAAATGCCCCATATAAAGATTAAACCACTTTTGCTTGTATTGTAGTCTTACCCAATATCATCAAAATGCTGATCTTTATCTCTTAACGTTTTTGAATATCCTAACATCAAATCTAATCCCTCTAACTTGCCTTTTGATACTTATTAATCTTTGCAAATATGTGAGTTAAGAAAATGTGTACGTCCCTTGTATACAGGTTCTTGACTACTTTTGCCTGATATTCAGAAAAACAGAAGTACAAATTACAAATAACTCTAGAGGGAATCATTCCTTGGTCCAGTGATCTCTCACATATGCTATAAATCAATGAATCAAACGTATTTCAAATTCTTACTGCTTAAATACAAACCATACCTACATTCCAAGAAACAAGAAAAAAATTCACCTTGCAAGCAAAATATACTCCCTTTCAAAACTTTTATCAGATGCATTCATCTCAGAGGTTTTGTGACCTCTTGTGCTGTTTTCTAGTTATTTTACTTAATAGTGAGCTATTTTTGTGACATTTTAAAATTGTATTTATATATTAAGGTAACTGAACCCCTTAAACAATAATAATTTATGGATTTAATTACACATATCATAAATATAGGACCTGATATTTATCAGGTAGGTACCCTATAGTTAACAATACTGAGAATTTGTTTACCCATGAATGGTATGTGACTTATAACAGATAAGATAGCAAAATTGTTTATTTAACACTAGAGGAAGTATCATTCAAATGCTATCATAAAATCATTAATTACTTTTGGTAATTCAGAGAAAAAAATTAGTCAGCTATTTAGTAATTCAGGTAAAAAGAATTAATCAAATATTTCGTAATTCAGAGAGCAATAAGATAACTGTTTAAATTCAACTCATAATTTAGCATGCAAGTTTATGTAAGTAACCTACTTTCTCATTAGAGCCTCTCTCTCTGGCGGATCGAGAAGCTGACAAGGGGCGATCAAGTCAAAATAGAAAATGTTGAAAATTTTGAAAATTCAAGGCCCATTTTTTAATAATTTAGCCTAGAATTAAAGAATTAGGTCCAACAGGCCAAGAAATGCCCCTAAAGGCCCACTAATTGAGGCTCTACTAAATGTTTTCTGGCCCCATGCTATAGAGGCAGGCATTAAAGCCCTTCCCCTCCCCTTGGATCCGCCAGTGCCTCTTACCTATGGCATATTTATGATATCTCTGATCATACAATAGAATATATGCCATGGTGGTGAACTGGTGGTATAACGGTTAGTTTGATTTATTAGCAAACAGATGTGTAATAAAAACTGCTTTATAACTGTATTGTACACAATGACTTCTTCATTTTTTAACATGTAACTTGAAAAAACAGGCTTGTCAGAATCTGGAATTAATTTGAGGGAAAATATTGTGTCAGAATCTGGTTGCTTTACCAGCAAATACATGAGTTTAATGTATTGTACTTATTTACTCAAATATAACTTTACAGGTTTGCAAATTAGTTTTGACATTTTGACCTTGCTATGTATTGCTAACTGCCCTTATATTGAACACTCACTCCCAATACAACACAGGCAACCAAATAACAAAAGGGAGGGGGGTAGGAGGGGTATGAGGGGGTAATCAAGGACTTGTCACGAGACTTTGCAAGAAATCTGCTCATGTAATGATATGGAAATCTGGCCCCATTAAGAACAATTGAGTATCAAGACCATAAAACAGTCTTATGATATAAGGAGGGGGTGTTTAAAGTCAATTCTAGTTCCTTAGCCTATATCGCAGTTAGTATCATCCAGCTTTTTTAAAGTTATAATTTTGTCAAAAAAGAAACAAACCAAATGGCTAGATTGCGATTTAAGAGTGAAATGAATTTTGATGCCCATGGTATTATTTATAAGCTAGTTAAAATTGTGTGTATCAGGAGTAAAGTAGTTTACTATGCTTACCAGTAAAGCTTGTCCATTGATGTTCTTTTCTCCGAATGATTTAACACAATCCTCGAATCCAATCTGAAACAAATAGATGTAATATCTAAGAAAAAACTTTTACATATGAAATGTACCGTTACTTCTTTTGTTTAGACTGCAGAAGAAATGTATTCAGAGTTATTTTGATCCGTATGTGTGTCATGTTACAAAAAAGTTTTCTTTTAAAGTCTGTTTTTTACATCCTGTCATCATTATTCATTATGTCTCAATTACCCCACAAAATGATTCCACATAATACTATTTAAAGTGTGTTTTACTTCAAGGTGCTTCTCCTCCAATTTTACATTGAGAAATTCTGTATTTTCCTTGTTGTTTTCATTCTACTTTACTTAATTATATTGAATGAGAATGCATTCATTGTTCATTGTTTTTTTCCCTTATTTACGATACATGTACAATCCCAGTCAATATATTCATTTTACAGGAGATGTACATGTACTGGTTTATGTAACTGTCCTTAATGAATTCATGTATTTAATTACATGTAAAGTATTTTCAAAATAAAACATGGAAATATATTCCATAAAACAATAACAGTTTGAGTACAATTTCAACATTCTAAAATCACACACTAAAAATGATAAAATTAGGAAAAAATCATGTAGAAAAGTAGTTTGAAGGGAATTAAGTTTAAAAAAATGAAGTTGAAAATAATTGTAAGGGATAATTGACAAATTAGAAATAATGAGCTAAGGGCAATGATTCACTCCCGGCAAAATATTTTTACATATTTTTTCCTTGTATCAGGTGTATTTATCTCATCACATGTCAAAATTACCTTAAAATCAAGTTATATAAAATTCCGACACATCTTACCTATTAGCCTATATTTCATATAATTTAATCGAGCTTACTTTAAAACATTCCATTCGAATGCATGTTTTTACAAGGGTTGAATGGTACAGAGTACATATTATAAGTTTTATTTCCTGGAAGTCAAATCCAATTAAAATAAATTTCACAACTAATTTTATTGCATTCAAAATTGTAAACAGGAAGAGCAAAAAAGGGGAAGATGACATTTCCAACATTCATATATTCTTTCACATCTTATATCAACATATAATTTGTTTTGGTCAAAACTTTGATCAACAAGGCATTAAAATGTCACCACCTGCCATTAATTACAGTATATAATATATACTATAATAGTATATCTTACTGACATGATTAATATAGTGGTTAAGCGCCCCCCGATTTTGAAAAAATCGGGGGGCGCTTATAGGCATCGATGTTTAGTATGAATTTCACCCAAACTTCGCATATATATAGATAAACTCATGATCTAGTCAAATCGGCATACCTGGTAAATATCCGACTTATGGTTTTCATAAAAGAAACGACAATATTTTTAGCTCAAAACTGCCACATGTCCGCCATTTCGTGATTCCATCATGTCTAATATCATTTCTATATGACGTCACACCAATAAGACGAAATACATGACTACAGTATCCATTACAGTATTCCTGAATTCTGATCGCAAAAGGTCAATTGAAGGGTTCTGTGAACATGGTGAAGATCTTCCTAAATGACACACAACAGAAAAATAAGTATGTGCATGCAAGATGTATTGGGAAGTTGAAGGATCATATATTGATGACATGGAAGTACTAAAATTCTAGTCATCAAGAAAATGGTCATTACAAACATTTAATGGTATGATTTTGTAAAATAGACTTTGTGAGATATGCCTGTTTTTTGACAATATATCCAACTGACCCAAATTTGCCAAATTAATTCTAAAAAGGTCAAATGTCAGAGAATCAACAAATCAAATAGTATGATCTATGTACTGTCAATTTCAGTTTTAGAATACTGCAAATATCGTCAACCAAATCATTGCCAAATATCTTAAAACTCATTTTACATTTAAAAAGATTTCTGTTGAGGGTGATGTTTTCAGTGCCAAATTCACAAATGATATTAGCAATATAAGTCTTTAATCATACTCATAAGGGGTGGCATACAAATACCAACAGTAGTGGAAAAACAAAATTAATATTGTGAAAATATTGATTTTTAACTCTGGAAATGTCTGTAAATCAACATTTGACCTTTCATTATGTGAAGAAAGAGAGTAAAACAATTACAAAACTAACTTTGTTTTTCCACAAGTTCTTGAACACCATCCCCCAAGTCAATAAAGATGAATTATTTTTGAGAACACGGTTAAGATTGTTAAAATTATTGGACCATGTGCCCTGGGTGCAGTCTAGTTATAATTATAACTAGTTATAAACTTAATACCCTCTGCCTCGTATAGAATCCTCTAAATACTTATTCCCCTCCCTCAATGAAAGAGAAATGGAATACAGTTTATTGTCATTCAAAGATTTCTTGAAATATGGTGCTGCCTCATGAAATACAGACTTTTTGAGGCATAATATTTTTTATGTTTCACTTGAATCATTGAATATTTTAGCACATCTGTACTTAATAATTAATTCATTATTACATTGTTATAGTGTATATGACTAGTACAGTTCTGAAATGTAACCTAAAACCAGACTATAATTTGACATTTCCTATTATAGAGAGAACAATATAACATATCCTGGATTAATAAAAATGTTATTAAATATGAATCATCCAAAGTCATATGTAAAATTGTATATACAAGGGGTGATCCAAAAGTCTTGGACGCCCTGCTCTAATTTTGTTGGTTTTTGATAAAATAACTTTAAACTTTCCAATAATAAAGACCAACAACCTAACTACTTTGTATATTAATTTCATGGAGAAATGATATATTTTATGTAGTTTTCTAAATAGTTTTTAATATAGGGACCCTGCCACCCGGAACGGTTTTCGCACATGGCAACTTTCAGCCTTAAATGTTACTGCCAGATCACTTGATTCACAAATCTCGACCACTATCTTTCTTTGAATTTTGAATGTTAAACCATGTTAGTTTACTTCCTTTGTTACTAGGCAACCAATTTATTGTGTTTTAGTTATAATGTCACATATGACAATGGCCATATATGTCAAATTCTAAGAAAATGACTTCAGACAAGCAACCCTCATTCTGGTATCATTTTTGCTGCAAGATGGCTGCTGAAATGCAGAACATGAAAGAAATCAAAGTGGAACAAAGAATACTACAAGATATTTTCACTATTATTGACCTTGAGTAGCTACCATATGCACGATACGGTCTAGACATGGCTCCGTGTGACTTTCTTCCTTTTCTCCAGAAATAATGAGGGTTGAAAGAATTTTTTTTATTACTCATTGTATGAGGTATAGAGTGGCACTCCAACAGCATTTGTATCACATAAACAATGGCAGTTTCATAAATGTCTTCAATTCATTGGTAAAGCGGTATGAAAAATGTGTTCAAATTCGTGGAAAATATGTTGAAAAGTAGGTCTTAATATGTGAAGATGATGATGGCAGATGACACTCAGACTGAAAATCGGAAATTCTCATATCATGACTGGTGTTAGGTTGTGCACCCTGCACCTAAAGTATTTGCCATATTATAACAGTTGTGATGTGATTTGCTATATTTAAATACCGTTCCGGGTGGCAGGGAGCCGATATTAAAAAATGTTTAGAAAAGTAGCTAAAACATATTATTTTATGTTGAAACTTATACGCAAAGTTGTTAAGATGTTGATCTTTACTATCTGAAAGTTTCATGTAATTATATTAGAAAATAGCAAAGTTAGAGCGAGGCGTCCAAGACTTTTGGATCACCCTTCGTATTTATGTGTGTGTTATTTTATTTTATTTGTTTATTTTAGCTACCATTTCTGAAGTGAATATAACATTTGGGTTTGCTGAAGTTGCTTGTTACCCATATACTCAGAGCAGATAGAGCAGATAGAGCAGATTCTAATTTATCGTAAGAAAATGATGGTGCCTTGCCATTGCATTCTGGTTATTGCTATATACTATGTAATGTTATGCTATGTCATGCGATGGAGGATTAAATCGTGCCTAAGAAAGTATCTATTTATTAACATTTTCCTCTTTGCATTATAGCAAGAAAAGCCTCATTTATTGGCAGCGCTTAATTTTACATTGAATTATTTGAGAGAATATTGCACTTGCTCTTCCTGGTCACATTCAGGCTTTGTGATTAAATGATAAGTTAATCTTTGAAAAGTGTGTACACAAGATAATATAAAACTGTCTACTTGTGCAACAATGATGAGTTTGTCTTTTGATTGGTCCTAACACTTTATTAACCATTTCTCCAGTCAGTATCACAAAATATCTTCTCTCTACAAGAGATATAGATAACAACAGCATAAAATAGAGGACATTTTCAATTAATATATTTCTACATATTGAGTTTGTGGTTGGTGGGATATAGTTTGTCCAAAATGCTCTGATACATATGTATAATTGAGCAGAACATTCCATAATGTCATATGATTTCATGAAAGTGCATGAAAGGTGTTTTAGAAAATCAAATCAAAAAAGATTCTAAAAATGCTTAAAAATGATTTTTTTCTAGTGTTATTCCAGTAATTACTGGAAAGGAAATAACGAAATTTACAATCAGATTGGTGATAATTATCAAATATGGTAGATACCTTTATCAAAAGCAAGAGCAAGCATGATTTTTAAGCTGGCTTAAGGGTTACACAAGGATAGATAGGATAAAACACAGCACAGATTAAAAAATAAGGCAAGCTAGGTTTAACTGCATCTACTTGTAGATGTATTGCTTCAGGAAGTGAAGATGTTTATAAAAAACACCTTGAAGCCATAAGAAATCGTTGTATTCGTTGCAGTCATCAGATATTTCTTGAACTAGTGAAAGGTGTTCACTTGATACAGGTTTTACTGTACTGCAGTAAGTGGAATATGTGCTGAGAATTGGTGTTCACTAGACACAGGTGTTCACAAGACACAGGTGTTCACTAGTGTTGTCGCGATTAATCGATACATCGCAATATACATCGCCAAAGCTGATTCTGGCGATGCATTGATGTCTGAAACAAAACATCATTGTTTTTAAAAAAATTATGGATGTACCAGAGTACTATTATTTATTTGTTGCATTCGGTATTTTAGTACATTAGTGTTCAGTATGTCAGTACAATTTTCTCAGACTTTTTCTCGATGTGCATCGCGATGTGTATCGATGTTTACTCCTGAAAATTGCCAATGCATCGATGAATGATGATGGCACATTGCGACAACACTAGTGTTCACTAGAGAAAAGTGTTCACTAGATGTAGACGTTTTACTACCCTTTGCATTCGCTCAACTTCACTTCTTAAAAGAGAGCTTCGTCTTCACTCTTTCATTTTACAATAAATCTCTGATCTCACCGAGCCAATCAGAGTTCATCGTCGAAATATGGACGACTTTCTATATGGTCATTTCCTCTGACATCCCCGCATAGTTAATGAGCATGTATTTAGCGCATGTTCCTTCCACTTTGCTGATTAGTTGAGAAAGGATCAGCGTGGTAGATTTGAAATTATTTATTACCCGGGCTGTCACAGGCACCAATCTTCGGGGCGGGGCTGCTAAACTGAAATATAGTCTATACTAGGCAGAGTGTAGTTTATAACTAGACTCTGCACGCAGGGTAATGTTTTATTGCACTCATTAGTTATACTCTTTATTTATCTTGAAAGCATTTGAAGCAAGAATATGTTACAATTCAACTATGTTTTTTTCATACTAAGAATTTGAATTATAAAATTTGCGTTGGAGAAACGCAAGCGGTTGAATTTTTCGTGTCCCCTTTGAAAAATTTGTGCGGCTAACGCAAGCCATCTAAGAAATTACATAAAAATTCTCATTACAAGATCGATCTGCCTAATTTGTCGTTTGATGCACGGATGTCTATCTCGAAAACACATCCTTGTTTGATGCAACTAGTGAGACTATAGCATTGAGAAGTTTGTCGCCATCCCTGAATGCCCCCCTTTATTACACAATATTCATAAACGTAACACTGCAGGTGAAGTTTACAAAGTCAGGTCTAATTTATAATTAGGTCTACACCGTTTATCACTTGCTTACTTTGTTTGTGAATTAAAGCTAAATAGACTTCATCTAGGCTAAAAGTTATAAGCTAGTCTAGCCTAAAATCATTTAAAAATTAGCCTATGGCATATAAATAACCAAAATTCTAAAAGTGAAAGTGAAATTAGACCCATCATCATGTAAAGAAAAAGTTACCTCTTTCAACCAGTCTGAGACATTCCTTGTATTCCATCTAAGTACATCTGAATACTTCGGGGTGGTCTTTAGCGCCATAATCATGTATTTGTCACTAACAAGACAGCAGAAAGTTTTGAAGTTTTTTAATTTTACTTCCTCATTCAAAAACGTGATGCATCCTGGGTATTATGCGCGAAACCAGAACGAGGCTGTCACAACATTTGAAAGTTAGAAAAAGTTTGATTTTCAAAGTTTATGCCGAAATTTTCGATTCATCCCTTAAGTATGTCGGCTGATGTTGATGCTCATAGTGGAGAGAACATAGAAGAATTGAAAGAATACAAATTTCATAGATTTGAACCTCTGAATGACGCAAAAAGGAAGGTGAGAATTTTTTTAAATTTTCCATCATCATTTGTCTAGGCCTAAAATGAAATCTGTATTGCTAAAGTGTGGGACAAAAATAAATCTCAACCCTCAAAAGTTGTCACAATGAGCTAAATTCTAAGTTTCATGTCTCAAACTCTCCCAAGTGGTAGAAAAATAATTCCCATCCACTTTAAGGTCAGGGTGCATGATGGGAAATTTTCTGCAGTCCTCAATTGAGTCACATGTTATTTTTCAAACAAGAATCACTCCTTCCCTTCATTGTCTATATCTTCCAGTTTTGCACAAAGAGTGCACTTATGTGCCTAGAAAAGACTTGTGAGAAGAATCTTTTGATAAAGTGTATAAAAAACAAGAAAATTCAGTGAAAAAAATCAGAAAATTTTCAGAAATTTTTTTCACTGAATTTTCTCATTTTTTATACATTTTACAAAACAAACCTTCTCACAAGGCTTTTCTAGGCACAGAGGTGCACTCTTTGTGCAAACTTGGAAGATGTAGACAATGTGGGGAAGGAGTTATTCATGTTTGAAAAATAACATGTGACTCATGATGGATAAATCCCTACCAAATCGGACTAATGTTTTCATGAATCGCCATGTTTGTGATCCAAGGTGGATTGACTCCCAGAATGCAACATCAAGTAACCTTATTTATTCGTGACGTATTTCAAAACGGCGGAATGGCATTTTGAAAGCTGACACGTGTCATGTTGCATTCTGGGAGCCAACCCACATTGCGGCGTAATCTGGCTCCAAAATCACCTCAACATTTGAAGAGTCGGCATTAACATGTGAATTCCACATCAAATTTTTAAGTTCTTATTTGTCATTATGGACACAAATTTCACTATATCTGGACTTACTATGACGGAGAAAATAGAGCACTGAATACACTGAGGTAAGAATTTATTACATATGCGACAACATGTAATTTCCATAGGTTTTGTAATTCTTTATGCCCCCCACTGTAGGCCATCAAGTACATGGCAAAAAGTCGTCGATTACGATTTCATTGACGAGATGCTTCGAGAAAAGCAATTTGGAAAATCGTGGACAACTTCGTAGAAAACAAAAATCGTCAATCCGCAAATCGTAATCATAGGCCAAGGGAAAAGTAATAGTAAGCTGTATATAGAAGAGACAGGTAAACAATTAGGATTGAAAATTTTTTCAAAAACTTGCCGTCTTGGTACGAGTTCTCCTTACTGGTATCGAGTCGTACCACCAAATCTCCCAAGAATCTTCTCCAAAGTATTTTCGAAACGTATATTGTTGAATATTTCAAATCTATTTTTTTTTATTTTTTATTTAGATTTTATTTATTCAGGGATATCTAATAAGAAATACATATGTTTTCTTGTTTCCATTAGAACCCTGCAGATACACATACACACTACATTTAACAATAAAATATGTGACAATACATATCATAAAATTAGAAATTTGTAAAAACAGTACAATTAATATGTGTAAAAATACTATATGACTAGTCGATAAAAATATGCATTAAAAGTTTATTGTCACACTTGACATTTGAGCATATTAAGACATGTAAAATTACAATTATTCACTAATTGAAGCAAGGAATTGCTTTTTTAGAAGAACTTTAAAAGATTGCACTGATGCAGATTCCTTTAAATCTAAAGGTGCCTTGTTCCAGAGAACAGATGCTCTGTGACTAAAAGTTTGTGTGCCTGCATTATTACAATTTTGTTTAATAAAAATACATTTGTTAGTTGTAGCACGAGTACCATAGTTGTGAGTGTCCTTAGTTAAGGTAAAACTGTCCTGCATATAAGTGGTATATCCTAACTCTTCGATAAGACTGCATAAAAAAACACCAACTGTACGAACCTGCAATTGCCCGGCAAGTTGAAACTTCCGGATACATGGAAAGATTGAATCTTGTAACGATTGATTTGATTGGTTGTAATTAGAAGTTTAAAATTCCAAGAAAAATGTTAATTTCACCATTTAAATTGGGTTTAAAAAGATATTATATGAAACAGATGTTTTGATAAATAATTATTAAGTACACCTTTTATAGTTTTGTACACTTTAATTGATTGTTATTTCTAGAATATGAATTACATTTTAGAACCAGATAGGTGTCACTGGCGGCGGTTAGCAGGAACCAATCAAATTCCTTGTTTCAAACTTCCATTTACACGGAAATCCGGGTAACTTGCCAGACAATTGTAGGTTTTCAGAATATCTCGCCTCAAGACGGCTTTATTCACTCTATGTCACTTGAATGGGGTTGATTCATAGGTAAGAATAGCGAACTATCAATTTTGGATCAACTCTGCATTGTTTTTTGAAAATTATACACAAATAATGTTAAAATCGCCATGTTAACAAGTGGCCTAAATCCTAGTTGTTCACCTGTCTCTTCTATATACGGCTTACTATTACTTTACCCTTGGCCTATGATCGTAATTGACGATATTTTCGAGAAACTGGCTCCTGGAGCGAATAATTTTGACGTAAAAATTGTCGTTTTTTTCATTTTAATCACTTCTTTACATATTCTTCAGATATCTCAGCAACTACAGTGGGGATCATAAAGAATTGCAAAAGCTATGGAAATTACATGCTGTCGCACATGTAATAAATTCTTACCTCAGTGTATTTAGTGCTCTATTTTCTCCGTCTGAGTAAGTCCAAATATAGTGGAATTTGTCTCCCTAATGACAAATAAGAACTTCAAAAGTTGAAGTGGATATTCACATGTTATGCCGACTCTTCAAATGTTGAGGTGATTTCGTCGCCCGATTGCGCCGGAACGGAGGATTGGCTCCCAGAATGCAACATGACACGTGCCAGCTTTCAAAATGCTGTTCCGCCATTTTGAAACCTGTCATGAGTAAATACGGTAACTAATGTTGCATTCTGGGAGTCAACCGTCTTTGGATAACAAACATGGCGATTCAAGAAAACATTCATTCGATTTGGTAGGGATTTATCCATTATTTGCAGGTATGAAGCTTTGGATTCATTTATTGTGCTACTTTAGTGAACGGGAATTATTTTTCTACCGCTTGGGAGAGTTTGAGACACACAACTTGGAAATTAGCTCATTGTGACAACTTGTGAACGTTGAGTTTTATTTTTGTCCCCCACTGTAGAATCCATTTCACTGCTTCATTTCGTCAGTAGAACGGCAAAAATAAGAAATTGGGAGACCATTGTGCAATAATATATGGAAAAGTATATTCATAATGTACATGAATGACATTTGTATATTTCAGATTTTTTAGTTTTTTGTGCAATAAGCCCGTGCCGTCTTGTAATTTGAAGAATTTCAGCCATGTTAATCTTATTGAAAATAACATGGCAGAGAAACATCCAAATATAAGAGGCCACACACTTTATAAGCCAAACTAGAAGCAATCCAAGATATACAAATGTCTTTCATGTACATTATGAATATACTTTTCCATATATTATTGCACAATGTTTGGGTATATCGGCAGAATGGGAACATTTTTCTTTTTCATCGAGAGATATTCCATCACTTTCCAAGATGGCGGTTGAATTTAAAAGGGGATTCCCCGTTTGACTGACCCGGAACTGGCCCGGATAATCAATAAATGGAAGAATTTGACGGTTGAAATAAGTTAAATATTACACGCAAATGTTGCGATCAAGAACGAAAATTTCTTTGTTCTGCCGATAAACCCAGACAATTGTGGATTCAACTACACGAAAAGAATGCTAAAATACCAAGGAATCTATTGAAATAGGTATCTTTAAGTGTAAGAAGCGTAGAAAATTCTCCCATGTTGTAACCGTACAGGCAAAAGAATAAGACGTTCGCAGGACTATAGTCCTGGCATGGGATAACTCCAGACAAGCCCCTGTGACTCGAGTCTCTAGCCAATTCTTGGGTAGAAGTAATTCCATCTAGAACACTGTGAACTATTGTAAAATTTCTAGTCGCTGCTCAATAGATTTAGCAATATTCTAAAAACCGTCATGAAATATTTCATGAATTGAAATGGAACTGGGCTCCTTGATTAGATATTGCATGGTTTCGCCAGGATTTTGTCTAAAATTAAAACAAACAGCTCCAAGAAAAATGACTATATTCAAAAACGGGACAAAATGTCGTTAACGTCTAACATTAGTTACTGGCTGTAAATTCTAAGTAAGGGATCCAGAAGATGTGAACCAATACATGTACATTGAGCACTTCATGTGTGTTTTGGAATTTTTGATGAGGTAATAAGTCCAAAACTCACAATTCAAATTGTGATGTGGAAAAATGGCGAACATTTGATTTCAAATTTTATGATTGCAACATGACATGTACATGTATGCAGCGACATAACTCACATCCAGCAGAGTAAAAAGCATGCAAGGATTTATCTTTGGACGAAGGCCACTATATGTATAGGCCTAAGATAAAGGTAAGTTTTGACTCATTCATTGAATGATTGGCTGTCCCTGAGAGTCAGTTTAGCCTCTACTTAGAGGAGGAAATACCCCAGAATTCCCTCTCTTGCCTCTACTGTGTCTTTAGCCAACATACTTGTCTATATAGATGACTTGTTGTTGTAGGGTATGCCTTATCCTGTGCCAGAACCATAGTCCTGTGAGTGAGAACATCCAAATCTTTTGCCTGTGTGTGTATGATTCCAACATGTGAGAATAATTCTCGCCTCCTACACTTAATGCCTACCCCATTATAATACTTAAGTATTTTAGGATTCTTCTTTTCATGTAGTTGAATCTGCCGATTAAAATAAAATACTGAGTTTCAAAATTTTTATATTGATGAATTCCCATCGTATGGGTCAATTGGCAAAACGAGGAAATTTTCGTTTTTGATAGCGATTTTTGCATAATTTAACTTATTTCAACCATCAAAATTCCTCCATTTATTGGTACATCTGGGCTCTGCAGCACAAGACCAGGATATTCTTAACACGCCCGGTGATCGTGAATATGGGACGAAGGGGGGAGCAGGCAATTTCTGCTAGGAAATTCAACAAATCTGGAAGATTTATGTTTTCAAGAAAAAGTTTATTATTGAATTGCTAAATGAATAGGTGCATGGTATGGTAGAATATGTTAGGTTTTCTGGGATTTTTTCTGAAACGATATGCATCTAAGGTATGAGATCTATTAAAAAAGGCGCAAGGCCATCAACAGGCACAAATCAAATAAGTGCGATATGAATTACTTATTAGATAAAGTATCTTGATTTATGAAATAATTAAGATTTAGGCTTTTTTGTCTCTCGGGATTTGTTACTCCTTTTAGAGATGCTGTTTCTGTCAAAGGGATCTTCCTTATAAATGAAAAAAAACTAATAAACATCAAATGTAGAAGTTACTGATGTATGTACTAAGCGACTATAAATGTATCTTATCTTTGCGTCATACATTTCAAAGTATAGGTATATCACAATCTATATCATGTTTTTTCAGGATGTATCCCACTTTGATGTTGAGACGAAAGACAGTAAAGGACTACTGGATAGGGTTGGGTCATACCTCGGCATTAGTGACAACGCTGAAATGAGATCGTGGGAAAAATCTTTTAACAGCAGACAAATGGTAAAAAGATCTACATTACTGTTGCTTCACGACTCTGGACCACCCCCCCCCCCCCCCCCCCCCGGGGGACAGAGGACTCACAGGGCTTGTAGTTAGACAATATCTACATGTACATTTATATAATCACCCTTCAGACAGCTTACCGATTTTTATAAGAATCATGATTTCACTTCTTTTGATTTGCAATGAAAAACAGAAAACCAGCATTCAGGAAATAAAAAAATATATTTTGAAAGTAAGAGAATATAGAACTATGACAATGTGCTTCGGGAGTCTAGAATGAATCTTATGGCCAATTGATTATCCCATTTAGGTTTGGTCGCATTCTAATGTGTCAGTGTCTCTTACTAATCCCACCTTAGAGCTCCATATAGATATTATACATGTACACTGTAATTTGATTCATCCTCTAAAAACAGGGTTATGAGGTCCAAATTAGATTCTTTCTCTTTCCTCCTTTTTCTTGTCAAATGGAATTGTTCTGTAATGTAATATAGAATTGTTCAGTAAAATCATATGAACTTGTTCAGTAATATGATATGCAAGGGCTAATACAAAATGTAGTTGTAATTTTTGTTTTAATGCACAAATGTATGTAACAATTAATAAACTGACACAACATTCTTATTTTATATAAAATCATAAAGAAGCTGTTCATGTAGAAAGTGATTTGAAAATTGAAAAATATCCAAATTGTATTTGTCACTGTGCAACAGAACTAGCCATATAGATTACTAGGTATTACTAGGCAATGTTATCAATTTTGAAATGTTGATTTTTCTCTATATTTTAGGCATTTGACATGTTGATATGTTGATTTGCTGTTTACTCGAACCTCATTTGAAAATCAACATTTTTCACCAATGTAAAACTTAAAGTAACTTTCTCTATACAAAATAAACTTTGTTCTTCCTAGTGTCAATTTGACACTATCATGCCTTTTTCAGAAAATGGGTACTCGTCCATCTAAACAGGACAATGTCATCAAGAAGCTGAATGAAGCAATATCATTTGCCTCACTCAACCAATTGTCTTATGACAGTTTAATGTCTGATGATTTCTGTGCAAAGAAGATCAAGGACACTGATCAATGGGAAAACAGCAGTTCTGATTCAGAAAGGTACATTTTATCTTGATTTTAATATAGAAATAAATTAGAAATCATGAAATATATCATCTATAGATTTTATACTATTGGGCTAATGGTTTTTAATTTTATTATTATCTATCTGAACCAAGTGTAAAATTTGGAAAACCATGAAAAATTATCTATGCAAACTGCAAAACCAAAGTTTAAGTCAGAATAATTTATGGTATACATATTGTTTTTTCAGTTCTGATGACTACTTTGAAAGCCCTTATGAAGAATCAGAGAATGAATATTCCATAACAAGTGATAAACAACAGGCTTCTCCCAACACTAGAGACAAGGCCTTTGTCACAAGCAATATCAAACAGGAAAAAAGCACTGGAAGGACATCTGATTTTTTCAATCCAATGTACCAATCTGCAAGTGTATGTTTCAATGTTGATGATGACAACCACGAAGCTGATAATGATGTCCATCTTGAAGCAATTGCTCGATGTAAGGAGGAGGACAGGGAAAGCTCAGATAAACCAACCAGAACAAGTTCTGTGTCGTTTGCACCAGTAGTGTCAGTAAGTATACACATTACACATATTAGTAATGATAACCTATATGTGAATTATTGTCACAATATAAGAACAATTGATTTGCTGGTTTACATTGAGGTATCTCTGACAAGTATATTTTATTATAGACCAGTAAATGAGATGTTACAGTGGTATAATTTGATCATTATTTGAATCACAACAAAGACTTCAATTCTATGAATTATGGCAAATAAATAACCAATACCAAAATACGGAACCCCAAGCTTATTCCTAAAGTAATGATGTATAGAAGTTATGATCTCAAATGTATAGTCAAACAGTCTAATGGATAAATAAAAAGTGAAGATAATTGTTTAAAATAACAAAATTTCAATATCTTTAGGTATCTGAGTTTCAATCACATGAGGCTAAAGACAAACAAGGAAGTTTATTGCGATCTGTACTCACAAGACGTAAACCCAGCCTTAAAATGCAGCCAGAAAGTGACTTCATTGAAACAGAACGAGGCTCCCCAGGATCAAATATTAATGTTGGGCAAACATTATCAGCTGTTGGGTTTGACTTAAAACCAAAACGATCGTCTATGAAACGAACTTCCACTTTCGGTAAGGCAAAGGTAAATATGTCTGAATGTCATCAGCTGTCTAGCTCTTGCATGTTGAATCAACTTGGCTTTTATTTACAGAAGGCTTGTAAAAAATGTTTTTAAAATACTTTCACAGCAAAGTCGTTTATTTACTTGATTATGTTTTAGATTTATTGTTCAATGTTTGTTGCAATTGTTAGTAAAGTGAAATATTCAGTTTTTTGTGGATGGCGTTCGGTGTCTGTAACATGGCATAGAAAATTATGGTGTCTGTAACAAATGACAAGTGGTGACATTTTGCATGGTCTCTAACCTACTAGTCCCATGTAGTCATTCACAATCTTCATGTGTTCCAGGACTCCTGTGTTAATCTTCCCAAAGTAAAGGAACAACAAGAAGTGGTCATCAATGAAGAAAATATGGTTTACCGTACTGAGGCTTTTGAACAATATCAGAAGTTTGCTCAGGTATCATTAAATATTATTAATATAAAAAGTTCCATTGTACTCTAGATTGTGCTTTACATTGTTTATATTTGTATGTCACCACCAAGAAGTTTTACCCACTATTATTGTAACTGGTATTGGTTGTTTGGAGCTCTGTAACGGCATTTGTAACAAATTGTCACACCTTTTGGATTGCAACTATTAGTAAATTGTCACATTTCGTTGCTAATCTTTGAAAATATAATATGCTGTATCAGCAACTAAGTCCTTCTTCATGATTGACATATTACCATATATGGTCATAAAAGATTGACCATATATGGTCATAAAAGATTGACCATATATACTTTAAGTGCATAACTTTAACAACATTTGTTTAGATGGAGCAGAAGAAAAAGCTAACAGATCTCAATGAGACAAGTGAAGATGTTCTCAGCTTCCTACAAGGCAAACTGGAAACATTAGATGGTGCCATCAAAGCTGCAAGAGGTAATTAGCACCCCCTGTAACTGTAACTTTAGTTAAAAGATCTGCTAAGAGGAAACACTCCTGGGAGCAGAAATTAACCAAAAGGGTAACAAGTCCATTGAATAATACATTTATTGAAGACAACTATTTACATCATATAATGGCTATTTTCAAATCAATCACCAGTGTAAATACCTCAATAAAATCCTTGAGTTCTTACCGATGTAGCAAAAGAAAACCATGCCATACTTAAACCTGCTTTCACTTTCCCATCTGCTGAAAATAACATTGATAAAACTTAATAATTTCATTATTCATGACATACGGTAAAACCTGTGTTAGTGAAGGTCACCTCTCTCTAATGGACATTCTTCCTCTACATATACACCCCCAAAATGCAATCTGATTTTCGACGCTGTTTTGGTGCCAAATTTCGGTGCCATTTTGTCACCAAATGGACTGACTAGTCCGGTGCTAAATTTTGGTGTCGAAAGGTTTCGTTGCCGGAATGGTGCCGTAACAGTGCCAAATTTTTTTGATGCCAAATTATATTGGCTGTGTACTGTTCTGACTTCTGTATAAATTATCCTCTCTGTCGTGAATATCAACCAACACTAAACATGTTCAATATACACAGGTTTTACTGTATATTCCTTTAGAGCATTATTCTGGGGCTCATGTGAAGGAGTCCAAGTCAGTAGCTGATCAGATACAAAGCCTCAAGAGAAGAACATTTGGCAGATCACTGAGTAAAACAAAGAGCCTCATGCAATACAGCATTAGAAGCCAACTAGATGACCTGCATGAGTATACTCCTTGGTTCATGTACATCATAACACTGGTAGGTAGCTTTAGTAGACTCACATCCTAATATTGGTAGTATGACACCATTACACAGAGCAGATGACAGCATAACATTTAATAAGTATGTTGACATCCTATGATAACAGGTGTTTTGACATCATTGGTAGATTGACTTCATTATATGGAGAGTTTTACATTATCATTCAGGTCACATCACACTGGTAGGTAAATATTATAAAACAACTGAGTATGTTGACATCACAACAGATTGATGTCATACTGGTAAACTGACATCATAACACTGGTAGAAGGATATCATTTCTGGTATATGTTGACATTACTGCTTAGTTGCAATCATAACATGAGTAGGTTGCCATCATAACTCAAAAGAATATCAAGCTGGTATAATGACATAGACTAACACAAGTAAGATGACATACTTAGCCTGGTCATCTTGTTGATGTCATATTTTATTCAAAATTTACAGTCATTTTATTTCAAGGCACAGTTAATCTGCCTGGCAGTGACATGCTACCTGCATTCGTTTGCTCCCATAGGCCTTCAACAAACAGTGAAACTCCAAGACGGCATCAAAACATTTCGGGGAACAGAAACGATTGATTCATGGATAAGTCCAAATATTTGGATTGGTCCCCCACTCTCTGGCCTCATTGGTTAGATTTTAACGTGGATAGAATATGTTAGTTGTTCTTGTTTATCTAGAGTATCCATTTTTCTCTTGTCTGTTAACCAGTATTCTTTGTTTCATTTTTAAAATAGTGTTTGAAAGATGAGCTTTCAAATGGTACTATTTGTTGAAGTAATGTTATTATTTGCAGTTATGAAAAGAACCAGGTATGGTATGGCAAATGAATTGCAATTGAGCCAGTCATACCTTTGATCATGAGCATTTCTCATCATAATTTCAACTTGTGTTCTCACTTTCATTGCAAAATAAGATCATACAGGAAGAGATTTAAAGGTAGAGTGGCAATGAAAGATATCAAACTTTAGGGACCAAAATTATGCTGAAACGTTTGACTGCATGAGTTTCCCTATAGGGAATTAACATGGGATATGTTGTTTTACCCTCTTCATTTCAGAAGTTACTGACATAGTGTAGAACAAAATTTCTTAGGGTTAATTTTCTAAATAAGTCAAAATATTTTTAAAAATCTGTTGAGGTAGGGTCCTAATCCATGTTTTTTCGAAAGTCATATTGATAATTTTATTGTTCTGGGGACCTCAATTGAAGAAAAACATATTATTTTGATGAGACATGTTGAATTTATTGTGAGAGAATGCTTATGGTTTAAAATCATTTGCAGTATATAATTTATATTTAAACATTTTTAAGGCTAAACCATTTAATCAATGAAGGTTCCTTGGCATGATATCTTTCTTAGAATTAAATTTATATGTACATTTTATGAACATGAATAAGATGTATTCGTCTAGCTTGCATTTCCTTGTGGTAGTTTATAGTTTCACTGTTTTAAAATCAGATTGATTTAAAACAACTTGATTAAACGTACATAAAAATGTGGATAAGAAAACAAGGTACACCATTGTGATCTTTAACTTTCAGAAAAGGGAGCATTCCATGCCCCCTGTTTACGTGAAGACTTAACGGTAATCACCTATTATGCTAAACAAGAATATGACAGTGTTGGTACACTGGGGTGCTGTGAGATGGCGCTGAGGAACACTGCAGGAACAACAACTGAGGATGAATGTTCAGACGCAACCTCAGGTAAAAATGTGAATTTTCATCTGATTTCTAGTTTGTTCTATTGTAATTACAAGTAGAACTGTTAGACTATGTGTCCAACCACATCTTCGTTCACTCGGCTCCTGTCAGTCTGAACGCAGGGAAGACCAAGTGTGCGAAGATAGTCCAGCCTTAAAACTATAGAAAAACACTTAAAGGAGTTTCTGGCTAGGAGTTGTCATATGTATGAAAACATTCAGGGCTGGTATCAACCTATCAGAAAGCAAGATTTCAACAAGCTTGACTAAGTATTTCATTATTTTATTTCTTTCTTATTGATAACACATTTCTTTCAATTTCAATCTACTTTCCACCATTCCAGTTGACCTTCATTTATCTATTTCACCACATCACAATATGAAAGTTCATAAAATATGAGGTAGTCTTAGTATTCCTTGGCAACACAGACACCCTTGTACTCATCGAAGACAAGTCCGTAAGGGCAGGGACGGGCAAGGGCTTTTCCAGATGCATCGCACTGCCAGAAACAGCTGTTGTCAGAGTGCTTGAAGTGGAATTTTTGGGCAGGGGCCTGGTATGTGTTGTAGCTGTTGTGCCTGTTGTAGCTATCATGTCCGTAGCTTGGCTGGGCAACATATGTTTCAGCTGGGTAGTAGCTCTTGGGGCATGTGAAGTAGCTGCTGTAGGAAGTGGCACATTTTCTGCATGTGTTGTACATGTAGGATCCATATCCGTAGCTGTTGCAGTAGCTGTAGCTCTTGGTTTCATATGCGTTGTAGCTTGGGGCTTCATAGCCATTGTAGCTTGAGGCTTTGTAGCTGTCCTGGGTGTTGTAGCTTGGGGCTTTGTAGCTGTCACGTGTGTTGTAGCTTGGGGCTTTGTAGCTGTCACGGGTGTTGTAGCTTGGGGCTTTGTAGCTATCATGTTCATTGTAGCTTGGTGCTACGTAGGATTCCTGGTCATAACCATCATTCCTCTGATAACCATCAGTTGGGTATTTGGGCTCATATGCCTTGCTGGAAAATGAGATTTTGTCAGTGAGTTATTAGATGATATAGAGAATGATAGGATATTTTTACAAAAATGAGGCAAGGCTTTCTTGGAGGAATTGAATCGGACTCTTCCCCTCTTTGGTCAAGGATAAATTATATTCATCAATGGAAAGGATTTTCTAAACAAACCAGACCGCACTGTGCCTAACAAGTACAATATAACCTTTAAAGGGTACAAAATGATCATCATTTGTTCATAACCGTGAATTTTTAGTCTGAATTCTATCCATATTTTTACAATTTTGGTCTTAATCATAACCTTTTGCCTGCCAAGAAGACATGTGAGACTTTTTCATTTCAGTTAAAAATGCATATTCTTTGTCACATAGCCATTTCATTGTATAAGACAGGTTCCAATTCAAATTATTCAAGTTTTTGAGGCATTTTTTAGAAAAAGCAACAGACCTATTTTTACTAGATCAGTTTTTCATGCTGATAAAGATATTAAAAGATGACAGCTCAACGGGGTGGTCACGACACTAAATTTTGGCATTTTTACCCCCCTAGGAAAATATTCTAGGGGGTACTATGAAACTAGTTCATAACTCAAAGGATATATGAGCTATTGTTCTGAGTTGTACACCATACATTGCTAGTACAAATATGAATACTATCCTAAAGTTATGGGTTGATACCCTTATTGGTCTCAGAAAAATACATAAAACAGGAAAAAGATACCAATTTTTGTCTTGCCAATTTTATATTTGTAGCTTCAAGCACAATATGAGAGCTTTAACAGCTCATAGTAGTATTTTAAAAATTTTCCAAGCTATGTGTGGTATTGTAATACATCTATTTTAGTTATGAAGTACTATTTTGTAATTTTAATATGACTTTATAGTGCCCTACCCCTGGAAAATTGAAGAAAGTGGATGTGGTGAATTTTATCATTTTGCAGCATTAAGTTAGAAACATGTATTGATAGACACCAAATCAATAAATTCATACCATCATCAAATGTTAGGTGACATTCTAATTCATTTATTACTAGAATATAGGACTTAAGATATTTTATATGTAAGTTTTCAATTAAGTACATGTATCATAATGAAATCTAGTGTAACCACATACTAGAGAGGTTGGCATACAGTCTGGACATTGACATAAAGTCTAAACATTATAATCATCAATTGATCTCATTTGAGCAACTAGACTATGGTGGTCATCATGCACAAGTAATGTACAGTAGAACCTGCTAAGTGGAACACCTCCGTAAGTGGAACACCTCCCAAGTGGAATGCCTTTTCAAAGTCCCGTTTTAAAAACCCATTGACTTAATGTTAATTGAACCTCTGTAAGTGGAACACCTCCAAACTTGAACAGTGAACACCCCATATTGAAAAATTAACCTGCTAAGTGGAACAGTCAATTTCCATAGATTTCAATATTGATATATGTAAACAGAATTAATCTCCTTCAATGATATCTGGGTATGAAAACAGGTAATACTGTGATAATTGGCAAATTAGGATTTCAATGGATTAACCTCCTGTAGAGGTCAACATGTGATGCAACCAATAATTAATTTGATAATCAGCAAATTAGGATTTCATAAGATTTTCATTCAGAAAATTGGATTAACCTCCTGTAGAACTGGACACGTGATGCTACCACTAATTAATATCCCTTGCTGTTTGTTTCAAACTTAATAAGTAAGATTAAAAATGTCATTTAAAAACAATTGAATTATTAGCAGTAGGAACAAGTCTTTAAAACTTAATTGCCTAATCCTTGTACCTGAGACTGGCACAGTTAGGAGGATTAAGAATGTCAGAAAACATTTTTGGCAGAATGAGGAGGATTAAGAATGTCAGATACCTTTTTGAGTAAAATAAATGGATTATTAATGGTATATACCTGCCCTGTAATGAAGGGAGAATCATATTTCCAATGATACATATAAATCCTATATTTGATCTTGTATGTTCCCTGCGAACCCAAAACCTCCGTAAGTGGAACACCTTCTAAGTGGAACGCTTTGTGGCAGAATGGAGTGTTCCACTTACACAGGTTCTACTGTATTTACATAATAATGTTATAAAGGAGCATGTAGGTTATCGCAAACAACTTCAGACAATTCTAACTTGAATTATGAATATTTTCTGACCATGAACATGGGTATATCTTTTAGATCTATTCATTATCTTCAAGAAAAGTAAATATAATGATTTATTCCATAATACTACTGTTTTCCCAGGGAAATAGGAAGGAATAAAAATCGTATTGAATCGTATTACATGAAAAAATCGTATTGTCCCCAGGACAAAAATCGTATTGGAGCGTATTACATGGAAAAATTGTATTGTCCCCGGGACAAAAATCGTATTGGAACGTATTAACCTATTTTTGGTTACCCGGTTATTTTTAACCTTGACTAATTGATAAAAGCATTATCCAAATGTAACATTTTAAAGAGGAATGTATTATGGAATAAATAGGTTATTTCTGGTCGGGATTGAATGTGGGTTTTATTCCTCGGAAAATATGATATTGACCTTTGGAAATATGATATGGACACTCGGTCGCTGCGCTCCCTCGGTCAATATCATATTACCCTTCGGTCAATATCATATTGTCCCTCGGAATAAAACCCATATTCAATCCCTCCCAGTAAATAACCTATATTAATCAGACCTAAGTGATATTAAAGGGAATGGCCCAATCAACATACTTTTTACTAAAAATGTTGACCTAATTTTCACCAAAGATGCAACCTTTAATTATATTGTTGAATGCATAATTAGAATATGCTTTGAGAGTGAGACATGTTCTATTTCCTAAGAGGAAAAGTGGATTGCTCCAGGGACTTTAAAGACACTGGATTTAAATGACCAAAATGAACTGAAACCAATGGATAGCATGAATTATTTCAAAGGGGAAATAACATGGGGAACACTAATCTTAGGGGAATTCAGTTTTCTTTTCAAGAGCTATTTGATACATTAAAATAAAGAATAGTAATGCATTAAACATTAATAAAATGATAGCATTTTTGGTGAAAATGAGGTCAACAACTTTGAAAAAATATATTGATGGGTTGATTGCTAGTGAAATATCTTTGAGTCGGATTGACTTTATTATCCCTGTATACCCTGACTTCATGGTCAGAAAATAGTCATAATCAAAGATATAACTGTCTGAAATTGTTTGTGATAACTTACCTGAACCTTTCCAGGTCAAATCAGGAGTGACAAAATTATTTCCACCAAATTTTTGACATGTCTTCAAATACGATAATATTTTCTTCATAAGATAGAGTGTCACTTGTGAAATTTATTGATTGACCTGAGATCGTACCATATCTTTATGACATAGAAGCGAAATAGCCATATTTAACTTTAATGATGTTTGTTTAATTGTTGTTTGCCACTTTTCGACAATTGTCAAAATTTGGGGGTTTTGGGGGAGGGGTACCAATACCAATACGCGATAACGTTTTCGTTCAGTTTAGTTAACTCTCGTTTGAAGAGCTCTCATGTACGGTACAACATCGTCTACATCCGGGTTCTTTCCCATTGGATTACGCAGGGGTGCTATTTTCAATGCCGCACTGCGACTTTATTAAACATTTATGTAGAGTTGCATTTGCAGAAATGATAGGTATGTATGTAATTAAGATATGTTACAAGGCTTTTTGAACTGTAATCACCAAATCCGAAGAAATCTGTAGTTGAAAATGCCGTCCAATTTCAGTGACGTCACTGATTTCCCAAATTGCTCAGACTTCATCGAAGATCGAAAAAATATCAATGATGTTACTTCGAATCTCCGATTATCTATCTGATTATTCAATAGATTGGATCATATAACTATGCTTGAGGGCTGATGGAAGATCAGAAGCTGAGAAACGTTCAGAGTATAGACTCGTTCGGCGGGCCAATGAAAATTTGTCCCTTCCAAAGCGATGCATCATGGGAGATATTTATGTAAATTACCACCTGAACTCTTATCGTGAATAGGAGTATTAGG